GGTATCTTGAGTACTGTCTGAAATCCAGGCAATGAGAACAAAGTCAGAAACTATTAACACTTAGTTGGTGCGCTGGAAATTTCAGAAGCACGCTCAGTAACCCTGAGTGTGGAGCATATCCATTTCCCCTTGAAACCCAGGATTTAAAAGTTCCCTGTCTGTGCCCTACTTCTGCATCATCCGAATACATGTGGTTATGAATATTTACAAGGGGGTTCATTTTTAAATTATACTGGCAAATCTAAATTAGCATTCAAATTCCTCCCTGGAGTCTGAAATGTTTGACTGACATTGTGGTTTTAAGAACTTAATGCAATGTTTCAGGGATCCTGGGCAGGTGAGCTACACAGCATGACAGAGGAAGAGGGGAGGGCTGTGCTCTTTATTTGGGACATCCTTGAGCACATCACAATGTATGTGCTGTGTCAGATTAAGGGAAGGGTAAAGGCAAGATTATTAGGGGAAACTGACTTTAACAGGAAGGGTTTTAGATCATACTCCCAATGACCTTGTATGGTACTAGAGTCTACGGAGGTCATCACAGGTCTTACACATCATGGGAATTCATCACAAATATTTAACTGTTACAATGGGAGAACAGAAGTACAAATGTTTAGATGACATGCACAATAATTACCTGCCTACCTCTCAATCCTGCTCTAAGGACCCAATTATATAACATACGTGAACATGCTTTAAAAGCTGAAAAGATATAAACATAACTGCCTAAGCTCCCACAGTAAAGAATGAGGCCGTAGTTCACCCATGGCCTCTATATTTGTCTCCTAGAACAGTGCTTCTCAACGTTAATGTGCCCAGAAATCACCTGGAGATCTTGCCAAAGAGCAGATTCTAATCCGATAGGTCTGGGGTGGGGCCAAGACTCTGCTATCCACCCAGTTCCTGGGCGATGCCAGCTTCCGGGACCACCCTCGTGAGAAGGGAAGCTCTGAAAGATCATCCCCATTCGGCTGTTAAAGGACATACTTCCTGAGTACATTGCAGACTCGGTCATCCCTCACGTGAGCTTTGGAGTAAGTCTGCGTGCTTCATTTGGTTCTGAATCGAGTACTTTAAACAGTAGCAAAGTGCTCTTTCTTGGGCAGTCCAAGAAGTAAAGGGTTGATTTTTAATGAGGGTGTCTGCCTGTTCCAGTTTTCAAGGACAAGAGGCAGCAACACGCAAAAGCACAGAGAGCTAATTTGCCAGTTTACTATTCTGTGACTTCAGTTCATTTCGGAGAGGGGTTGCAGGAGGGGGCGAACTCTGTCCTTGTAAACACACCCAGACACACACAGCAAGAGAAAAACCTGCCAGTTCCAACTTGGCAGGAGAGACTACATTATCTTCTCAACCTGCAGAAGAGGGCTCAAAATACCCAGGAGGGAAAAACAAAACAAAACAAAACACCTGAGCAAACAAGAAACTTGCAGAAACGCTGCTTCCTCCTGATACAGAAGCACTCGGGGCTCCTGGAATCAGCCAAGAAGAAAAGGAAAACCAGCAGGCTCTGCAGACCAGCCACTCTCCAGGGTGGGCATGCATCAGCATCATCTAGCTTGACAAAAGTCAGACCGCTCCGCCCCCGAGTTTCTGACTGATCAGGCCTGGGGTAGGGCCCAGAGTCTATGCAGGGGGAGGCACCGTGTCTCACATACAGCTGCACCCCCCAGGGCCCAGCACAGGGTTTGTCCCCGGCAAAGATTTGTTGCACAGACGCCCATTCTCACTTTCACTTCCAGAAACAATTTCACTACTTGCATAGGTATACTTGCTGCATGCATCATGTACACACGCTCATTTCAAGAACCAATCACACAGGTCCCAGGCAGGCCAGCCCCTGGCCTGAAGGGCTGTACCGTTAAATGCAATCAATCCCCATCAAGGACACCACCATCACACTTTCTCCCGATACTATCTGGACAGTCAGTCTCGGAGCCTTCTACCACTAAAGTGGAAACAGACAACTCAGCTGTCCAAAGGACCCTAAAAAGAAAGACCCGACTTAGGTAAAACCAGGCCAACTCATTTCACACATACTCGTGCAAAAAAAAAAAAAAAAAAAAAAAAATTTTTTTTTTTTTTTTTAATCAAGACAAGAATTTGCCAGGAGGGCACACAAATGTCTGTGTCCACCTTGGAAACCCAGAGGACCAAGGTGCAGCCCCATGGCAGAAAGCGCAGGGAAGGTTGCAGATTTCTTCCCTGGCTCCGAGCTCTGTACCAAGCAAAAACCAGAAGGGGCTGTGGCAGACGTTCTTCAAAATCTCTTCCTGATCTGCACGTTACCATAGTCACATTCATCCCGAAAAACAGGTGTTTCTGTTAAAATCAGCTGTTTCAAACTGTCAGATGCTTTAGATCCCTATGAGAGCTTTAAAAAAATAATAATAATAACCAATCAGATGTAACTGATCCTTCCATAGTCATAAAGTCTTTAGATTTTCTTGAGAACCATGACCCTAAATTAGAAATAAAAACTCAGGTGGAGATGAGGATGGGGTAGGGAAGAACATACACATTCCACACACACACACACAACTTCTTCATTTCCCAACATCAACCCACAATGAATAAGAGAAAAAAGCCAAGCTTAAAACAGCTAGGGAAAGACAGAGCTCTTTTCTAGTTAAGTCTTGTGTTTGAAAGCCTTTTGTCCCATTTACTTGGGTTGACTGTCATAAATAATGGCTTTTGTTCCAAGAACTTAGCCATAATGATTTCCTTCTCTCCTGACCATTCAAAGGAAGGTTTTCGACATCCCCACTCAGGACGGTGCCCATTAAGCCTGTGTACGAAAACTTGCCCTTGGAAGTCAAAAGAGCCCAAGGATTCAGGTCTTAAATTAACTCTAATGTGGTTTAATTAAGAAAAAAAAAAGAATCAGGCCATTCTGATCTTATTCCTGGAACCAGTATCTCTGCTGACCTTATTAAGGCCAATGAAATAGGTCTGAGATGCTCCTTTTTAAAAATCAGGACTATTTCAAAAACAAGTTTAGCCAGCTGGTGCACTAGAAGCTAAAATGTCAAAGGCCTGGGTCCAGATCCCTCGCCTAGCGAAGCAATGCAGATACACAGAAATGCCATGCACTCCTGCTGAAAAAAATACAAAAATCCATTTCAAGCCACCTGCTGGAAGAAAAATCCTACACTTAATCTCACAGACAGAGGCGGGCGGGGGGAGGGGGGTGGGGGGAGATGGATGTTAAACCACCACCCAACACCAAAACTTTTAACAACCTCAGAGGACAGATATTTTGAATATTACAAGTCAACATCTTTAATATACAGAAATGTAAAGAGCCACAATCAGTTGGCTAAGACAAAAAGAAGTTTCAAAATTAATTTGGTGGCAAGCTAGTTAACTTCATCCAAGTAGATAGGGAAAGCGGTATTTTTTTTTTTTTTTTCTTTTTGGCATACACTGTCCTGAAAATTGCTTCTGCAAAAAGAATGAGTCCAAGGAACAACTGGCAATCATTTTCGTCTTAATCAAACACCAAATTTACAGATTTCTGGCCCTAATTTTGTTTTACTTTGTTCCTTTCAGTTTACTCTTTGTGATCTGCATAGGCTAAATGAACCACATAATTAGAAACTCTATAATTACTTATGTATATCCAATAAATAAAAGTAAGTAAAAGTCCTAATATGCAAGCAGGGTTGTCATTGGCACGTGGGTTCAGTTTCCTCCCCGCAAACAGTTCCCAAACCTGACCCACCCAGACTAAAGGGCAGGGGGTAGAGGAAGAAACATTCTCAAGGTCATTGTCACTTTTTAAAGACTTTAACAGTTCACATCTACCCGGCCTAAGAGAGAAACAACAGCTCCCTTGACTGTTTCTAAGAAATGTAGGTACACTACCACTTTAAGACTTTCCCAAACATCGAATTCAGAGCAGCTCCCGGATCCTACTCTTACCCAACACAGGTTTAAAGATGCTTTACGTGTTGAATATGTTCTTGTAATAAATACAGCTATTCAAGTAAAACAGTCAATAGGACTTTCTAACATATTACAGTGAAAAATGCTTTCTTCTCAGATCCTTGGGAACTACAAAGGTTTAGGCACAACAAATCTGAAGAAAAATGTAAACTGAGCAAATTTAAAGCACGTAGGAGTTTTTACCCATGTGGCTTTCCCAGGGCAAGCACTGAGAATGTTATACTTTCAGTGGGAAAACGTCCAAAACTTAACAAGGTTCAGCAAAACTATACAGCCCTCCCTCCCCAATTTTTTTTCTTAAAATGTCTGCAGAAAGGACAAACTCCCTTAAAATAACTCCAAACCTCATTTAACGAAGCCTTCTTCCAACATAAGATCAACCAGGGCAGATCTTAGATCAAGGTCACAAAAATCAGCCCTTTGCCAGCAGCTATGTTATAGCTCTAAGAGTTCTTAACACTTTCCAGAATAGCTCTCCCTCTGTTAAACAGTCTAGGATCCTGCGAGCTTTGTCCTACAATCAGGAGTGACTGGGTCTTGTGTGAACAGACCCGCCCACATAAAAGAGGCCACAAAGTCTCCTGAAAGTCCTTGCTAGAGCGCACTTTTTGGCTCCAGCAAACAGATCCTCTGACCCGGGAAGGGTGGGGTACCACGCAGGATTAGGAAGAGCCTGAATCTGAGATAGGCAGAATACAAATCAGACCTCGGTCAGCCTGAACCACTGTCCATCAGGACAGACAGAGGTGCAGACACAGAGGGGGCTGAAGTACTCTGCAGGAGAAACCAGAGGCACGACAAAACCCCCACGTGCCAGCCCAGCGCCAGCACCAGCACCATGCATACTGCGATCATTCCCGGGGCACCTGGCTCTGCGAGGACAGTGTTCTCGAATTCTAGGCTGCTCAAAGAGGTCACCCTCGGGAAAAAAGGGAGACAGGGCTAAGGCGGGGAGGCACTGCTACCCTTTCCAGGGTGCCTTTCCAGAGACGACATGCAGGCATGCAACGTTATTACAATTATTGAAAATCAACAATAATTGCAAAAGGCCATCTGAGAAACATAACATTTTAATAGATGAAATAAATACTCCAGTACATGCAAGGTAAAAACTTGACATGGGGGGGGGGGAGGGCAGGGGGGGAACCACTCTATAGTGTAAATTAAAAAATAAAACACACACTCACAGTAGCTTTTCCCCCCATTTGCAAATCACATGGCAAAGTCATACTCTTTCCACACCAAGTATACGCCTAATCCAACACGATTGCTTAAAAAAAATAACAACATACAAAAAAGGTAGCTACATCCACGTCTAAGGAGTGAAACTGAGGTAACCTTTCTTTTAATTAGGAAAAAACAAAAACGAAAAGACCAAAAAGGAAACGAACCCATGACCTCGTTCCTGCCCGATGGATAAGGAAATTTAGTGGAGGAACTCCAGAAGAGGTGCTGGGGCGCGGTGGGGGCGCGCCACCTCCGGGTCCCTGCTGGGTGTGCGTCGATTGGCATTGCCCCCCGCCCCCCCACCACCACCACCGTGCGCGCGGGTGTCGTGGGAGCGCATGGCCCCGCTCTCTGGAAGGTTCCTCTGGAGCGTCTGACATGGGGGCGGGGCGGGGGGGGAGCTTCCCCTGGGATTTCTTTGGTATAAATGGAGAGGGGCGGAGAGTAAGTATCTTCCTCTAGTCTGGGGGGGGGGAGGAAGAAGGGGCGGGGGCGGGTGCTAATTCACAGAATTGGAATTCACTGGCGGTAAAGTCCTGGGCGAAGACCTCTCCCGTAAAGCCTGAGATAGCAGGGTGCAGCCTTCAGACACGGCGCAGGCCGAGTTCCTCAGCCTCTCCCTGTGGTCCGACATCTTGGCGCCCCCGTCGGGGTGCTGCGCCAGATCCCTGAGGCACTGGGTCAGGAGCACGCAGGCCGACACCACGCTCATGGCGCCGCCCAGGATGGCGGTCTGCACCGCCTTGCCCTCGGCGCTCACGGCCGCCGCGCGACCCAGGAACTGCGGCTCGGTGGCGAAGCCCACCAGGGCGCTCACGGCCTGCACCAGCGGCCCGCTGAAGAGCGCGCAGCGGCTGCGGGCCAGCTCGCTGGGCGCCGCCTTCACCTCGCGCACGCAGGCCAGCAGCGCCGACGCGCTCGTGCTCATGCACTTGACGCCCAGCTTGAACTGCTCGCGGGAGAAGCGGTCCCGCGACCTGTCGCTGGCCAGGGCGCACGCGTCCGTCAGGAACTTGAGGTTGCGCGACAGGCCCTGCGACACCTCCAGCAGCAGCTGCGGCGTCATGTCGGCCAGCGGGGTGGCGCGCAGCACGGCGCAGCCCTGCTCCACCTCGTGCCGGCAGCGCGTCACTCGGTAGCGGTCCACCAGGCCCGGCTGCGCGGGCTGCGCGCCCGGCGTGGCCACGGCCGCCAGGTAGGCCGCGTGGGCGGAGCACTCGGTCAGCGACACCACCAGGTCGCCCAGCTCCACCAGGCTGTCCCCCGCCTCCCCGAAGCGGCCCATGTTGAGCTGGCTCTGCACGTCGTGGGTGAGGATGGAGAGCCCCTTGGTGCGCGCGATGATCGTGTCCCGGCACTGCTCGAAGGACTCGGCGCCGGCACAGGAGGAGGCGGGGCCCTCGAAGAGCACGGGCCGCGCCTCGCTCGACAGCAGCAGCAGGTCGGCCACCAGCTGCATCTTGCCCTTGCAGTGGTCGCAGACGGACACCAGCCTCTTCCGCGGCTGCGAGCAGGCCCCCCCGACGGCGCTCGCGGGAGCCGGAGAAGCCGCCTCGCCAGTGGGCTTCCCAGCGCTGCCGCTAGCCATCGCGCCCGGGGGGCACTGGCATGCCGCTGGGGAGCCCGCTACCGCCGCCGCTGCCACTGCCCCCGCCCCCGCGGCCGTCGCGACTCAGCTGGCCAGGGCCGCGGTGCCTTCCCCGCACCATCATGCCATCCACCGCGCCGGGCAGAGGGCGCTGGGCTGCGGCGGCCGGAGCCCGGGCGGCGCGGGGCGGGCCCGGGGGCCAGAGGACGCAGGAGGCTCTTCGCGGCGCGGGGAGGGGCTGCAGCGTTCGGCCTCCTGGACGGCTTGCAGGAACCATGAACCGCGCAGAGCAAACTCACGCAGCGCGCTCCTCGCCGCCGGGCTGCCAGGAAAGTCCCTTCTGCTGGGCCGCCGCCGCCGCCGCCTTCCTGGGCATGGCCCGGCCCGGCCGCCGGAGCGGGAGGGCGGGAGGGCGGGAGGGGGAAGCTGGGAGTTGTCCTTCCTTCCTTCCTTCCTTTCTTTGAAATCAAAATCTCTTCCTCGGGGAGGAGCGCGGGCGGCGGCTCGGGCGGGCTCTGCTGTCAGCCACCTCGGGCTCGGCGGCGCACGTGGGCTTTCAGGCGCCCTGGCCCCGCCGGGCGGCACTTGCCCGCGACGGCGGCCGCCCGGCGCGCATCTCCCGCCTCCCGCTCTCGGGAAAGCGGCGCCGGCGGCGGCAGAGCCGAGGGTGTGGCCGGCGCTGGCGCGGCCGCGCCGAGTCAGAGCCGGGCGGGAGCCCGCACCGATCGCGCCCAGCGGCCGCCCCGCTCGCGCGCTCGCCCGCCCGCCACGCCCGGGCGCGCCGGCCGCCGCGGCCGCCGCTTCCCGCCGCTTCCCGCCGCTTCCCGCCGCTTCCCGCCGCTTCCCGCCGCTTCCCGCCTCGCCGGCTCACAGCGCGCGGCCCGGCGCCGCGGCGGCACGCCCTCCCCGACCGCGCGCCCCGCGGCCGGCCGCTGGCTGGGGGCGCGAGTCCATCCCGGTCGCCTGGTCGCCTGGGGGCCGCAGCGGCTGAGCTCTCCCGAGACCCCGGGCCCTGCGCATCGGACGCCCGGCGCGCGTCTCCCGCGGCCACGCCAACTCAGAAGGTCCCCGCGGCGCTGCGGCCACCCGCCCGGGCCCCGGCTCCTGCCATTGGCGTCAACCTCCAACTTCCGAGCGAGCCGGGAGAAACTGAAAGGAAGGGCGGGGGCCGAGAGGCAGAGGGGCGGGCGCCCGCTTCCTCTCGCCGCGCGGCTCCTCCTCGGCGCGGGCCGTGGGTGCGCCGCCGCCCGCCGGGCCGCCGAGCCTTCTCCTCCCCGCGCCCGCGCCTCGCCCCCGGGCTCGCCGCCGCCGCCCGGCCGTCACCTCCCTGGGGCCTATAGAAATCTTTTGTGTGGCGTCACCGCCTTTCGTTTAAATCCCGCTTCCTCCTCTCGCCCTTCCTCCCGCCCCCTCCGCCGCTCCCGGATGCTTGCGCGAGGCGCTGCTCCTCCCCCGGGAAGCTGGGCGGCTGCGGGAGGACGCCGCCGCCCAGCGCGGACGCCGCGGGCGCCGCGCCGGGGGTCCCGCGGGGGGGGGCGGGTCGGGGGAGCCCCCTCGGCGCACGGCCTCGGGCGGGGGCCGGGGGGCGCAGCCTCGGGCGGCCTCGCGGGAGCCCGGAGCCGGCCCCGGGGCTCCACGCTTCGTCCCCGCCCAGCGAGCGAGCCTCGAAGGGACTGTTTCTGCACCGAGGGGAGGCGGACGCTGCTCCCCATCCCCCGGCCGCCTGCCGGGGGCCGGTCCGCGCGCTTTGCGGGGCCCGGGCGGGTTTTGCCAGCGCTCGCGCTGCCCTTTGTTGTGCGTGGCCCTCCTCCGGGGGCGGGGGAGTTCTGCAGGGCTGTGCGGGGCGCTGAGAGCACTTGCTATGGAGTCGGAAGAGCCGGCCCGGGGGCCCCTTGTGTGGCCGGAGCGCGGGCGTTGAACCAGACGTCCCGGGGTCAGCCTTTCTCCAGCCGTCTAGGAGTTGTGTGACCTTGTGCGAGTCCTGCCCCCAGGTGTCCGTCTTCTGCTCTCGAAATCAGACCGTGTGCCCTGATTATTACTTGGCTCATAAATAGTAGCTGGTAGAATTAGGAGCCTCCATCCGCAGGCTTTGCTCTCTCGTAACTTCTGTGTCTTCCGCTCGGCGACGGAATCAATAGTGGCCACTGTTAACGAAGAGGAACAGCCTTTGGAGGTGAACCTTGTTGTCCCGTTTTACACGGAAGGAACTGATCCGCTGATGCCTCCAGCGCCTTCCTAAGGGCAGGAGGAGAGCAAATGGCCGGGCGAGGAACCTCCTCCCAATCTCTTTTTCGTTTTACCCAGACCTTGCTCTTCAGGAAGTGGTTGAGGCACCTGGGCTTCCTTTAACCGGGGGGGGGCACCTCCTAGTCCCGAAACAGGCCTTCCAGGTGCCCAGCCCAGCACCAGCTTGGGTGTGTCCGCCAACGGAAATGTTTGCTCCCCCTTGTCCCTTCCTAGGACCCACCGTCACCTTTTTTTTTTTTTTCAGCCAGCCAGTTAATGTTACTTATAACTAAGATGACCTTGCAATTTATCATCCAAACTGAAACTGTTTTGAGAGTGAATTATGAAATATGCTATTAAAAAGTTAACCAGGAACAAGAGATACAAACCTGAATGGATAGTCACCCAACTTATGAGAGTGTCCTTGGATATTTCTAGAATCTAGACGAACCCACTTGTTTTGCAGCCAAAGCCAATAAAACTGACGGTTTTCTCAACAAGCAGCAGTTCTGTAGGGTTAATCCTTTTTTATTTTTCTATGAGGGAAAACCAGTTGGACTAATCAAGCTCTTCCCATGGTAACCCAAGAAAGCACCCTACCCTCACTTAGCTCCAAAAAACTTACTAGGAGAAGTCAAACCCTTCCCGCCATTCCTAGTGTATTCATGAAACTGGTCTAGGATGGGGATTTTTCCCCAAAGCTACTTGGTGCCCTGGGGGTGCTGTTTTCCTTCTACATGTCCATCTTCCTCTCTCTGCTGGACCCCTTGTGCCCCCTCGAGGAACCGTGTCACACATAGGATGTTCCACTACCTTTGCATTAGCCGTTAAAGCTGATTGGATTATTTTCTTCGCCCTCCTGCTTCATTTTTCAGATAGGGTGTCTCCTCCCACGCTGACCCTTCCTGGGACTACCTCCACCCTCCTTTTAGGTCACGTGACTTTCTGCCATCATTCATTCACTCCATAAACACTGGACACCTACCACGTGCCGGGCGCTCTGCTAGGCACCCACGCCACATCGAGGTTAAGTAAGGACTCTACCCTTCCGAAAAGTAGAGCCCAGAGAGCAACACAGCCACACCAGCAAGTCATCACAATGTCAGACCGCACGGAGGAAAGGAGCTGTCCCAGAGAGAGCGTGTCGCCGGAACGGTCCAGGTGCAAGTTGGCGGGGGTCGCGTGGTCCGTTCTGATCAACGAAATGGGAGCGGAAGTGATGTGCCTTACTTGCAGCGGAGGCAACGCAAAGCAGATCTGCGATTCTCCATTCTCTCTTCCCCTGCTCTAGCCACTCGGGAGATGGTTCTAGGGGGTGCAGCTCAAAGATGGTGGAGCCTCCCTAAGCCCGGTGGCTGGACCACACCGAACATTGACGTGTGCAGGACGTGCAACGTGAGCAAAACATGAGCCCAGCGTCACAGCGCGGACATCCGAGGGTTGTTGGTTGCCGTAGCATATTGGAATCTAAGTTAATGGAAGGCGGCTGTATGTGCTTCTGGAGTCACTGGAATAAGGGCTCTCTCTTTAGAAAACTCCACTCATTACCCCATCTGACCCTCTCTTAAAATATAATATGAACCAAAGGTACTGTGCAAAGTATTTTTCATTACAATGGAAATCGGGTGAGAGAAGCTGCAAACATATGGGCTGAAGGGTTGGCTGGGGGAAGGTGGATGGAGCAGACAAGGGGAAGCCGGGGCCAGGTGGGAAATAGCATGACCACTGGAGAATGTATTCTCGGTGCCTGGCTGAAGGCCGACACTTAGTGGGCATTTAATAAATAAATGAGCACGATACCAAAAGAGAGCTGATTGAGGGTTTGGGGAGGCAAGGCACAGAGGTTGGGCCACAGGCAGGATTGGGGAAACATGCTTTCCCTCCTTCCTTGCTTATTCTAGAAGGTGTGTATCCACCCCCTGGACTCTGGGCAGGTATAAAACAGCAGTATGAACACTCTGTTTGGGTTTGGCTTTTTATTTTTTTAATCGTGGCTCAATATTCCTTACATAAAACTTTCCATCGTAGCCATTTCTGTGAACTTAGCTATAGCTCAGTGGTATTACGTGCATTCACATTATTGTGCAACCATCACCACCCCCACCCCCAGATATCTTTCATCTTCCCAAACTGAAATTCTCTCCCTACAAAACAGTAACGCCTCATTCCCCCAACCCCCCAGTCCCTGGCAACCACCATCCTACCTTCTGCCTCTATAAATTTGTCTTCTGTAGTTTCCTTATATAAGTGGAATGATACAGATAGTATTTGTCCTTTGGTGTCTGGCTTATTTCACTTAGAATCATGTCTTCAGGGCCGTTGGTGTTGTAGTGAATGTCAGAATCTCCTTCCCCTTGAAGACTGAATAATATTCCGCTGCATGTACGTAGGCTGGGATTGATACCCAACTTTCTTCCTTCACTCCAGACCTTACAGACCAGCAACCCAGCTGTGTCTGGTCTGCTGTGCCACCTGTTGGTCAGTGAGGGGCACTCTGCGCTGATGTGTTTTTCCTTTGGTGTGGCGTCCCTGTGCTCACTGATGGGCCCGTTCCGTCTCAGGCGATCTTTCTTACACGTGGCCAAACACCACCCTTCATTATTTTCCTTTCAACTCTCCTCTAAAGGAGAGGAGTTTGTATCTGGTAGTTCCCCCCCCCCCACTCCTTTTCCCCAGTTTACTCATCCTCACCGGTGATGGAGAGTCTGACGCTCACTGGGTTGTGGTTCATGAGGGAGCAGGACCACGCCCCTCACCCAGCATGTCGTCCTGCTCTCTGGTGTATCTGTTCCCAGCCCATAAGAACACCTGGGGAGGATCTCACCCATCCCTCCCACATGCTTCCCATCCCCCTGCCTCCCCTCACTCCCCTCCCTCTGGGCTGTCTCTCTGTTCATCTGAAGCTGAGTATGAGAGGGAGGTGGGTGTGCAGGCCAGTTCCCCGGGGGAGGCACACGTGAGCACTCAGCTCCCAAGATCTGGGAGATCTGGAATTTTCTGCAGTCTAGCTTACCAGAGAGCCCTACATAGAGGTGAAGGTTGCTTTCACAGGTAAATTCTCTACCTCATTTCCCTACTGGTGAATGATCTTGAGAGGTATTTTCAAGAATTCTGTAGGGCAGGGGCGCCTGGGTGGTTCTGATGGTTAAGCGTCTGCCTTCGGCTCAGGTCATGATCCCAGGGTCCCTGCTCAGCGGGGAGCCTGCTTCTCCCCCTCCCTCTTCTTCTCCCCCTGCTCATTGTCTCTCTCTCTCTCTGTATCTCTGTGTCTCAAATGAATAAATAAAAAAATCTTAAAAAAAAAAAAAAGAATTCTGTGGGGTAGAAGATAAATGCCGAGATCCAGGCTCCAACCGCCTGAATAGAGTTCCTAACACTAATCGTGCCTAGCCATTTTTCCATCTCTCATGGTGCCTAGCACAGAATAAGTCAGCAACTGCAGATGGCCTAGCTGTATCCCTCCACGCGGAGCCTGAGCCCCAGACAGACTCTCGGGCATTTCTGCACCTCCCGTGCTGTGTGGCTCTCAGCGCCGAGTACTCTCTCCCCACAGCCCTGTCGCTTCGTTAGGGACAAGGACTCGATCTGTTCCTCCCTTCCCCCACACCTAGTGCATTGTGTGGTCATCAATAAATGTTTGTGGGAGCAATGAATAAATGAAATAACCTGTTTGCCATTCTCTGCAAGAAAGGCATGCTTTCACTGAACCAAAATCCTGCTGGCCATAGCTCTTGCTCAGTCGTGGACATAAAGTCATGAATATTCACGAACCCACTGCAAGGGCATGGCCTGTGTGTGCGATCGTGATTTACAGCTCACCGCTCTAGGGTTGAAACGTAGGCCTGAGGCCTATTTGCTTAGCAAGTGTGTTCACCCCATTTCTCTTATAGCTTGTTGAGGAGAGGCCAGAGAAGAGATTCTCTGGAAACAGAGATTATGAGTTCACTAACCATAACTGCAAATAGCGGTGCTAACAGAGTGTAGGTCATGTTTCAGACGACATAGATAAAAGTCCTACATTTTCTTTCAGATCTAATCCTCAAGTTTTCAAGGCAATTGCAGTATTATGGATAATTTGAGTTAAGTGTAGTATTCGGAGAATTTCCATCGAAGTTAGACTTCTTTCCTTATATGCTGGTACAGAGAACAGTATCAATCAATATTTTAGGGGCATCCATGTGTTTATGTGTGTCTCACCCCTTTTAACTTATCGTCATGGTGTTCGGCAAACGCAAGTTTAATTGTTCTGTTTCATTATATGAGTCCTACTCTTCTGTTCACAAATAATGAAGGTGATCAGGAATGGACTCTCACCCTAGCCTGGGGCAATCACATCTCTTCTGGAAATCTGGAATTGCTACATGGGAATAAATTGAGGGGCAGGTAAAGCTCAGGAGATTATATTTTCCCTCTTCTTGCATTGGATTCAGAAGGACCAAAGTGAAGAATGGTAAACAGCCCTGGTCTCCCCATGTCCACCTTAGCTCCACCCCCAGGACCCTACCTACTCCCATACCTCCCCATGATTCAGTCTTTAAGTGGTTAATGTTTGGCACACCAGAACCTCCAAAGCCACGCTACATCCTTCTGGTCATAGGCCTCTGTTCTCATTGATTAGTAAGTATGCCTTTCCCGTTTTTCAACATTCTGAACGTCACCCCTGCCTGATTCCTAATACTGCAAGAAATTCTTGTTGCACCCTCCAGCTGAGGCGTCCCTCCTCTGCTGTTGAGGGACACAAGCCAGGATAAACCCAGATTAGGACACCGGTTAGCTGTGAGATTCAATTTTACCATCTGCAGTCACTGAACCACTTAGAGGGGTGGTTACTATTAAACCTCGGAGCAGTGAGAAGTTTGTGGTTTCATCTAGCCCATGACCACACCATCCCTTTCACTTCTGCTCCCTCCTCTCCTGCCCTACAGCGTGCCTGGTCAGACTTCAGTCTCATCCCATCTGAGCATTCCTGCCTCCGACTCCTTTTCAGTGGATCTTCCACATGGCTCTCAGTTTCACTATGTGACTGTGATTAACCCAGTCGGTGCTACATGGAAGAAAGACACATCTTGTCATCCAAGACACCTGGGACCTCTGACGAATTATGTAATTCCAAAACCAGGGTTTCCTCTTCTTTAAAACAGGGATCTTATTACCATCATATCATCTCTTCAGGTCCTGACCTCCTGTAACCTGCATTATACTGACTGTGTATTGTTTCTCTCCTCTGCTACACTGTGAGCTCTTTCATGCAGCGACCTTGTTACATTAATCTTTCCATCAGTGCCTCATCTGGTTTTTGGGTCGACCATAGGCCCTCAGTAAATAAATTCTCACAGAGTTGAACTGAATCAAGTTCCAGACACCAAAACGGTGACAATGCAAAATCAATCCAGATGTTTTCACGTCAGTGGACTATAAACTGAATTGATTTGTTCCTTCGATGAAAGTCAGTAGCCCTGGAATTTTTTTTTACACAATCCCAATAATTTCTGTGGACCAGAACTCTCAGCACTTCTGCACCTTCACTTGGCTGCTGGCAAAATAAATGACCAGCGTGACCCCTCCCAGCAGAGCACATGATCGACCGCAGCTGCTCATGTGTTTTAGCTATGACTGAACCAGGACAGGGCTGCGAGCCACTGGGTGGAGCAGTGTGCCCTGGGGAGAGAGCTTATGACATTTCCCCTATGATTTCAGAAAAGAAAAGAAAAGGAAAAAAAAAAAAACCCTCTTTTTCTTACAAGTCTGCTCCATGTCAGTAGAAAATGTCACCGCCTGTACACATAGAGACGCGTGCGTGAGGACGGGAAGATCAGCCAGCTCTGCAGTGGGACGGTCCTCAGGGTGGAAGGAGGCACACACCTCTCTTCCCTTGATAACAGAATCCCACTTTTATTTGGGGTGACAGAGTATACAGCTAGAAGACAGTCTGCCACCCTCCTCTGGAGGGCTAGGTTCCGGCCAATGAGATGTGAGCAGAACTGAGCAGGCTGCTTAAAGGACGCTAACTCCAATGAAGAGCATACTCCTTTTGATCTTCCCTCCCTCCTCCTTCCCCTGGATCAAAGTCATCTTGATGCAGGTGCTCCAGGAGCCATCTCAGAACTTGCCATGAACTTGAGGATAAAAACCACTGCCCGGAAGAATGGAGCAGGATAAGAAAGGGGCTGGGCGCCAGATGACTGAGGAGCTACAATACCAGCCCTCAGTGCTTCACTTTCCAACTGCTTCCCTGAAAGAAAAATACAACACTAACAACAAAGCCCTCTCTCTTGTTTAAGCCACTTTAAAAGGAGCTCTGTTTTCTGTTACATGCAGCCTACTAATCTAATCCTACAAAGCCGGGATATATTAGTTTGCTAGGGCTGCCCTAACAGAGTATGGCAGATCAGGTGGCTTAAACAACAGGACATTTTCTTGCTGTTCTGGAGGGTAGAAGTCCCAGATTGAGGCATCGGCAGGGTTGGTTTCTTCGGAGACGTCTCTCCTTCACGTGTAGATTCCTGTCTTCTCCCTGTGTCTTCACATAATCTCTCCCCGATATGACTGTGACCAAATTTCCTCTTCCTATAAAAGACAGCATATTGCATTGAGACCAATCTTTGCAACCTCATTTTAACTTAGTTACCTCTTTAAAGACCCTGTGTCCAAATACAGTCACATTCTGAGGACTGTGATTAGGACTTCAACATAGGAAATCTGGGGGCCATACAGGTCAGCCCATAATACAAAGCATGAATGAAGAGGTTTATTGTGGCTTTTTTTGTAATAGCAGAAAAGTTGGTAATGTGTCCATCAATGGGGGGGGGGTAATAGGGAAATAAACTAGTGGTATATTAATACCAAAGCACGCTCTACGGAAGTATGAAGAATGAAAGTTCATCGTGTCATATCGCTAAGCGCAAAACACTTAAGGAACCAAAATGCTTCCTGATATGTACATTGTGCTGCCAAAGACATACATATAAATGCAACAAAATGTGTATGAATCACACTTCTAGAGACATTTTGATGTTTGTAAATGTATAGAAAAATGTCTATGTGACAAAACTGATTGGAGTACAGTTGTGGGGTGGAGGAGAACGTTTGAAACTTTGTAGAATGTTTGGATATCTCACAAGTACAGTAAGTGATGCGTGTCTTTCTTACATAATGAAAAACCTAAAAGAAAGATCAGATCGGCCATTTAAAACTCGTGTAATCTGGAAGCATCTCTGCCCAGACTCTTTTAAAATAAGAAACAAACAAAAAAAAGATTCAGCCTTGAAATGCATTAGTCAGAGCCTACAGTACTGGGTTAAAATCAGATGAAATACTGAAGTTGTCTTAAAAATGAAAAAAAAAGGGGGAGGGGGAATTATTCGCGTTCCAGAGATGACGGTGATCCTGCAGGTTGAACGGAATCCTCCGCGACCAGCAGCCAAGCAGCGGGCCCCGTCCTTCCGCGACCTTCTGGAAAAGCAGAGCTACCGCCGCTCGCTTCCAGGTAAGCGGCTGTTCGCCGAGGCGGCCGCAGGAGACGGAGAGGAAGCGTCCGTGGACACTCCGGACCCGGCTTCCCCCGAGCCCAGGCAGCTCCCAGGACTTGCACCTCCAGTGCCCTCTCAGGCCACAAACCGAGGCCCCGCGAGGCGCTGTCCGGCGGCCCCCGGAGGCCCTGGCGGGGCTGTGGACCTGGCTGCGCGGGCAGGGAGAAAAAGGACAGGCCTCGGCGAGCAAACGCGCGGGCGATGCGCGGCGACCCAGCTCGGGCCGAGAGCCCCATCCCGCCCGCGGGCGGGACCCCGGGGGCGGGGCGGGGCCAAGATGGCGCGGGGGCGGGGCCTCCAGAGGCGGCTACGAGGCGGGGCCTGGTAGGTCGGCGCGGGCCTGGGGGCGGGGCGGGGCCCGGCGGGGGCGGGGCCTGGGGGCGGGGCGGGGGCGGGGCCCGGCGGGGGCGGGGCCCGGCGGCGCGCGCACCGCTGGCTTCCGCGGCGGCGCGGCGAAGATGGCGGCCTCTGGCTGGGCGCGCGTGGCCCTGGTCGTCCTCTGCGCCTCCGACCTGCTGCTGCCGCCGCTGCCGCCCGGGGCCTTCGCTGCCGAGGGCGCGGCCGGGACGTCGGGCGAGGCCGGCCCGCCTCCGCGGAAGAAGAAGAAGGACATTCGCGACTACAACGATGCGGACATGGCGCGTCTTCTGGAACAGTGGGAGGTCTGCGCGCGCACGTCCGCCCCAGCTTCTCGGCGTCCCGGGCCCTGCGCCCGCTGGCCCCCGGCGCCCTCCGCACCCTCGCCCGGCCGCCTCCCGGCCCCCTGACGGCCGCTCTGCCCGGGCCAGGCGCCGGCCCCCGCCCCAGCGCTCCCCGGGGCGCTCTTGCCGCGCTTCCCTGGCCACGCGCGTCCCGGGCCGGCCCCTCCCGCCTCTGCCCTTCTGTACCTACGGGGCCCCCGTGGTCGGTGGGCCCGGCACGTGCGGAGGGAGACCTTTCCGCTCTGCTCAGGAATGGGGGGGGGGGCCTGAAGATCGTCCTTTTGAGAGGACCGTCTCCGCTTGGACGGGTGGCCGGCCCCCTAGATCAGTAGGATTTCAGGCTTCTCGTTCTGCTGTATTCTCTGCTGAGAGTTTCGTAATGGGGGTGGTGGAAGCAAAGGCCGCTGGCTCTCCGTAAACCCACATTTCCTTTAAAGGAGCAGAGACCTGTTTCTGCGAGAGTAAGTTTTTTGGTTCGTTACTTGAATGCACTGGAGTGCGTGATCTTTTCAGAGAAGGCTCAGCAAAGGAGAACACGTTGTGCCTTTTTCCCTCGCAAAGGCGGTTGTACCGTCCTGGCTGATTGGCACAGCTGGTGGCGTGGAGTCAGAAACGTGGGTTCTGCTCGCTGTGTAATCTTGGGCAAGTCCTGTTTCCTCTCTAGGCCTCAGGTTCCTTATCTGCAGAATGAGGTTTTACCCGATGACTCCTTGCCGCGCTGATGTCTTTTTGTTTTGTGGGCATCGCTGTGTACATGGGCGTGTCTGATAGAGACTTTCAGAGTTTAAAATACCATCTGATGAATTGGACTAGAAGAAAGCAGACTTGTGTTTCCGTATTTATCTGCAGGTGATGATGGCGAGATTGGGGTGGCTTTGAGTGTGCGCCCCACTGATGAAGAGGGAACTCCGGGCAGCAGTTCCTTCCACCTTTACTGTCTCCTTTTCTGTCTCCCGTCTCTTTATAAACTTGAGCAAATGAAGGTTTTGACCCCCCCCAAAGAAGAACACTACCTCTTGAGGAAATCCTACCCTGCAAATACTAAGACTGTGAGCTAGACAGAGGGGCTGCTGCGGAGATGAGCAAGGGATCCGCCATCAGGAACTGTAGGTGACAGGACGAGTAACCCTAACACAAAGTAGGAATTGCCGAGTTCTGTAAAAAGGAAGAAAGTGTCGTGGGACTTTCAAAAGGTCCCAGGGAGGAAATGGCATTTTAGATACTCGAGGGTGGTGTGGGAGCAGGGCCACAGGAGCTGGGGTGGGGGGGCACATGGGAACGGGGCAGAATGGTGCAGATGGTAATTGCCTAGGCTTTGGAATCGGACTGCCTGGTCTCAGACCACTTGTGAGTTTGGGCTGCTGAAGAACCTGTCCGCACTGTTAGTTTCCTTATCTGCAAAACAGAGGCGTTAGTAGTACCCACCCCAGAGTAGTTGGAGTATTAGCTTTAAGAGAGCCTGGAAGGAACATAGGGTAGCGCAACTCCCGACTGGAAGCCGTGCAAATATGAATCAGGTATCTTAGCTGGAAAAGGCTCTGTCTGAAGTTAGGTGTGGGAAGGTTGGTGGAGACCAGGTTGGCCTGGGCCCTGAGTGCTCTGGGGTCTACACTTTATTTAGAAGGCAGTACACAGTCGCTGATGAGTTTGCAAAGCTGCATGACCCAAATACTATGATACTGGGACGCTTACACGTGATCATCCCTACCTCCGGACAGAAATGTGCATTCACTGTCTCATGTTCCCTCTATATGCAGACATAGTTTTATAGTTGAGAGCATAACATCAATGTAATTTTCTGCTGTTCATTTTTTCACTTGATATATTGAGTGTTTCCCCGGGGTAACCTGCACAGTGTTCATAATACTCTGTAAAACCTTCAGAGGATGCCCTGGAGTGGATGTTTCAGCTGTTGGGAGGTTTTGAATTGGGGATATCATGATTAGAAAAGATGGATTGGTTGGCAAAGGTTAGGATGGATGGGCAGGGAGAGAATCTGAAGGCAGAAACGACTTCTTAGTTAATATTTACTGAGTTTTCATTAGCTAACAGGACTACTCTGAGCGCATTCACTCATCTCATGTTCTTACCCTGTTTTCTAGATGATGACAAGGAAGCCCAGAGAGGTTAAGTAACTCTCCCAAGGTCAAACAGCAAGTAAGCTGAATTTCAGGCTTGGTCATTTGACTTGCAGGCCTGTTCTTTTAGCCACTTTACTACAGTTCCATACACACTGGCGAGCAGAAGTACAAATGAAAGGTAATGAGGACGACCTGGATTAAGCCAGAAGCTGCAGGATCCAAGCGGAAGAGAGAAACGCGAGAGATTGTATGCGCAGCTTGGTTGGCTGGTGGATTGTGTGACCAGGCAGGAGACCGCATGATGTGCTGGAAGGTTGGGTTTTGAACCAGCTTTACCGCTTGGTAACTCTGTGACCCTCGTTTTCCTAACCGTAAAGCCAGAGACCTCCCCCTTCGAGGGGTGCCATGCAGACCAGATGAGCTAATGTTTGCAAACCCTCCACAAACGTGAGCTCCCCCCCCAGGAGCTGGGATTTTTCCTCCCCCAGTGGCAGTCCCTAAATCCATCTCCCAATTCCTTCCCACTAGTGTGAGAATTGGTGTGCCATGGAGAGGCCTGCCCCACGTGGGTGGGGTGGGGATGGGTAAAGGGAATGCTTTCCACTGGGTTAGACTTAATGCTGAGTCCCAACTGGTGTAGGAAAACCAAAGGCAGTTCTTTTCATTACACCTTACAGTGCGGGCAGGTGGGGGGAGGATTCCAGAGCCAGCAATGTGGGTTTGCTCTTCAGTGTCACCCCTGCTGGCATGTGACCTAGAGTGAGTTATTTGTCTTCTCTGGGCCTCACCCACCCCACGTTCCCTCGGGGCCTTGTAGGGCCGTCCTGAAGGCTCAGCGCCGGCTGCTCCATACATGCTAGCTTGTGTTACCATCAGGGACCACAGGAGCAAGGAAAGGATCTGCTGAAAGGGGAGTCAGCTTTGTGACTGAATCTGACTCAGCAGTGGAGAAGTGGGGAAGACGGCTGAAAATGCCTAGAGGCAGGGCTGGCCTGTTTCTGGGGAGTGCCTGGGGCTAGGGGCTTGATGGCAGTCCTCAGAGAAAGTAATGACCACAGGTGAGATTCTGCAGGGAAGAAGCCTTGGGACAGTGGAGAGCTGGACTGATAGCCGCATTGGGGCACTGTTCTACCCCCCCACCCCTGTGTTTTTGTAACTGAAACAAATACACAAATTTCCAAGGATGGAAATTAAAGTTGCTTGAAACAATCCTTACACTTGCTATAGGCACTGGACTTGAGATTATTTAGTTTTCATTAAGTGTCGCCTGTGACCTACTGAGTTAATTTCATGACCTCTTGAGTGAAATCAGTTTGAAAAACATAAATGTTCTAGGTTACTGAGCCAGTTAGAAGTCTTGAGGTGTTTTAAGGAGATCATAACAGATGTTATGGAGGAGTAGAACGAAAACAGAAACAGCCCGTGAATTTGGCGACCAGGCGGTCCTGTGTGATTTTGACAGTGTGATTTCCGGAGTTGGTTGGAGGTGTGATTGTTGGGGCCAGCACAGGCTGTTTACTGCTTGTCTTTGTGTCATTGAATCCCCAGACCCTAGGAGGGAGATGTCGTCCCCCTCCCCCCATCATAGGTGAGGAAAGGGATTTTCTAAGCTGCCCAAGATCCTGTGACGGGACAGCACGTGCCCCTGACTGCGGATCGCCATCAGCTCACAAAGCAGAAGGGGAAGGAAATGGGTCAGTTGGGAGGGTTGCAGAGTTGAGGAGAAGCTTGGTATGTTGTGTGTAGTCACACTGCTGGGGCCTCGGGGATCACCTAGCTCTGCTTTTCTTTTTATAGACGAGGAGGCGGGCCCAAGGGAGTAAGGAGTCCTATGCAAGGTCACCCAGGTGGTTAGGTAGAGCTAACGCTAGATCCCAAATCTGGAATAAAGGGCTCGCCTCCAAGCACTACTGTAGAAGTCTCTTGTGCTCATCCTTTATTGAAAATATTTTAAAGTACATTATTGTTGGTGTCCTCGGTGATTTGTCAAGAGAACCACGGAAGAGTGATACAGGGGCTTTGTTTCATTTTAGGTTGGTCGCTTTTCTGGGTTCTTTTCGATAACAGCTTTATTGTGAGATCATTCACTTGCCATACAATTCAGCCATTTAAAGTGCACATTCCAGTGGTGTATTCAGAGGGTCATGCAGCCATCACCACTCTCAATTTTAGAACATTGCCATCGCTCCAAAAATAAAATCTCATCTTACTCCCTCTCCCTCACTTCTCCCAACCCTCCAGCCAGCCCTAGGCAGCCACTAATCTCTGTTCTGTTCTGGACATGTCACCAGCAGCCCCGTACACCTGGTCCTCTGTGTGTGGCTTCTGTCACTTAGCATAGTGTTTTCGGGGACCATCTACCAGTACTTAGGTTGTTTTTGTTTTTGTTTTTGTGGCTGGAATTATTCGTCTTTTCTCTGAAGAACTCTGGTTTTTAAATATTTTTATTCATTGATCTATTTACCTGCCTTCCTACCTGTGAAAAGTCATGTGTCCCTTTTGATGCCTCCCAGTTCCAGCCTAATACCACAGGGTATATTCTTCCCCCTTCCACTGCTAGAACTCCCTTCCCCAAAGTGAAGAATGGGGCTGTCATTATCCTTAATACATTTACTCCTCGTGGAAGCCTAGATAGAATTCACGGATGGTAGTTTGAGGCTTGCTAGTTCACCCCACTGAAAAAACCAAGCCTGCTAACTAGAACTGAGTATTTGTTCTTACTGTTTAGTTAACGTTGACATACGTGAAATGCAGATTTTAAGTGTAGGGTGCTATGAATTTTGACAAATGGATACATCTGTGTCATCCACGCCACCATTAAGAAAGAGAACATTCCCATGACCTCAGAAAGTTCCCTTGTGTCCCTTCTCAGTCAGCCCCACCTCATTCCGCCTCCCAGGGGCCACCACTGTTCTAACTTGTCATCCTAGGTTAATTGTGTTTGAGCTTAAACTTTAAGTAACAGGCTTATAGGACGTCTGATTTTTGTGCCTGGCTTCTGTCACTCAGTCTTGTCTTTCTGAGGTTTGGGACACATCTTCAGTGCTGTGTTGCAGCTCACTGTAGGACCGAACCAGAATGTGGCCATTTTTACAATCTACCGTGCTGGGTAGATTCTTCCAGAGGGAAAGCACTGTTAAGCCATTACAGGGCTCTGGTGACCTGGAGTGATGGGTGCTAAGTCCCGCTGGAGACTTGGGCTTCCCCCAGAGGTTGCCTAGAGGAGGGAAGCTCCTGGGTCTCCTTTTTCCTGGGAGAACTTGGGTCGTCCGCCTGCACCTGCCGGCCGACAAGCGCATTCTAATGACTCGAGTGCTCTGTGCTCTCTTCTCATAGAAGGATGACGACATAGAAGAAGGGGATCTCCCAGAGCACAAAAGACCCTCGGCGCCTATCGACTTCTCTCAGATAGACCCGGGCAGGCCCGAGAGCATCCTGAAGATGACCAAGAAGGGGAAGACGCTCATGATGTTCGTCACTGTGTCCGGAAGCCCCACGGAGAAGGAGACGGAGGAGATCACCAGCCTCTGGCAGGGCAGTCTTTTCAATGCCAACTACGACGTTCAGAGGTAAAGCACCAGCAGGCCGGCTGGGGCCCGCGCAGTCCTCACCTCAGGCCCTGGGCCTTCCTGTCTCGGATTTCCCCTTACGTTTATTTCTCTCTCTTTTAAGAAGAACATTTATTATTGGTCACAGCCAGCAAGCTTTTTTTTTTAATATTTCATTTGATCCTCAAGTTTTATTTATCTTTGTATCTTTAACTCTGTCGGGGGAGGGTAGCGGACACGCTGCGGCGGGTCAGGTGCGCGGCCCGGCACTCCCTCGGCCGCGTGCTCTACTCCGCACCCTCCGGCTCCCAGCTCTCCTACAGCGCTGCGCCTTTCGTCCCCATGAGCTGGGGCAGGGCGGTCTCTGCGGGGCAAAGGAGTCACAGCCTGGCCACGTGCCCCCCTGGGGGGGGGTCCCTCCACGTGGGACAGCTTTCCCACTCGGCCTTGGAGCCGACTGCCGAATCCAGGTGAAGCGGTGGGGTTCCTTCAGCCCAGCGCGGCCCTCCTGTGCAATGCTCAGGGATTTCCTTTTTCCTCCTCAGTAACGGTCCTGAAATTCAGGGTCTTCAAACGTCCTAGTTCAGGAAACAGAAATGACAAAATGTGAAGGAACACTTAGTGTCTGCGATGGCGTGATGCTTTCATTAGCTTGAGCAGACGCATAGGGAAACAGGTAAACGGTCAGAGCCCCCGCTGCCCTCCCAGGGGCGGGGCATGGCCCTCAGGGACGAGGCCTTCGTGCCCCTGGCCACACCGGTGGGCCGCCTAGGCCCCATTCTGCTCCTCTTCCCCCTTGGGACCTGCTGAGTGCTGGCGTACGTGGGCTGCCTGTTACCCTCGGGGCTCGGGATCTCCGTCCAGTGGCCGAGTGTGTCTCCGACCCCTCGTGGGCCCCTTACGATGACCCAGCCTAAGCCCATGGTTTTCAGCCTTTGTCCGCAGAAGGCTTTTGGCAGAGGAAACCTTCACTGGGCACCTCAGGATGCAGAACAGACGCCCTCCTCCACGGCGGCAGCCCCGCAGTGCCAGGGGCGGTTCCCCAGGCCCCTCGCCGACGCTGTCTCTTAGCGCGGGCATCCACGCCCCACACAGCCCAGCTTCTGTGTCTCTGGGATTTGAGCTGAGGCGTGAAATCGTTTAGTCAGTAGCTAAACTACAGGTTTTTGTCCTGTGTTCATGTTGAATTTGGGAGGGATGATTTTTCCTGGTTGCATGCCACAGAGTGGCTCTGAGCCATTCGTGCTTTACTAGTGTGTTCTGACCATACGATCGCATGTCTCTGTCAAGGTTCATCGTGGGATCGGACCGTGCGATCTTCATGCTTCGTGATGGGAGCTACGCCTGGGAGATCAAGGACTTTTTGGTCAGCCAAGACAGGTGTGCCGATGTCACCCTGGAGGGGCAGGTGTACCCCGGCAGAGGAGGGGGGAGCAAAGAGAAAAATAAAACAAAGCAAGAGAAGGGCAAGAAGAAGCGGGAGGGGGACCCGAAGTCTCGGGCCGCCACGGCTGCAAAGGAAGACAATCGAGCTGGGAGTAAGAGGGAGGAGTTGTGAGCGGCCGCTGAGGCCCCTTGGGAGGAGCCCCCCGGGCGGGGGCAGGCAGGAGCACCGCTCGCCGAGGACATCCTGCTTTCTTCTGGAAAGGCTCTGCCGTAGGACCAGTTTGTGGTCCACGTGAGAAGTACCGTCTAAAAGGCTTCAAGTAGGACAGAGGTCTCGTCATTCCTGTTGGACAATGACACTTCCACGTTTACCAGAAAATCACTGTAAATGGAAACCCAACCATTGCTTTTGCCATTTCTGTCTGGGGGCGTCACTGGCTCCTGCGGCCCCACCCCCTCCCCTCGCCGGCCCTGACCCAGGGCTCGCTGTGTCCGTGCTCCCCTCCTTTCTGTTCACGGAAGCGCCGCCACGTTCTAATCAGACCTGGACTCAGCGGGACCGGGCTCTTCGGGCCGCAAACTCGGTTTTTGGGACTGTGATGTCGAGCACGCCCCGGAAGCCCCGCGTGGCGCTCTGGGGCCTGAATGTGCGGTCAGGACGCCGGGATGTCTGACCCCGACATCGGTGCAGAGAAAATCACGTAGCCTGGAAAGCCCAGGTCTGCACTGTGAGTCCCCAGAGGGGTTCTCGGTACCCGTCTGGGTTTACGTGGTCTGTACGGTCGGGGCTGTCTTTCCTGTCCTCGTGTGGGGCAGCCGTGCCGCTGTCGAGGGTTCAAGCGCGCCGTCCTGCGATGACGCTGAAGGGTGGGCATCGGGAGTCTGCAGGTGGGACGGAAGACTCGTGACCTCGTTCGTTTCTGAACATTTTTCTTCGATGAAGTGCCTAAACTTGGGGTGTTCAGTGTGGTGCTAACATGGCTCAGTACCTGCTCCTGTTGGGAATTGCTGTTCATGCAGCAGACGGGACTTGTGTGCGGGTGTTACTGGTAGGAACTAAAGTTATTTGTACAAAACTTCCATTGTGATTTCAGCAAGTGAAGACTAGCTCGTGTCCGTGCTTCCAGGTGTTACTGCTGGAGGAAGGTACAAAGGGACAAGTCCGTGCCTACCCCCTGCCGCTGCCTCATCTCAGGGGAAGCTCCTGTTCTTTGTTTCCAAGGGGAAAAAAGTTCACCAGCATCTTCTAGTGACGTGTTTCTTCCAGCCTCTGTGTCCCCTGATTTGGCAACTATTCAGATTTCCCTTGGATGAAGCATGCGGACGGATGTCCACCCTGCCGTCCCCGCCTCCAGCCGCCCTCGCGGCGGGGCTGAAGGGCATCAGGCCCAGTCAGAGCTAATCCCGGGGTCCGTGTGCCTCGGCCACCTCAGGAGGAGGGCTTTCTTGTGTCCCCTGCTCCTTGAATGGGGGCGCGTGAGGCTGGGGCTGCAGCTCCCCGGCCCCGGCCCGACGAGGGCTGTCTGAGCCCCTGGATCCAGCCCCGGGTGCCTGGCTGCGTTCAGTTTTTACCTCGGGAATCTGCTGGCTTTCTATCCACTCTAGCTGATACGGATCATTGCTTTACCCGACATGGGGAGGGTACCCTTCACACTGCCCTGTACCTTGTATTTTCACGTGAGGATGTACTAACCTCACTGCTTCCTGTGCAGCGGGTGGCCATGTCAGCCAGTGTTTAGAGCGTCGGTTAGCGTGCTGGGCACACAACAGCCCCTCCTGTCCTGAAACTTAATGACCCGGTGGAGGAAGACAGATACTCATCACACATAAAATGCAGGGCACTTGGGTGGCTCGGTTGGTTAAGCGACTGCCTTCAGCTCAGGTCGTGGTCCTGGAGTCCCGGGATCGAGTCCCGCATCGGGCTCCTTGCTCAGCGGGGAGTCTGCTTCTCCCTCTGACCCTCCCCCCTCTCATGCTCTATTTCATTGTCTCTCTCAAATAAATAAATAGAATCTTTAAAAAAAAAAAAGAAAGAAAAGAGGTGTACAGTGCCAGGAGGTGGGGGTGGAGGCGGGGGGAACCTTCAGATGGTCAGAGGGGTCCTCCCTGAGGCAGGAGGCAGAGGAACCGTCTGTGCAAAGGCCCTGTGGTTAGAAGGAGCAGAGGAGGGATGGCAGGAAGCCAACGAGGAGTCGGGGGCATAGTGCAACACCCGCCTGAAGAGGGACGAGGTACACGGGGCCTGGCAGGAATTTGGGGCACCCTGAAGGATTTTGAGCTGCGCTGGGGTGAGCATGAGAGACCATCCCACCTGTACTTGGCTGCACTGAAGAACTGATTGCGCGGGGCCCCCGGTGCGTGTGAGGGACAAGTTGGAGAGTATTTCAGTAGCTCAGGCCACAGCTGCGGGTGGCCCCAGTGAGCGGCGTGGCGGTGAGGGGTGACCCACAGTTGACCCGCATACTGCCTGCTGGTGGACCCTTGGGTTTTTCCTTAGTACGTGGAGCTGCCAGAATATTTTGGTAACTTTATATCTGAAGGGCAAATTCCTAGCAGTGGAATTGCTAGAACAAACAAAATGTAACATTTGGTCTGTGTTGCCAAACTGCTGTCCCGAGCGGTTTTGCGCCCTTGCACCTTCACCAGCGATGGGGCTCAGATCCTCGCTGGCGCCGGGCACTGCGCTGGCCGCCGCCAGAGATGCAGACCCCGTAGCTGCCTCGGCTGCCCCGCAGAGCTAGAGATGCCAGCCAGCCGCACCTGTGCCCAGCCCCTGGCACCGATGGGCGAGCTGGGCAGCCTCCGTGGAGAGGAGCTGCCGCGACCCGCCGGGCTGGATCCGCAGACTCGCCAACGAGAGAGAGGTGTTGAAGAGAGGGCGGCGGGACATATGCAGATCCCTGCAAATGAGAGTTCAGTCTTGCCTGTTCGTGTTGGTGTTAATGTCTTGATCCAATACGCTTGCGTGGTAGCTTTTGTCTACCGCCTGTGAGACACGAGAGCTTCGTTAGGTAGACCGCCTTCCTCCCTTTGTCCTCACGCCCTCTGGGTTCTGATGGTTATTCTCTGGTTTTTAGTACTTCTGGTGCTTTCCTTTACAGATTATGTTAAACCTCTTGCTGTTTTTTATTACCAATTTCAGTAGCATGTATGCACCCCTAATCAAGGCAGGGAGTTCACAAACTTTCTCCTACTGCCCCGATCCTTGTGAACCGTGTTATGTGTGTTGGTCTGAGACCAGCCACTCTCTCTCCTTCATAATGACTGCCTTTTCTCTCAGCTTCCTGGGGATCCTTCCTCAATGAGAACATTCAGTAATTCTGCTAGGAAGTCTTAGTGTTGATTTTCCTTTTTTTTTTTTGAATTCTCGTAAAAGATGGTGTGTTACTTTCCATTGCAGATTCAGGGATTTTTTTTTTTTTTCCTTATCGTTTTGGAAACATTTGTCTTTTACTTTTGTGTTGGGGTTTTGGGCACCCATTTTTTTCTTAGTTCTGATGTGAGTTTTGTTTTTTTTTTTTTTCATTTCATTCTGTTTTTAATCTCAGTGAGCTGTTTTTATTAAAATTCAAGGTTTTATTAAATTTTATGAACTCAGAAAGTCCAAATGGAGAATCTCCCCCTTGGGTTATATTTTTTTCCCCCAGAATGGACTATTTCTCTGTGTTCATCAGTGTATTTGTTCTTTTGTTGTTGTTTGGTAATTTCCAAATGTTTGGATGGCTGCCAGTTCATTGCTTTTCCCCCTCTTGTTCATGCTTAGTGGACACAGCGTTTCCCAGATGTTGGCCCACAGCATCTATTTTAGGTGAATTCTGACTCCCCTTGCTCCTCTGAGTGTTGTTTTGTTTCGCTGGAGCTGTGATCCAAGGGCTCAGGGTGCCGTCCCTCAGCTTTTCCGTAGCTGAGCAGGACCAGCAGGGGCCCAGGCAGGGCTGCGTGCGGTCTGGCTTGACAGGCAGGCTCTGCGCTCCTGTGGTTTCTACCCAGTGTCCTGGATTAGGCGGCTCCTCCCCACGGTGCCACTGGGAGGGGGTGACCACCATTCCTGGAAGCCACTTGTCACATCTTTGGAGAGTTTAAAACACTAGCAGTGGACCTTGGACCGTCGGCTCCCCTCAGGGAGGGTCTGGCTGGAGTGTTCTTTGCTTCACTCTGGGAAAACCAAGTCTTCTGTGCCCAGAATGTGGGGTGCTGCCCTTGGCCAGGGCAGGACGAGGGGGCGGGGGCGGGGGGCGAGGCGCTCGCTGCAGGCACATGGTGGAGGGGGGTCACCAAGCACAGCAACCAGCATCAGTCAGATTTTAATGCTGTACATAAAAAATATAGTTAATGTTAAAAAAAAAAAACAACACCTGACAACAGTTGACCTTGTTAGAGATGGAATCAGAGCAGGGATGAGGGTGGACGGTGAGGCCACGCTGGAGAAGCGTGGGGTCGAGTCATCCTCTGTTTTCACAGTTCATACTCCCTGACTTCCCAGGTTCTTGCTTCCAGAGGAAGAACTGAAATCCTTATTTTTACTAAGGTAACATGACAGCGATGTTAAGAGATCTCTATAGAAGGAAGAAATTCATCCGCCAACACCTCGCCGAGCTCTCGAAGCTCCTGTCATTTGACCACATGTCCTTCAGAGCATGATCTCTGCACTTTCTGTCCTGGCAGAAAGACCAATCCCTCTTCAGCTCTTACCACTTAGCTTTCTATTGTAATACAGCGTCCACATCGCCATACAGACTTCACGTCTGATGCTTAGCAGCGCTGTGATGCTCCCATGCTTTTGCTGTGCCTTGATTTTACTCACCAGACCGATGTTGGGGAGAAAGTCGGGCCAGACCACGGTGCCAAGCATGGCTCTGTTAACGGTCTTCACCTCACTGTCCACGCATCCCCCTCTGGCAGCGTTGGCTTCAACCCAAGCCCACCCGGCTCGCACGAGTGACCCTACCCCGCACCCCCTTGGTCGTGGCCATTTGCCCCGGACGTGGGCCCCTCACGCCAGAGACTGAATGACCCGGTGGCTGAGTCACTGAGAGATGAGCAGCTAGAGTGAAGGCGTCAGAACCTCTCTTGGTGAAGTTTCTAGATTTGCCCTGCATTTCTGACCTCCTGGGCCTTGACTGTTTAGGTTGACTCAGGATTCTGAGAGCGAGCTCTGGGTCCTTGTAATCAACTTTCCCCCAGAGCTGCTTTGGAGAGGGCTCTGCTGCTGATCTAACCAGCCCCGGCCCCATCTGGTTTGTCTGATTCTCCGATGACGTGTGTCAGAAGAGGATAAATCCAAGCGCAGGTGTAAAGCCCCCCACACGGGGCTGGATCAGTGCTCCCTGTATCTCTTTCTAAACTGTTGAATGTTTGAGTTCTTTTTAGCTCCTCACAATCTTAAACTGAAACTCGTTCCTTGCCTCCCTGAAGATGAGTCCTTTAGTCTTGGCTTCAAGATTACTGGAAGAAAGGACATGTTCATGTTGTGTGTTGTCACTTTATTTCCAAAAGGATTATATCCATTTGCACCGTCACCAGCAATATATGAGAGTTTGTCCTCTTCTGCCCATTCTGCCAAACACGGACCAGAAAGGGGCATTATTTTTAATTCATTAGTGTATTTATTTGTTCAGAAAAACACTTACTGATCACTTACATGCCAGCCATAGTTCAATACATATAAAACAGTAATTTATTTTAATTTGCGTGCCTTTGAATATTAGGGGGGCTTCGTGTTGTCTGTGCTTACTGAAAGTCCCTCCTGTGAAAGTGATTTGTTCTTTTGTCTCAAATCGATTGGTAGATTCTGTTCAACAAAAATTGTGTGCTGGACACTTGTTATAAATGACGAGGAAGACGTTATTCAAGAGAGCAAGGGGGGCGCCTGGGTGGCTCAGTTGGTTAAGCGACTGCCTTCGGCTCAGGTCATGATCCTGGAGTCCCTGGATCGAGTCCCGCATCGGGCTCCCTGCTCGGCGGGGAGTCTGCTTCTCCCTCTGACCCTCCTCCCTCTCATGTGCTCTCTCTCATTCTCTCTCAAATAAATAAAATCTTTAAAAAAAAAAGAGAGAGCAAGGGTGTGCCCCCAACGCTGAACGCAGCAAACAGCAGGGAGGCCCGAGGGCTGGGTGAGAGGAACCTGTTGGAAGGCTGGGCGTTCTTGCTAAACTGGCCACACGGGATTCTGACCGAAGGCAGGCCCAGGACTTGGGTGTCAAGGGTCGGGGGCAGGTACTGGACTGACTTAGCAGGGTCCTCTGCCAAAACTGGGCTCAGCAGGCCAAGCCAGGGGCCTGGTTGCGATGAATCCTCAGGGGAGCCTGACTAGTTTGGTCAAGGACAGGAGTCTGCCCTCTCCTAGTTTTGCAATGTGTGTGTCCTTTGTTGAGCACAGTGTGAAATCTGGCGAAGTGTTTCCGTGTGGTGAGGCCGTGAGTTGACCCTCAACTGGACTGGGTGAGTCCCAGGCTCAGTGCCGAGGGCGCGCTGCGGTGGGCAGGGACCGGGCTCTTCACCGGGGGTCCTGGGGATGCAGGTCTGAAAGGAGAAGCCTGAAGAGGAGAGTAGCTGAGTCGGACCCTCCAGTTCATTTGGGGCTGGGGGCCGAGGAGGAGGATGATGACCGCAGCGACAAGAAACTCGGCTCGGACTTGAGAACCTCCACACCTTCCCATTACCTGCCTCCCTGGAGCCTCGCACCCGCCCCGCCGCGGAGCCAGCCGAGGGGGCAGGGGCTGGCCGGCCGTGGCAGGGCCAGCGAGGGCTCCGCCTCCTTCACGGGACCCTGTCGGTGAACTGTTCCTTCTCTCCACCGTCCAGCCCCGAGAGCTAGGGACTGCTGGGGCAGCCAGGTGGCCAGACCCTCTAAAGCAACCAGGGTCTCCTGTTTAGAGTCCGCCCAACAGTTAGGGGTGTGTCCACCAGGGGGCAGCAGAGACCGGCCTCTGCCCGCGGGCTGCCTCCCTGGGGTGGGAGTCCATCAGCCCCTGTCCTAAGGAACCCGTCACTCCGTCTGCACCTGCCGGGCATCTGTGCACGTGTGAACACACCTCTTCCTCCGACTGCCTCTTTGGAACATGAAAGACTCCGATCCTTGTGTCGTCCACACGTACTAATGCAGTTCGTCCTCGCAGTGACCCTAGGCAGGCAATGCTGGGTTGTTCCCCCCGCTTTACACACAAGGAAACCGAGGCACGGAGAAGTGGAGGGTTTTTCCCAAGGTCACACTGCTAGGGATTGACAAAGGCAGGATTCGAACCCGGGCAGTCAGGCTCTGCCTGGGAAGGGGCTGCTCCCACACGCGGCCAGTCCCCTCACTCACCCAGGACTCACTGAACACCAGCGGGCTCCTGGAACTGCGAGGGCGACGGGTAAGGTGACCAAGGCAGGCGAGTCCCTCTCTCGGCGGAGACAGTGCGGTAAAGATGCTCGGTGTCGTTCACCACCTTCTGAGAACCCACTGTGTGCAGGCTGTTGGCACACTGGATTTCGCTCACTCCCCCGAGCCACGGGCTTGCGTGGGGCCGGTTAGAGCGCAGGTCTGCAGTTGGACCCCCCAGCCCCCCACTGCCAGGCTGCGGCACTGTGGGCACGTTCAGTAAGCACCCGGCCCGGGCCCAGGGGGCTGAAAGTTCCCGCCTCCTGGGAGAATAACGGGGTTTAAGTGAGCAAAGCCACGGGAAGCACGCAACACGACGTTCCGTGTGTGCCGGCTGTTCCCACGTTTGGGGTTCTTAGGTGAGTGAACAGAGGCTCGTGGGGGTTGACCCAACTGTCCCAGTCACAGCTGGGGGGAGGCACCAGGGCTGCCTGGGGGGCTGTGCTCGCCCTGTAGCACAGCTCCCTAAGGGGTGGCAGAGGGGATGTCAGAGACTGCCTCGGAAGCAGGACGGCCGTCTGCCCCGCACGCTGCATGCAGCGCGGTGGCCTGCGTCCTTGGTGTTGCACTCCCAGATCCTTGTGTGGCCCAGGGCCTGCACTCTGGCAGGGCCTTCATCCCGCAAAGGGCGAAGACCAGGGCCAGGTGGTCAAATCCCAAATCCTGGGTGGACCACAGGCTGACGATGCCATCTGCAGGACCAGGGATTCTAGTGGGCCCGTTCAGGAGGTCCCACCAAGTATCACAGGCCAGAAACTCCGGGGCCTCCTCCACCTGGGCCACCTGAGCTGTAGCCGAGGCCGCTTGGTCGACTCCCCACAGGGCTCGTTGACCTGACCCACGCTTCTCCGTGCGTGCGCCTGCCGCTCAGATTCCATCCAGCCCTGGATGGACTAGAGCGGCCCGGCCGGCAGGGTGTTCCAGGCTTGGAGCGCGGTGCCTGGCAAACCCAGGGCAGTTCTCTGTCCTCCAGAGAAGCCTGCCGAAGTTTTCGAGGTGAAGCATCCGAGCCCACAGATTTGGGGCCCAGAGCAGCGTGGGCAGGGCGAGCTGCCGTCTGGAATGTCAGGAATTCCTGGGGACATGTGGTCCGCTCTGCATCTGCTCTTCCCGGCCAGGCCAGCCGGCATTCTTCATCCCGGCAGTGAGGCTTCTCGCCGTGGGCTTGGATACCCGGGGGCCTCTTTGATCCTCGCCTCCTGCCTCAGCCCTGACTTGGATGACTTTGAGTGCCATATTTGATGTCCCTCGCCCTCACCTCTTCTATAAACGGGCGATGAGTTCCGCCAGGCCTGGAATTTACAGACCAGGATCCGGAAGAAACAGAGCAAGAGGGACTCCTTTCCAAAGCCAAGAGGGGTCCCTAAACCCCTAGGATAGAACGAACCTTCCTTACAGACTCCCTGAGGTCTTTGCTCCTCCGTTAGAGCCCCTTGAGGGTAAGGGTGGTAGTTTCTGCCTTTGGGCACCTACTTCCAGTTTTGAATCCGTGTATGTATCTGTCACTTCTCTGTGCCACAGTTGGACCAGACCAGCGTTCCCCAAAGGAATTTAAACAAGGGAACAGCCCCTGAGGAGGAGTTTGCCACTGCCTGCTAGCTCTTTGGGCTTTTGAGATGCGGAACCAGGAGGGAGGAAGAGGTGCAAAGGCCCGGGGCACGAGTGGGCATGGCCAGGATGGACGCGGAGGGAGGGAGGCGGCCGGTGGCTGTGGGAGCGTGGCCCTGTGTGGGGTGTCAGAGCCGGAGGGTGTGTGTGTGCGTGCACGTGTGAGCACGCATGTGTGTGCACGTGTGCGTGTGCGTGAACACGTCCGAGGTGGGGAATGCCAACCAGCTGGACTCCAAGGTCGTTTAACCTGGAACCCGTAACCCACAGGGATTCTGCCGCTGACTCCACCAGCGAGGGAGCGGGGTGTCGCCACAAACTTCGGAAACAGAATCTCAACGAGGACTGATAATTCATCAAAGCAGACCGTAAGTTATTTAGTCGTTCCGTGTAGCTGAACACTGGGCTTCTTCGACCCTGTCAAATGAGTACAAAGAATCCCAGAATGAGCAGTTTGATACCCAGGCTCTGTTTGCCCAGGTCAATGCCCCATAAGTACTTAGTAGCTCACCAAAACAGACTGTTTTTAAGGCTCTTGACTCGTAATGCTAAATACTCCCTAAACCGGCCACTTCCGACTTTCAGACGCCTTTTATCACAGAACTGTTGTGAAGGTGCGCGAACACAAAACCGTGTGCGAGGTCTGCTGGGTTCCCGGTCCCTGTCACCAGCTTTGATAATTGTCCATATTTCCATAGTCGTTTTTAATCTGTGTTTTGGGAAAGGGAACATGCCTCAATTTAACCACCCTCTGATTTTTGACTATTAGGGTTGTTTCAGAGTTTCCGTTACCGTGTCAAACACCGCAGCGAAGGCCCCAGTCACCGGTCCTCACGCACCCCCATAGCCCTCTGCTAGGATGCATTCTTGGACACAATTCTGGAGCCAAACTTTGCACACATCTTCGAATCACTTTTACGTAACAGTAAATCACTTCATAGAAATGTGCACCAAGCATCTGATCACCGTCTACGAGTAACCGTACTGGTCCCTTAGCGGTCAGTTTGATGGGTGATCAACAGCATCTTACTGTTGTTTCAATCGGCATCATATAATTGCGGTTGAATTTTTTAATGTATTTATTTCCCATTTGTACGTTTTCTTCTGTGAATGGCCCCTTCTGGTTTTCCTTCTGGCTCCCCCCCCGCCCCCCCGCCACCTGCCTACGTAAACTTTGTAAGAGCACCTCGTGTATCAAGTATCAGTAGAGTCCAGCAGGAGGCCCTAGGAAGGATCATTTCATGAAGGGGCCACTTGCAAGCTCTGAGTAAAGTTTGGGCCACAGCCAGGAGTGGGGCAAAGAGCCTGGGCCTGCAACCACAGGAAGCAGTCACCAGCCCGAGGCCTGGGGATGCCGGGAGGGAGGGAGGGCAGTTACTGGGCCCCAGGCGGACGGTGGGAGAGGGCCCTGGCTTGCTTAGAGGGATAGCGCCAGCCCACAGAGACCCAGCAAGGAGGGAAGCAGTGACCCTCATTCCCTGAGCCAGCACCCCCCACCTCCTGAAGGGGCCTCTCGCCGGCCAGCCCCGCGGGCAGTCGGGCAGGGAGCTGCCCCTGGGCGGGCCGAGGATGGCGGGGTGGAGCACACACAGGGGCCCAGCATGTCCGCAGATACCTACTTCTACCTGGGAGATCCATTTTAAGCTCGTTTCCTCCGTTGATTTGTCTCCAGTATTATTTAGGATTTTAAACTTTAGTAATTCCACGGAGTGCTGTCAACCAATCTTGATGACTTCACCTTCAGGGTTATTGCTCAGGAGAGCACTCCCCATCCCCAACTTTGTCTTTATTCAGCCACATATACTGTGTTCTCTCTGGCCTGGGAAGGACAAGAAACCACTTTAAAAGACACCACGAGGCAAGTCCCCATGTTAGCAGCCTCGTTCTGCTACCAGAGAGAACGTGGTCCTGCCCAGGGGGTGCAGTCCTCACCCACTTCCCTCGGCTCTGGGAGGGTCTGCTGTGAGGCAGAGACCGGCACAGAGATGGGTGTTTCCCTCAGGGCTGCCTTCCAAGCACTCTGCTGCCTCAGCCCCCTGCCAGCGATGGGCTGGAGCCCGCTCACGCCAGCTCGTGAGAACCAGGGCTCCCACGGACGGGACTCTCGGGCTCTGCAGCTTGCCATGGGCCCTGTCGGGACAGTCACACCGTGGGCTTCAGCACACCAGAGCTTTCTCCTCCTGCCCTGCAGCCAGCTCACCTGCACCCTCTCCTCTTCCTGCTCCGCGTCCCGAGCCCCCCCATCCCTGCTGGCTCCTACAGGGTGGGGCACAGAGCTGGGGGCTGGAGGAGGAGGGGCAACAAGCCTTCTCCAATCTGTGCGGTTGCAGATGTCCTCGGATGCCCTCTGTTAGGGCACGTGTCCGAGTGTTGGCTCTTTGGCTTGGGACATGTTCTGGGTTATTCCCGGATACTGTCCTGCCTACTTTGATCTGAGCAATACAGTTCCCAGTTGGACACTGGTAAAACCACTTTCTCCTTCAGCTCCTGCCTCTGGAGGCACCCACAGCCCCTTCCAGTAAGGGTCCCCCAATCGGAGCAGGCAGCCATCTGGGGCAGCGGCCTTCAGGCTAGTTCACGCTGGGGGTAAGCTCCGTCCTTGCCCAGCCCAGAGGTGGCCGCCCATCTATGCAAAGGCTGCACTCCGTTCTCCTGGGAACTGCGTGTTCACTGGGTCCTCCTTCAGTTACCCCCAGGTGAGCAGAGAGACATCTTCAGCCTCTACCCTCCCAAGTGACAGGGAGACAGGGCAGCTCTCCTGAGGACGCTCTTCCCCACGTGGGCAGCAGCTGGGGGGTCTGTGAGTTTGGGGCTCAGCAGTATCCAGCTGAGAAGTGAAATGTCAGTCTTGTCTTCCTGCAAATTCCCCATCTCCCCAAGAGAGGTTCTCTTGGCAGCCCTCCGCTGGCTTGGGGGCTGCACCCCTGGAGGGGGGGAAACATTCTCTTCTTGGAATTTCTGTCAGGGAAGGCCCCCTGGGCAGAGTCTCTCGCCTTCCGTTCCCTAGTCTGGAGGTGAGTGATGGGGCCCCGAACAGCCCTCTCCACGCATCCTTCAGGGACGACTCAGGCAGCACCTGCTCAGAACGTGGGTAACTGTCACCCATTGCCCCCACCAAGCCCCGCTGCACAGACTGGTCCTTGCAAGAGGCAAGTGTGCTTACAGCTCCATCATGTTAGGGCCACCACAGTCATGGGCTCTGCAGATCCTTGGTGCTGCTCGAGGTGGTGGCCCGGAGAAAATCGTCTTTGCTCCACAGAGCACCCGGATGAGTGTTTGGATAAGAAAAGAAATGCTTAGCCCACTTTTTAAAAAAAGATTTTATTTATTTGTCAGAGAGAAAGAGACAGACAATGCACAAGCAGGGGGAGCGGCAGAGAGAGGGAGAAGCAGGCTTCCCGCCGAGCAGGGAGCCCGATGCAGGGCTCGATCCCAGGACCCCTGGATCCTGACCTGAGCCAAAGGCAGCCGCTCAACCCAACTGAGCCCCCCAGGCGCCCTGCCTGATTTTCTTTTTTAAGTGTAATTAGTGGAGGGAAGCAGCAATGCTTTGGATAAGGTGAGAAGCATTCTGATTTCCCAGACGCAGCAGCCGGACCCAGGAATTCACTTAAGGTGTGTGCCTCGGGGGGCGGGGCGGGGGGGGGAGGCGGACAAACTTTGCGGCAATGATGACTAATTTTCTATTTTAGTTTGTTGCTCTGCCATATTCCCAAGCCTTCAGCAAAATCCTGCTGCGTATGAGTGACTTCCCTGTGTTCGTATAATTTGGGGGGTTCAAGAAGGAAAGGGGCTGTGTTTCCCCCCGAGGTCATTGTGTAGTGGGGAAAAGGAACAGACAAGGGAGGTCCGAAGCAGAGGCCAGCTCTGCATGGGAGCAGCAGAGGCTCATGGGCGTGCGTGCACGTGTGCATGGGCATGTGTGCGTGGGAGCAGCAGAGGCTCATGGGTGTGCATGGGCGTGCATGCATGGGAGCAGCAGAGCCTCATGGATGTGCATGGGCGTGAGTGTGTGGGAGCAGCAGAGGCTCATGGGTGTGCGTGCGTGCACGTGTGCATGGGCGTGCATGCATGGGAGCAGTGGAGGCTCATGGGCATGCGTGTGTGCACGTGTGCATGGGCGTGCATGCATGGGAGCAGCAGAGCCTCATGGGTGTGCATGCGTGCACGGGTGTGCATGGGCATGTGTGCATGGGAGCAGCAGAGGCTCATGGGTGTGCATGCGTGCACGCACGTGTGCATGGGCGTGCATGCATGGGAGCAGCAGAGCCTCATGGGTGTGTGTGCACGTGTGCATGGGCATGTATGCATGGGAGCAGCAGAGGCTCATGGGTGTGCATGCGTGCACGCACGTGTGCATGGGTGTGCATGCATGGGAGCAGCGGAGGCTCATGGGTGTGCATGGGCATGAGTGTGGGAGCAGCAGAGGCTCATGGGTGTGCGTGTGTGCATGTGTGCATGGGCGTGAGTGTGTGGGAGCAGCGGAGGCTCATGGGTGTGCGTACGTGCATGTGTGCATGGGCGTGTGTGTGTGGGAGCAACAGGCTCATGGGTATGCATGCGTGCATGCACGTCTGCATGGGTGTGCATGCATGGGAGCAGCGGAGGCTCATGGGTGTGTGTGCATGCACGTGTGCATGGGCGTGTGTGCATGGGAGCAGCGGAGGCTCATGTGTGTGCGTGCGTGCATGTGTGCGTGGACGTGAGTGTGTGGGAGCAGCGTGGGAGCAGCGGAGGCTCATGGGTGTGCGTGCGTGTGCGTGTGCATGGCGTGTGTGCATGGGAGCAATTACACTTGAGCGGAGACTCAAGGGTATGCGTGCGTGTGCATGGGCGTGTGTGCATGGGAGAAGCAGAGGCTCATGGGTGTGCATGCGTGTGCGTGTGCATGGGCGTGCGTGCATGGGAGCAATTACACTTGAGCGTAGGCTCAAGGGTGTGCATGCGTGTGCGTGTGCATGGGCGTGTGTGCATGGGAGAAGCAGAGGCTCATGGGTGTGCATGCGTGTGCGTGTGCATGGGCGTGTGTGCGCGGGCAGGACTCGGCAGTGAGGGGTGGCGCTGACCTTCTCCCAATCACGGGAGCTTGAGCAGGTTCATTGACTAAGAGAAGAGGTGATCCCCAAACACTGGAGACACCCAAGCAGCCAGTATTTGTTGGGTAAACCTGGAGTCAGCAAATTACTTAATGTCGTTCTCTTGGTGGGATCTGGGGGTCTTCAGTTGTTAGCAAGGGGACCTAAGGTGTTTGTGCACTATCACAGTCTGTTGGAGCTATCTTTCCAGGCTCTGCTAGCTTCACGTGTCTGCGCCGCAGCTGGGCACTTCTTGTCATATGTCAGACTTGCTCACCATTATTATATTTGTCCTGGTGATCTGTGATCAGGGGTGATGACTCCCTGAAAGCTCAGATGAGGGCTAGTGTTTTTTAGGGATACGGTATTTTTTTTTTAATTTTTAAAAAATCTTTTTAAAGATTTTATTTATTTATTTGACAGAGAGGGAGAGCACAAGCAGGGGGAGCTGCAGGCAGAGGGAGAGAGAGAAGCAGGATCCCCGCTGAGCAGAGAGCCCAATGCAGGGCTCGATTCCAGGACCCTGGGATCATGACCTGAGCCGAAGGCAGATGCTCAACTGACTGAGCCACCCAGGCACCCCACAATACAGTATTTTAAAATTAAGGTGTATACATTGGCTTTTCTAGACATAATGCTATTGCATATTAATAGGCTACAGTGTGGCATAACCGTAACATTTATATGAGCTGGAAATCCAAAGTTCCCTTGATTTGCTTAAGGCGACACTCTCCGTGTCATGTGGTCTGGAGCAGAGCCGCACGCCTCCGAGGTCCTCCCCCTTCTCGCTTCCCTCTCCTTCCCCTGCCCCCGGGGGAGGGGGCCTCAGCGTGCGCTCAGAGGGCAGCTGGGTCCTGGCCTCCATGAAGAGGGCAGAGACCGGGTCTGCTGATGCCTTCGTTCGACATTCGATACCACATATACAGTGCCCAACTCTGCCCCCTGTGGGAAGTCGGGTGGTCCCGCCCTGCGTGAGGCGGGTGGGAGGGCTGAGTGACAGCCGGAGGCAGGGTGTGCGCTGTGGGGGTGCAGGCCCTGGGTCCTGGGGGAGGAAGGAGGAAGGTGCACAGGGCCACAAGTGGGTCAGAGAAGGCTTTGTGTGGAACTCAGCCTTGGAGAGAGCAGGCATCAGCCAGCGGAGGAGGAAGAGGGAAGCGTGTGCCCGGTACAGGGAACAGGTCACATGTCACATGGGGGGGCCCTGGGTGCCTTGGGTGGGTGAGAAGTAGTGAGAGTTCTGTGTGCCTGGGGCCAGGCAGGGGACAAGTGGGTGGCGCAGTGGTGGGTCACGAGGCGGACACGCAGGCACACGTTAGGTCGGGGACCACCCCGTCTGTCCCCTGGATGAGAGGACAAAATTCCCCAATCCTGCTTCCAACTCCATGCCATTGCATTTCAGGCAGTCTGAACTCTGACCTCTCAAGGCCACTGCAGGGTGTCTCGGAGTGGACACCGTCTCTCCTTCCCTCCGGCGCGTAGGGAGAGCCCCCCACCGCTTCGTGCTGTCTCCCCAGACTTTGCCTCCAGGCCTGCGAGCGCCGTTCCCTGTCGGAGTGTTCTTCCTGTCCTTCTTCATTCCTTAGTTCCTGCTCCTTCTGCAGACCCTCCTGTGGCCCCGGCCCCGGCCCCCACTAAGCTGGCCTGTCTCCACACGCACAGGGACTCCCCTGTAGGCGTGGGTGGAGGAGCGAAGGCCGGACAGCCCCCAGAGCCCCCGCCTCTCTGCACGCTGGCTCTTGGGTTGGCCGGCGGCTGCGGTCTCCTGGGGCCCCGCCTGGTCCCCCGCCCCTCCCCAGGGGTCGTTCCCCTGTCACCGGGCCTGTGTGCGTTCGAGCAGGGACACTGCTGGCTGCCAAGTCACTAGGGACCGCCCCCCACCATCAAACGTGGGGGGGCCCTGAAACCGGCCCGTTGGCCTCCCCCTCATGCGGCTCCCCGACCCGTGTCCACCACCTCTGCCAGCTTTCTGTCCACCCGGGCCGTGTCCCCGTCCCTCGTCGGTCGCTGACCCGCGGCCCACTCACTGACCCCTGCCAGCCCCGGGCTCTCTCATGCCCGCTCTATGCAGCACCCGGCTTGGAGCAGGGGCTGCACACGTTTGCTCAAGGAACGTGCGAGTGTGACCTCCGCCTGCAGGTGAGGTTCCACGTGTGGCTAGTGGCAGCCTGCGGGGCGGCGCAGCTCACAACACTCCCTGGCCACCCTGTTCCAGGCTCCGCTTCTCACCTTCTCCTCCCCAGATCCTGCGAGCCCCTCCCGGTGCGGCCGCGGGGCCCGCGCTAGGCTGGCTCTGCCCCGTCCTGTCTGGCAGCTGGGCTCGGACCACTTCTCCCCCTGCACGCTGTCCTCGGATGCTGTGTTTGGCGTCCAGGAGGAAGAGACAGTCCTGCTTCGAGCCAAGACCCTGTCGGCCCCTCCTGGCTTCCCCCAGGGGCAGAGCTGCCCTGACAGCTTCCGGACGGCTGGGGAGCGAGGAGGACAGGGCACGTGCTGGGCCTGGCCGGGCACAAGAACGCACGACAGCCTCTCTCGCGGGACCAGCCGCACCAGCTCCTGTGGGCGCCCCCTCGGGGCGGGGCACGGATAGGACGTTGGCCCGTAACTATTCTGGGAAATGAGAGAGGCACTTAGGCTGATTTCGTCAATCTTATTTTCCTTAGGTATCTGGCTTAAAATGAGGGCCGCGTTCATGGAAAACAAAACAAGCAGGCAGGAGAATGAGATCGTTTGTATGTTTACTATGGTACAGCAAGATTTTCCACACCAGAGCCAAGGTCCTCTGCCGCCCACAGAGGCTCTGAGCACACCCACCACCCACGACATTTAAGACAATTCTTCGTTTCTCTGACAATGACTTCTCCAAGTGCATATATAATAAATAAATAGAAAATACATCTTTGTTCCTGGTGGCGCCGAAAGGAAACGTTTACATACAAATCACACTACACATCGAATTCCCGAAAAAGGACCCGCTATTTCGGCAACAGGAAGGAGACAAGCATTTCAGAGGAGTGTCCTTTACCCTAAAGGCCCAACTCATGCGAAGGCTGACAGACAGAAAGAACCGTAGGGACAGTTTTCCAAGCCACAAGACAATCCGTGCCACCAAGAACGCGCCCGGCCACCAGCTGCGGCCACGGTGGCAGAGAGAAAGTGCGCAGATCCTACGTATGTCTAATACGTACAACTCTGAGGATTCTCAAATACGTCATTTTGGAAAGTAACCGAACCAAGGACAGTCCGCGTTCCTGGCCGCCCGAAGTGATCACATCCTAAGTGGTTCACAGTGTGAGACCCGTCGTGGTGACAGAGTCTGGAAACCCCGCAGAACCGTAGCCGCGAACGTGAGGTCATCTCGGCTCCCCTCTGCAGGGCTGTGCAGCTGCCCGCAAGGGGCCTGCCCGGGAGTAGGGCCTGGGCAGCTGCCACGTCCCTCCGCCACCTCCGAGCCGCTGGGAGAACTGGGGTGTTGGCTCAGCCTGGGGAGGGGGCCTCCTGCCCGAGTGTCATGCGTGCAGCCAGGCACAGGGAGCCAAGAAGGCCCTCTTTGAAGAAAGGGTGTGTGGTTGGCGCAGGAAAGGGGAAAACGCAGCTCCCCATGGAGCCCCCCGTGACCCGGGGACCTCAACAGAGAGCGGGAGCGTCCCTCCTTCCCGGAGCTCTCTGCAGGGTGGTGAGCAGTAGCTGAAGGGCCTGCGGTGGGCCCCACAGCTCGGCAGGCCCCCGGGAGCAGCCACGCCGGCTCACCAGAACCATGGCAGTGTGCCCCGACACAGTCCCCCGGCCCCCGCCTGCAGGCGTGCAGACCAGGGGGCACCAGTGGGAGGGTCGTGGCGGCCGCGAGCCCTCTCGAGGGACGGCCGGTGCTTGGAACAGCGTGGACGCTGTAGGGCCGCCGCCAGCCCGCGGGAGGGCAGCGCTGTGTGCACAGAAGGCCAGGAGGGAAACCGCCACCAGCTAGTTCTCTCTATTCTGGTCAGTTTTTTCCTTCCAGGGGGCTTGGCCCCATTTGGGGGGCTCCCTCGGGAGTGCGGGACACTCTGGGGCCAGTTGTTGAGGCAATGTGGTGTGGCAGCAGGTGCTGGGCGTGGGGCTCCTGGCCCGGCCCCCCGCCTGGCTGTGTGGGGTCTCACGTGCCCCATCCAAAAAATGAGGGTTTGGGACTAGGTCATCATTAAGGTCCTTTCCAACCCTGAAACCCCGGGCTCATTGAGGGGTGAGCCCATTCAAGAGCGCATGAGGCCCCAAACAGGAGCTCACTTCTCTCAACCTAGCTCCACCCCCGTCCGGGGTCAGAGGGGGGCTGGCTGGGGACCAAAGTGCTCCCCGCGGGGGGGCGATATAAGCCCCCCCAGCCCACCCTCCCTTGCATGCTTGGCCGTGGTGAGTGGGCCAGCAAGCAACAGGCAGAGGGTGACCTGCAGTCACCAGCTTTGGCAGATGCAGGCGGGAAGGGCTGCACCTCCGAACCCCTCTGCTCACCAAGATGCCCTGCCCTTCCCTCCTGTGGGCCCCCTTCCTCCTCCTGCAGGAAGCTTCCTGACCCACCCAAGCTTGCGGGATCCTTCCCTGCAGGGCACCTGCGTGGGTCCTCATCGTCCCCCCTTCACATTCTCTACCTGGTATCGGAGGGCGTGCATACCTGACCGCCTGGGCCCCCAGCCTGCAAGCCCCTGACTACAGGCCTGGCTTCTCACCACCCCAACCCTGCATGCCCCAGGCACCCCGCGTCACAGGCGCTGGCCCGAAAGAATCTCCTCATCTACAGCTGGGTTCTATGTGCGGTAGGAAAAGCCACAGACTTCTGGAATCTCACAACTTCTAGAAGTCACCTAGTCCTCCCCCCATCCCATGACCTGAAGTCTCCGGAAAGGCTGAACCCCTCCAGAGGCAGGGCTCGCCCATTCCCTGAGGGGAGCCAGTCCCACCTTGGCGAGTGCTGTCTACACGCCGGCTCCTAACCCCACAAGGTTGGTGCTTGCTTACAGGAACAGAGATTTCCCCAAGACCGAAGACCAGTCTCTTCTTTCCCGTCTCCACCCACTACCACGCGTGCTGGAGAGCACGGGGATCTGCAAATGGCTGGACCGGGGCTCCCGCCGAAGCAGACCCGGTTGCCAGCACTGCCCGGGCTCCTGGTACGCAGCCCCCTCCCCCTGCAGAGGCACAGACAGGAGAGAAGCACCCAGGAAGCTGCAGGGAAGAGAAGGTCTCCGGCGTGGGCAGCTCCACCCCCCGGGGCTGCAGGGAGACACGAGTGGGGGCTGCAGGGGGGTGGGCAGCACCGGGCATCTCTGACAGCCCCCCCGGCCCATCAGGGCTGATGCTGCTGTGACAGGGGCCGCCGCCTGGGGCCGCCGTCACCGCGCATCGGGGGTGGCACCGCGAGCAGGCCTCCTCACAGCTGCTTCTTCCTCACCACGGGGATCGGCACCACCTGGAAGATCTTGGCCTTGTGGTCGTCCGTGTCCAGAGTCACCCAGGTGGGCCGGAAGCTCCCTTTGAAGCCAACGAATGCCATCTTCTCTGGAAAGGAGGGATGGGTCCCGTGAACAGAAGCCCCGAGAGAACGTCCACACCCCATCACCTCACAGGGCTCCCCGTCGCCATCCCCCCGCCCCTACCAGGGAGCCCTCTCCTCCTCGGTGCCCCACGGGAGAGCCCTGCCCGGCTGCTGACGGTACCCGGTGTCGTTTGCAGGGGGCACGCGGGGTGTCACCTGAACCTCGGGGCCAGCCGCCTGGGGTGGTGGCTCTGCTTTACACAGGACACCTCCCAGGAGCGCCCGCCACCTTCGAGCTGAGCCCCCGGCCCCTGTCAGAAGCCCAGCGTCCCCATCTGTCCGCGAAGGATGGGCGCCTCTACGAGATCTCTCCCCCGCTCCCACATGCTGTGGCCTTAGAAGGACTTTGTCCAGGCACAGAGTGGACGGAGCAGCCCGACCAGACGTCGAGGCCTCGGCCCCGCACAGCGGTCTCCCTCTTGCATTCAGAGCTTAACCGTCTGAGGGGCGTGGGGCTGCACGTCCACACTGGGGAACGGCCAGCCCGGCGCCCGGCACACACTTCTCACCACTGGGAAAGCACCACTCGACTGAGGTCACCTTAGGCATGTCAGCTTTTGGCAACAGGGTCTTAATTAAAAGGACAGAGGCCCCAAAATGATTCCAGGACTGAGCTGGAGAAGAGACCTCTCTTTCCCTGGGGTTCTCTTTCGGCTCCTTTGAAGGGCCTTCATTCATGGTTCCTGATTTTTCTCCAGGAGCTGCCTGGAGTTAACGTCCCCTATGATGGGCGACCAGCGTTAGATGTTTCTCGTGGTCAGGATGGCATGGCAGCCAACGGCCCTGACTGGTCTGGACTAGAAACATTCGGATCCAAATTCGAATCTTGGGCAAGTTACTGAAGTGTCTAATTCCATCTGAAATGGGAATAAGGGCACCGAATGCCCCGGTTCTTCATGAATTATAAGATGCTCAGCAAGGGGCGGGGCTGCACACCACACGTGGACCACGGTGGACATGAGTGTCCACAGACTCGCTCTGCCTCCCTCCCAGACTTCCCAGGGACCACCGCCACCCGCCCCCCCAGCCTGCGGTGATGGTGGTGAGTCTCAGGTGGCATTTCTGGGCGGGCTGGCTTCTTCCCTGCGGGGTCTGCGCTGGACTTTGTCTCCGAAGTGCAGGGTGACCTTGAACAAGCCACCTAGATTCTTCGGGCTTCCGTTTTCTCCCAGGCAGGGAGGGACAAACAAGAGCTTCGCGGACTGGAGGGCGCCATGCAGATGCTGGACGACCGCCTGAGCATGGAGGAGGATGTGGGCCCTGCCCGGCTGAGCAGCAGGACCTGGGACGACGGTCCGATCAAGCCACTTTTCTGCGGATACTTTTGTTCAAAAGCAGGGGGCACTTGCCGAGCAGACGCGGACGGGGGAACCGCTCTAGCAAGTCTCTTGCAGTGTCTGGCCGCGCCCTGAGAGGGAGCTGCCGTGTGGCATGGAGACAGGCGGCGCCTCGCCCATGCATTCCAGAAGGCCACCACTTATGTTGAGGATCCGGAGGTTTGGTGGGAAGCACGGGGGTAGCAGCCACCGTGCCCCGGGCGTCTGGGCCCAGTCGGTAGACACCCCCTCTAGACCACTTACCTTTCAGCTTGAGGCTCTTGTCTGCCCCGAGGTTTTCCAGCACTCTGGTCCAGGGGCCCCTGGAGGTGTATCTTCCCTTGGACACCATGAGCACTATGGAGCTGCGCGAGAGAAGGGGACGTTAGGGGCCGGAGGGAGGGCTCCTCCTGGGCGGTGGCGGCAGTCGGGGGCGGGGGGGCAGTCAGCAGCGCCCAGAGGTCCGACCGGGGATTTGGGAAAGGGCAGCCCGTCCCATATGCCGTGTGCTGACCGACATCCTGAGCAGCCCTCCCACACATCCCTGAGCCTGCTCTCCCCCGGCCCGCTGCCCGCGCAGGTCTGGCCCCAGTGAGGACAGAGTAGGTGCGCAGAGCACACCTCTCCCGGGCCGGCACGTGGAGGAGGGACGTCGGCTTGCTCTTACTGGTTAGGACTAGAGAGAAAGCCACACCCTGGGGTTACTACACACTCAGGGGAGGGTTAACCTCCGCCTTCACGTCCCTTCCCTCTGCTCAGGCAAGACAGCGCTACGGCTGGGTTTGCAAATGGGGAGAATGGGGAGAAGAGTAAGTGTGTGAGAGGGCCTGTCCAAGGGGAGCCGTGCTCGGGGGTGGGGGGCAGAGGCCCGGAGCTAGGGGTGCTCCCAGCCTGGCGCTCCCAACCTGCAAAAGCCCAGCTCTGGAGCAAGGCTCCCCTGCCTTGGCTGTGTTCAGGCCAAAGTGCTGGGAACACAGGCTCCTGGCGGCAGACTCAGCCTGCCGGGCCAGACAGGAGGAAGTGAGCACCTCCCCCAGGAACAGAAGCCTAGCGGGGCTTCCAGTTCACATCTCAAAGGAATCCCATAACCACAGACCACAGTCCAGACATGGAGAGACTGTACAGAGTTCTGGAACCCACTGTCACCCCCATTTGTGTCCCACTGGAAGCAGAAGGAACACTCCTCAGATACAAGGGCTTGTTGTCCTCAGGACAGATGGGAAGGGAGCCGGGGCTGCGTGCGGCTCTCGGGGGGACTGGGAGGAGGCCTGAGGGGTTGGGGGGTAAAGCCTGTTAGGGAGAGGGAGCGTTGCAAACACATCCTCACCCCTGGATTCGGGCTGGGTGCCCAGGAGGCGGTTTCGCCACTGTTCCAGCTCAGAGCAAAGGCGGGAGTCCCTTCCTGCTGGGGTGACCCCAAACACAGGTCGTGCCCTCCAGACAGGGCCCTAGGTTAGCTCACAGGAACCAGACATGGAGACAGGGTTCCTGCACACTGTAGGTGTCCCTGTCCGCCTGGTGTGAGGCCATCCCGGCCTGTGAGCCCCTGCACCTGTCAGCGGGGAGATTCCCAGGGGTAGCAGCACGGAGGCCACTCGTAAAAGCCATTCTCAATGTTCTCGGGGGGAGCAGCTGCCTCCTCCTTTCCCTGGGACCCCGAGGCCAGTGGCGGCCCGGGGACAGGATGGAAGGTGCAGGGCAGGCCTGGGTGACAGCGGGTAGGACCTGCCTTGCCCCATTCCTTGCTCTTTTGCAGGAGGTCAGAGAGGGGGCTGCTGGTACCCAATTGCTGGTAGGGCACCCGGTGCTGCCCCAGGGCTGGCTCACAGCAGGTTCTCAGTGAGGGCTCGTCCCGCAAGGCACACGGGGCTACTGCCCCGGCCCAGAGGAGCCCTGGGCGGGGGGCCGGGGGGGTGGTCCCATGCCTCTGCCCCTCCCCTAAACAGAGCGGCTCTGCATTTTCCCTTCTTGTTCCAGACTTCCGCATCCTGTTTCGTTTCAAGAAGAAATCCTCTGGCCAAAAAAGGCATGAAAACTACGGATCTCATGATGAAAAATGTGTTTTCCCCAAATCAGTAAATCTGATCTTTCTGCACGAATGTGCAATGCTGAAGAAGCTTCTAGTGGGGGGTGACGCAGAGACTGAGTCGGACTGAGTGTAAGCAGAGCCCCCGTTCTCTGATGTGACGCGCCCATCACACACTCAGCTTCAGCGAAGTACATTCATTCTCACCGACAAATACTTCCTAAGCACGTCCTGTGTGGCAGGTTCTGCACTGAGCACTTTACTCAGGCTTCCTGCCGCGCCAGCTCCTGGCTCTTGAGTGGATGCTCCACCCAGTTAGCCAGAAACGCACCTCTGAGTTAGACGTGGGCCCCACACTCAGAAGTGCACATGTGCCCTGGATCCGGGAGCAGCCGTGTCCCCGGTCCGACCAAGACTAGTGCTTCAGTAGAAGCAGAACCTTGTAGCTGCGCTGCAAGAGACCTCACCAGAGACGTGCGTGTGTGTTAGACTGGGAACGTGCTGGGGAGTCCCGGGGTTTCTAGCAGAGGGCGCAGGAGGTACAGTTAAGAACTCAAGCCAGCAGTCCGCAGGGAGGCTGGGTCTGACGGCGGAGGCGGACGGGCCAGCCCGGTAGGAGGCCGAGCCGGGGTGCTGGTGCCCAGAGGTCCGACCGGGGATTTGGCCTGCGGGGCAGCCACCGAGAGCACCAGCAGGAGGGCGCTCAGGCAAGTGGGCTGATGGGGACACGGGGACAGAGGAGAAATGAAGGGGGAGTCGAGCAGGACGCCCAGACTCTGGTGCAGTTGTCTGCAGGGATGGTGCTGATGAACCAAAACAGAGCGAGCAGGAGGAGGGGCTGGTCTGGGAGGTTAGAAGACAACAGATGGCGAGAGTCAGACCTAGAGGAGACGTCCAGATGGCCTTGCCCAAGGAGCAGTCGGACAGGAATGTCCGGGGCCGAGGAGAGGTCTGGGCCGGAGGCACTCAAAAGCCACCAGCATTTGGATGGAACTGGAAGTGTGGGAGGGTGAGATCATGCTGGGAGTGTGTCGTGGTCCGGGCAGAGGGCCAGGCCAGGCCTCCCACTTGTAAGCGGGCAGCCCAGCCGCCTCGGCCTGACCTGCATTCAGCACGGCCTGGGCTCCGGCACGAGTCGCCGGGCGGGCCCTTCGCTGCGGAGACGCCCCGAGCTCCCGCAGACCCGACTGGCCGGGGAGGAGGCCTAGCCCGGGGTCTGCCGCGCGCACACTCACTTGTCGGGGATGGCCGCGACATGCTCAGACAGCTGCCACGGGATGCCCTGCAGAATGGCGTTCCGGAAGCTCGCCTCGCTCAGCACGTGGCCCCGGCTGCCATCGATCACCACCACCTGGAGGCCGTCCTCTGCGCTGGCGTGCTTCATCCCATCCACCTGCAGGCCCAAAGCAACACGGCTGTGACGTGGGGGCCCGAGGGCGGCAAAGCCCCTGGGTTCTGCTGCTCCGTGGCTCCCATGTGGACCCTGAGGGCAGCCTGCCTGCGAAGCTGTTCCAAACTCAAAACCCTCCTCCATCCATTCTCTGTAGCCCTCTGCAGGGCCCCAAATGACGGCCCCATCACTCGGAGACTGTGGAAGTCAGCTTATGTGGACCAGGGGTTTTTGCAGATGTCGGTACATTAAGGATCTGGAGGTGAGATCCCGGTGGATTTAGGATGGGCCCTAAGCCCAGCGATAGGTGTCCTTATGGGAGGAAGGCAGGGGGTGCGGGGCTCCCGCACTCAGGGAGAAGGCCGTGGAGACAAGGCAGACGATGCAGGGGTGTGTCCTCGAGCTGAGGACCGCGTGCAGCCACCAGAGGCCAGCAGAGGCCCCAGGCAGGCGCTCCCTGGGAGCCTGGAGAAGGACCCGACCCTGCCAACCTCCCCCCTACCCCCATGTTGGACCTGTGTCCTCCAGAATGACCGGGGAATCCATTTCCCGGAGGAGGAAGGCTTGTGACAACAGCCCCACCCCGCGGCCAGCCAGTCCCCCAGCCCCCTGCAGGGCCAGAGCCACTCACTTCAATGTATGCGAAGTCGCTCATGAGGTGGAGGAAGCGCCGCCCGGAACTTTCCATCTTCACCTCCAAGAAGCGGTCCTTTGTCTTCTGGAAAACAGACCCAGCCTGGCGCGGTTGTTGGGTCTGGGGAGCCGTCCCCCGCATCCCCCAGTACGGAAGTCACCGCATCGGCCGGGGGCCAGGCAGATGTCCAGGAAGGGCCCTCCCTGGGTCTGGGCCCGGGTACGGGCAAAGGCCACCCCCCGCCACTCACCAGCTGGGAGCCAGGGAGCTTCCTGGGCATGGGCACGTCCACGACAGCCCTCTCGGCGAACCTGGGGTAGGCGCTGGCCGTGCAGTCGCTGACGCCCGCGTTCTTGGGGATCAGAGCCTTAATCTTGATTCTCTCGCAGCCTCGCACGGAGCAGAAGGCAAACCTCTCTCTCTCGTTGTGCGCTTTCAGCTTCAGGAACAGCAGCCTGCACGCGGGGAGCGCGGCCGGTTCGCTCTGGTGTGGGAGCCCTCCTCCTCCCCTTCCTCCCCCTCCTCCCCCAAGGGCGCGCCCCAACCTCCCCCCCCACCCCCGTTAGCGTGGCCGGTGGGCCGTGTCTGTGTCGGTCGCTGCGGTCGGAGAGATAAATGCATCGGATGAAGGGAACAACACTAACGTGGACCCCCCGCTCTACGCGCCGGCCGCAAAGTCACACAGTATCTCACTTAACCCTCGAACGGTCCTGGGCGGTGGGTACTGCTACCGTCCTGACTTCTCGGACGGGGAAACCATGGCTCAGAGAAGCCAGGTGACTTGCCCAGGACCCCCCAGCCGCACGGTGACAGAGCCGGGCGGTCTGTCCCTTCACGGCGCCGGCTCGGGAGCGTGCTACAGTTCCTCGCCGGGCTTTCCTCCGGGCCAGAACTGATTCTCGCTTCCGGGCGAGAACCAACGTGGCCCGGGGGGTGCAGGGGCTCAGAGGGCGAGCAAGCCAAGGCACTGACTTGGGGCTTATCGCTGTTGGTTCGGTTCCGGAGAGAGCTTTCGGGTGGTTCCCACCTCTGTTGGCACATGTGACGCGGGCTGGCCCTGGGGCTGGCCCTTGGCTGCGCCCACACGGCCCAACCAGCCCGATGCCGCGACCCCCACCCACCCCACACAGCTGGTGGCGCCGGGGACACACGCTGGCCGGGCAGAGGGGCCCCGAGAACTGGGGAAGGCCGACGGTTGGGGCTTCTACACAGGAACCAGCATCCTGTAACCCGCTCACGGTCCCCGGGCGTGGAACCGAACTGAAGCACAGCCTCGTCATCAGCGCGCCCTGACTGCGGGCACGGAGGCCGGGCAGCCCGGTCTGCCCCCCGCGCCCTGCGTCCTGGGGGTGGGCTGTCTGCGGGGCGTCCACGGTCGCTCACTGCTGCCTGGGGTCGTTATGGGGAGCTCTGTGCTACAGCAGGAGCTTTACCAGCAGACGCCGTCCCCTCCTCGCCGGCCGCCTTGTCTGCCCCACGGTGGCTGAGAAGTCACGCGAGGAAAGGGGTGCTATCCGTGGCCCCCACCCCAGCACTTTACTCAGGCCTCCGACTTTCAAATTCGAATTTCTCTCTAATCAGATTGATAACCTTCATCTCCAGAGAGAGCACCTGCTAGGGATTTCCTTATCCTCGACCTCAATACAAGAATGGGAAGATGGGGGCGCCTGGGGGGCACAGTCCGTTAAGCGTCTGATTCTTGGTTTCGGCTCAGGTCCTGATGGCAGGGTGGTGAGATCCAGCCCCTCATTGGGCTCTGCACTGAGCGTGGAGCCTGCCTGAGATTCTCGCTCTCCCTCTGCCTGTCCCCTCTGTGCTCTCTGTCTCTCTCTCAAATTAGTAAATCTTAAAAAAAAAAAAAAAAAGAATGGGAAAATGACTGCAAAGCGATCCTTTCCCTGGACTCCCCTGGGGCTGGCTGTCAACAGCCTCGTGGCTTCGGAGATGTGCGGGCATTCCTGAGATGTCAGACTTACTCTTTTTTAGGGGAGGGGACCAAATAGCTCCCTATCTCCAGACAGACACGCCATCCCTGTTGTGTCTCCTGAGTAGAACGTGGTGCCGTTTAGCACAAGGGTGGGGGGCTTTGGGAACAGATGGCCAGGGTTCGAAACCAGGGGTGCTCAGACTGTGCTGTGGCCTCTGGGCAGGCCCCTGCTGATCCGTCTCCGTTCCCTCCTCGTCCCCCCCGCCCCCGGACGAGGGGTGACATCACGTGCTCCAGCTGGTGTGTGAGGATCGGAGGTAACGCTCCGCATTTTCTCCGTTCTGAGAGTCACTGCTTTCACTTTGCTCCTGAAACAGGCACGTGTCCTACAGCCCCTGTGTGTGTTTTACAGAATGTTTACGCCCAAGCTTGGCAGCCTGGAGGATGTCATTGGTGGATGGCGCCATCGGCCTTTGAATGGAAGCCCCTAGCAAAGCATCTTACGCCGCCAGCCGGGAACCCGCTGGGGGCTCTCGGGAGCCACACAGGGCCGAGTGGGGCTCCTCACCCTGAGTCCTCGTCCCAGTAGAAGTGGCTTCTGCCCGGAAAGCTCTGGTCCACCTTGTCCATCTGTAAGGTGCGCATGAAGGTGCCCGTCTTGGCCGTCTGCTTCAGCACGCGGTTGTGCACGTCCGACAGGATGGAGAAGGTGGTGCCTTGGGGGTAGCAGAGCCCCACGCGGATCCAGTCGCCCCTGAGGTCAGGAGGAGGGCCAGGTTACGGGAAGGGGCGTCCGGGGCCTGCCCCAGAGAGAGACCCAGCCATCCTCCCCCATTTCTGCAACGGGCGGTCCCGAAGGACCACCTGCGACTGTAGTCACGGTGTCTGTGTGGAGTGCGTGGGGGTGGGGAGGGGCTCACCAGGACGGTGGCTCTGTGCCTCCCGGGCCTACACTGGGGTGTCCCACCGGGAGCAGAAGGACGCCCTCTCGTCCGGGTTGTTGTGGAAGAGCCCAGGATGCGGAGGACGGGGCTCAGCCCTCCTGTCCCAGCCCGATCTCAGGGCCCATTCATGTGTGTGGGTGTCGTTTTCCACATCTGATGTCTGTCTCCCAGGGAGACTGTGACCGTGTTCACAGAGAGCACGCCGGCCTCCATCTCTGAGGCCAGATCCTGAGTGACGTGCTGTCATGTCACCTCCCTTGGTTGCCCCATAGGAGCCTGACGCTGTGCCTGAGGTCAGCCGTGCCCAGAGCGGGGGGCTCAGGCCGGCCTCTGATCCCTGACTACCGGCTGCTCTCGGCCCCTCTAGAGGAGCCCTTCTGCGGGGCTGACATGGGCTGGCCTGGGACTTCATCACGGTGGGACGTCCTCACCGCGGCCTTGAGCTCCAGGAGAGCGGCCGTCCCCAGGTCACGCCGCTTCCGGCTGGGCACCCACTCACTTGTTGAAGTTGATGAGCCAGATGATGAGCTCGGCGGGGGCTGTCTGGTCCCAGTGCACGGTGTAGCCCTTTTGCAGCGTGACGACCGGCTGGTATTGCTGGTAGTGGGTGCTTCGGGTCAGGGCCCCCTCCAAGTACAGCGGACGGCTGGGGAACTCGTTCTTGATGATCTTCATCCGTAGGTTACTAGTCTTGTAGGCCTGAATGTACATCTTTTGCAACCCAAAAAGGAAACACACATCTGGACAGTTACAAGAGATTATTCCAAGAGCGTCTGGTTAACATCGGACTACAGGCCCCGCTTTCAAAGGAACTTTCTCCTGGAGCCCTTTTAAGGATGCGTGAACCACCGGCCAAATAAGGGGGCATATCTTCCTGCTGGCGGGTGCACGATCCGGCTCAGGCCTCCTGTGCATGCTCAGCAAAGGGCTCCGTCCAGGACATCCCAGTGGACATGGGGGAGGGGCTGGCTTCACAGTCACGCGGCAAACCCAAAGTAACCAGGGGAAGGAGGGGATGAGGAAGGAGGAGGAAGGGGAGGGGGGCGAGGACTTGGACAGAAAGCCGCTTCCCTTCCCCAGCTGCTGTCCCGCCTGCGTCAGAGAGACAGCCCAGGGCATGTGGCCGCTTCTCGCTTCCCCTGGGTCCAGCCCGTGTCCTAAACCCTGCGCCGGTCAGTGGCATCTCATTTCAGAGAGCGCACGCAAGTCCTGCGGACGCAAGAGCCCGGTTGCTGTGGGCCAGCCTCAGCATCAGACACGGCACCCTGTATTCCCAAGGCGACATCCCCGTGGCCGTGGCCAGGACGGCCACAAGCCACCGTGCACATGGAGGGGAGGGGGCATCTCCCCTCCGGTTGTGCTGCCCACGAAACGGAGAGGGAAGCCTCGGCACTGCCCATAGCTGGGCGCTCAGGAGAAGCACAAGTTCAAGGGAAGATCAAGCCGCGAAGGGAAGGGAGGGGTTGCGAGAACTGACAAAGCAGCAGCCCGTTCTGATAACCGGGCAAGCGCTAGCGATCAGAGCGTTTCTGCAAGAAGACAAGCAATGTGTGGGAAAGCAAGGGTGGGAGGCTCCACCCGGGGGGACCGCGAGGAGGGCCCGCCCTGGGGGCACGAGGGCCCAGGGTTCCGTCACCCTCGGATTCCTCAGGACCCGATCCCGTCTATCAGCAAACTCTGACCCCACCTCCCAGTGTGCCTTCTCAAAGGGCCAGGTCGCCCCTGGCTCCCCCAGCATCGCATCCCTCGCCCTGAGCTGGCAGGCCGCAGGAGCCTCTCCGGATCCTTCCAGGCCCACCTCCCCCCGGGGCTCTCCGGCAGGGAGGCCGATGCCCTTCCCCTTCCCCAGCTCCAGTCTCCACCCAGCTTTCCCGGCCTCTGGTTGGCACCCCCACACTCCCGGCCCCTCTTCCCGCCCTTAGGCTCTCTACGGGGACCACCCTCCTCAGCCCACTGTCCGGCCTCACCTTCTATCGCGCAAACGCCCCGACCTCCTGCCCTGAGCCCGGCCCTGTCTTCCCGCCGGCCCTCCTACTCCACCGGCGCCTGTCTCTCCGGCACCCCCGACTCCGAGCGCCCACCTGGCCCCGGGGCCCCTTCCCCTCTCTGGCGCCAGCTCCCTGTCCCGTCTCTCCCGGACCCCAGACCTCCTGCAGCTCCTTCCTCACTGCCCCCCGGCCCCCATTCCTGATGCCCACAGTGCCTGCCGGCAGGTGGTCCCAGGGACAACCTCCTTCCTTCACACTCGTGTCCTGCCCCCTCCGGGGCCACCGGGCTCGCCGGGCTCCCCCGCCTGTAACACCTTCATTCTCTTGGCATGCCTCCTCATTTATTCACCAGCCACGTACCAAGGTAGCATCATCATAGCTAACGAAGGTTTTCGGTTCTACCACGTTCCCCATGCTGTTCCGTACCACAGCCATTGACCACGCGGGGCCACTGAGCACTGGAAACGTGACCAGTGTGGCTGAGGACCTGAATTTTAAATTTCATTTTGATTAATTTAGATTTCAAACTGAAGGCAGTGTAAAATAGTCTCCTGCTAAACGTGACTTCATCATTTCGGTGGGACTCGCTTCCACTTTGTTGAAAATTTATACCCAAATGATGTGGGGACTTTGAAGACTTAGAACAGGAAGACAAATACATAGATGTAAAGTGCCTTACTAGTGATTTTTATGCATCGATTACATGTTGAGATGGTAGTATTCTGAGTGTGCTGTTAAAATACATTATTAACTACTATTAAAATTAATTTCCCGTTTCTTTCTTCCTTGCCTTGATGCGGGTTCTAGAAGATTTAAGACCACACGCATGGTCTGCACCACGGTTCTGGCGGGTGAGGCTGGTGGAGCACTTTACATCCGTATATGAGCCCACGCCCACAGCCTCGTTAAGGAGGTTCAGCTATTAGCCCCATTTCACAGATGGAGAGCTGGTTTCACCTCTGCCCACATCTGCACGCCGGCTCGATGCACTGGGGCCTGACGTAATCCAAGCCTTTGACCTCAGAATGCCCCTTTCCAAGGCATTCTGCTTTCTGCCTATGATGTGTTTTCGCTTTGACTTTTTGAAAACTCCACAGGGTGAGGAGGAAAGAGAGAAAGAAAAATAGGAGAGGAGAGACACCCAAATATCCTGCACGGCACAGAGCCGGGCCTGTGGCAGGCCCGCGCTCCGCCTCGTCCCAGGACCGGGGGGTGGGGGGGGATGGGTGGCCCCAGGGGCGCCCTGGTCTCCCTACCTGCGCGTAGCGGCCGCTGCAGACAGCCCCTCTCCAGTCGGGGACGTTGATGCAGTCCGGGTGCCGGACCAGCCAGTTGTCGTCCTTGATGAGGTAGGACCCCGGGTACCCGGACACAGAGCCGTCGACATCATGGAACAGCGACGTCTTATCCCCGTCCATGTCCAGCTGGTTGAACCAGGGCCCGGGCTCTCCGAAGAACACTCTGGAAGTAATCTAAACAGAGCCCAGGAAAGTGAGGGCCGGGCCAGAGCTGAAGGGAAAGGGCGGCCGTCATCAGGCCAGGGAGAAGTTTCCGACTTCCGCTGACATGACACCCTGGCCAAACCCAAGACGCTCTTGGGCGCTGCAGGAGACCTCCCGCTGACCTCCCGGCTGACCTCACAGAGGAAGCCAGACAAACAGCCAGACGCTCACCGGCCTCAGCTCTAGACGCAACACGTCCGTTTGGCCTCTGCTCACAGGAGGCCCGGCTGCTGTGGGTGACCCTAGGGAGTGCTCCGATGTGTGGAGGGGAGGGGACGCAGGAGTGCATGTGTGTGTACGTGCTGTTTTAGCAAGACAGTCTTTCGACACCAGCCGTGGAGGTCTCCATGACTGACCTCTCCCAGGCCTCAGTGGCCTGAGTAAAGAAATGAAGTAACAAGTTTCACTCCTTCCCCTCGGCCCACCAGGGCTGGGCAGACAGGCAAAGGGCAGGCCCAGAGGAGGACCAGGAGGAGGAAGAGGAAAGTTCTGGGAGGTCCGTAACCCAGAGTAAATGCCCCAGGCCGTCTGGCCCTGCCCAGCCTCAAGGGGCAGCCCTCTGTCCTGCTCTCCTCACCCCAGCTCCTTGCCGGCACCTGTCTGTGTCCGGGTGGACCCCGTTCATGGTGCACTCTCCGGGAGAGACGAGCAGAGCATCTTTAGCAAAGAGGGCCTTGGAAACCCTGGGATTTTAGATTAACTGTACCCACTCAGGTGGCCCTGTCACGAGACTCAGGAGGTCAAAACCAAGGCCCTTGGAGGAACAGCCTCAGGCCCTTGAGTCTGGCAGGAGCCCCTGCAGAGGCTCTAGGGGGTTGGGGCAGGGTGAGGGCAAGCGAGCACTTACGTAGCCAGACCTGACCTGTGGGGCAACCTATGTTTGTACTTTTCCAGTCTGGATGCCGACGGGCTGGGACGTGGCCCAGCCTGCTTGCAGGAAGTTGTTCATTCCCTGCGGTGGTGGCAACTGCTCAAACTGCAGCCCCGGGGGACTTGTGAATCACCACCCAGAGTCTGGATTTGCCAGGAGCCTGCCCCAGCGCCTCACTCACCGGGACATCCTCAAAGGCAATGTTGGTCACGTTGTTATGGGGGCAGCTCTGCCAAGCGTTGTTCAGCCGGAAGGCCAGGGCACTGGTATGCCGGCCCTCCAGGGCCGCAAACTTGCGGAAAGTGCAGTTCTGGATGTTGACGGGGCCGTCATAGAACTGAATTCCTCGGATCGGAAAATTCCTATGGAGTTAAGGAAGTCCCATGTCAGGCTGATCGCCATGTTGTGCCACGGAGTTATCCGCACCCTCCAAGGTGGATGAAAACAGAGACTTCCTGGGTAAACCATTCCTGATCCCCACCTCCAGCAACCCCTCACTGCAGGGCATTATTGATTCATTAATTAATTCACTGAGATAGCATTTACAGATAGAGTAAATGTCAATAAACGATTGTCAGATGACTTATTGGATGGATAGATGGATGGATGGGTGGATGGAAGGAAGGAAGGAAGGATGGATGGATGGATGGATGGATGGATGGATGGATGGATGGATGGATGGATGGAAGGGTGGATGGATGGATGGGTGGATGGATGGATGGATGGGTGGGTGGGTGGGTGGGTGGATGGATGAATGGAAGGATGGATGGATGGGTGGATGGAAGGGAGGATGGATGGAAGGATGGATGGATGGATGGATGGATGGATGGATGGATGGAAGGGAAGATGGATGGAAGGATGGAAGGGAGGATGGATGGAAGGATGGATGGATGGGTGGATGGATGGATGGATGGGTGGGTGGGTGGGTGGATGGATGAATGGAAGGATGGATGGATGGGTGGATGGAAGGGAGGATGGATGGAAGGATGGATGGATGGATGGATGGATGGAAGGGAAGATGGATGGAAGGATGGAAGGGAGGATGGATGGAAGGATGGATGGATGGAAGGAAGGATGGATGGGTGGATGGATGGATGGAAGCGTGGATGGATGGATGGGTAGATGGATGGATGGATGGATGGGTGGGTGGGTGGATGGATGAATGGAAGGATGGATGGATGGGTGGATGGAAGGGAAGATGGATGGAAGGATGGATGGATGGATGGATGGATGGATGGATGGATGGATGGAAGGATGGAAGGGAGCATGGATGGAAGGATGGATGGATGGAAGGAAGGATGGATGGGTGGTTGAGTGGATGGATGGATGGAAGGATGGATGGAAAAATGGAAAGATGGATGGATGGAAGGACGGATGGATGGATGGCTATTTAGTTGCTGGTTTGGGGTTTGGGGAATTGTCCTCTATTCAAGTATTTCCCCCAATTTTTCCATCCTGTGAAGACTCATTGGGTAAATACTGTAAATATTGCTACAGAATGGTAGTATTTTGTCCCTTGGGAGACTAGAGCAATTAGTGATTATCGCCTTTGTCTCAGTTGCCGTAAAAATTTAATCAGATTAAAACCCAATTGAGTTTTGTCTGAGTAAGCCTTTTGATTGCAAGTCTCTGGGGTCTGGGACAGAATGGAAGGTGATGATTATGTGGTAAGATAACTGTTCATAACCTTCTGAGCATCCCTCAAAGAGAGGCAGGCCCCCCCTGGGAGGGCAAGAATGTGGGCTGCCAGAGGACCCCCAGGAAGGCCTTGATCTCCAGGCCTCAGGGAAAGGACAGGAGGAGGCCACATGCTCAGAGGCGGAGGTAGAAGGGACTGGAGAATGGGCCACTTGGCCCAGCAGAGGGCAGGGGCTCAGAGACACCCCTCTTCTGCCTCTGACTCCCGAACAAGGCTTGAGAGGGGTTGGCTGGGCTTCCTGGTGGCCCCAGATCTAGGCTCGTTCATTCTTCAAGCCCAGTTGGTATGGTTTTCCTGGCATCTCTGCCTCTGGGCCAGGCCCCCTCCTCCCACAGCTGATGTGAAGGAGGAAGGGCAGCAGGAGGGGAATGAACACAGAAAAGGGTCTGTTCCCAGGGACAGGCCATACTCTGCAGTCCCCCATCCTCCACCTTGGGCTCCCCTGCCCAGATACGGTTCCCCGAGGAAAGCCCTGATCACACCAGTCTTGGCCAGTGCCTTCAGTGGACGCCAAGGACTTCCTGCATTTCTGCATCTGTGGATGGAATCAATTAGCATCAGCACCTCGAACCCTAGTTCTCGTGGGGCGCCTCCATCTCAGGCACTCTGGGGCCCACCCATCCTTACTAGCTGTGTACACAGAGTATGTACTTATTTTCCTCTGAGCCCAGCCTAGGCCTGTTCAGGACGGATCACCCGGGCCAAGCAGGGCACAGTCCCCGCTCACGAACGTGGTGCGAAGAACCTGCCTGCTTTGGCAGAACTATCAGGCCTCCATAAACAAACTTGCCCCTGGACGTCATCAGAACATTCTGGCCCTGGGAAGCTGGTAACCCTCAGCAAAGCAACCCCAAATATGCAGATGCAGAGTTGCTCATAAAAATGACCTAAAGGGACGGGTGCAGCACTTAGACCAGACAAAAACAAGGGCTTCCTGATGGCTTGTGCCAACGGAGGCTAGGATTCTGTCTACAAAGTCCTTGCAAAGGCCACATCTCTGCGGTGGGAGCTTCAGGCCACGTCCTGCCCATAGAAGCAGGGATTACATTTCCCCAGAGAAAGGGAAGACGCTCGGGGAGCCCTGAGCACTCAAAGAGCGGGTCTCCCTGCACTGCTGGCCGGCTCAGGGCCTTGCTGTCTGGTTCGGATTCATGTTGGAGCAGAATCCCCATCAGACGGGGGAGAGATGTCCTCTCACGGAACCCCTCCCTCCAAGGCTCTCTGAGGAACTGACCAAGTCCCTCTGGTCCCTTTGCTCTATGAGCGGGTCAACCCTCCAGGTCACCCCCTGCTCCAACCACCTGTTGTCCCCCCACCCCTGCGTGAACTCCACCTGCAGCAGAGAGCCCACGACCCCTCGACACAGCCCTACGATTCTGTGGATGAACAAGCCCGACTGGCGGAAGTTCCTTCCTGCACTATACTCATTCGAACCCCTAGGGCTCATGGGGAATGAGTTTCGTCTTGAAAGCGCCTGGCAGCCCCGAGGATGCATGACAACACCTCCCATGCTCTTCCCCCGAATATGCTCCCTTCTCCTGACTGCAGCTCCCCATCTGCGTGCCACACGGCGTCAGGTTCTGTCACCATCCTGGTTATCCCCGTTGGCCTGAGTCTATCTGCCCCGTCCTCAGAAGCGGGGGCAATGCACTGTCAGAGGAGGAAGGAGCCGTGGTCGCTGAGCCCGGACACGGAACTGCCACTGACGTGGCCCCAGAACCACACACTGCATTCCGATCGTCACGTGGCCCTGTGGACTGGTCTCCAACACTGTTTTGTTTTTTTTTTAATTTCTCTCTCCTGTTCTCGATTTCACCCCACTGCTGGCTACCGGTAACGGACAGAGGAATTCACAGCCAGCAGGTGGAAATCACACGCGAGCATCATCCCTTCCATTGCTGCCACATAGCATAAGCCAGGGAACAAGGAAGCTGCCACGGTTGCAAACCTACTGGCCTATGGGGAGGGTCCTCCCGCTGTGGTCCAGGCCGCCGGGGCCCCAGATCCTGTTGTCCATCATCTCTGTCCCCACGTTGCCACTCTCGCCAACAAACAGGCTGTTCTTTATCTCCTGCTTGGAACCATCATCATAGGGGAAGGTCCCACCACTGTAGGGGGAGAACGTCTGCGGTGAGCTGTCCAGAGCCGGCTTCCCACCGAGCGCCCAGCACGACGACGGCTGCCCTTACCTGGCCAGGGTCAGGCCAACGCCATTGTCAGCAAACCTGGGGACAAGAGCGGACGGTCAGAGCCTGCCCTCACTCCACACGCAGGGGAGCTGCGGAGGGAAGGACCCTTCCCTGTCCCTGGCATCGCGCGGTGGACACCGTGTGGGGAGGCAGGCTTTACCTGGCACGGGGTTTGGTGCGGGAGCCGTGGGTTCTCCCACCCAGTGTCTGCTTGCAAACATGCGCTCGGCGTCTGGGGCCACCCTGCATCAGTAGCAAGCACCCCCGGCTCCGCGAGCCTCTCCTCTGCCGCCCGTCCCCGCCCGCGACTCCGGGGCTAAGAGCGAGGTTGGAGCTGGGAGGACCTGGCCACTCTTGGGTCCCACACCAGGTAAAGACGGGCCACGTGGATACGGTTCCGCTGCCCCCCTGGCCATCCCATTCCCATTTCGGCCACAGCGAGAAGGACAGACAGATTCCAATTTCCCAGGGGTCAGGCAGCTGCCGGGAAGGGCAAGACCCACGGTCACAATTACACTGTGGCCACGCTTTGGAGTCCAGTGAGTTGCGATTTCAAGCCCCCGTTCAACCGCTTACTCATCGTGTGACCTTCTGGGAAGGTCACTAGACTCAGCTTCAGTTTACCCTCTCCAAAATGGAAGAGATAATTTGTACCTTCAAGAAACACAGTAACAAAGACCACCAAGGATTCAGCGCACGGCAGGTGCCCAGAACGTGCGGGCTTCCTCCTTCTTTCCTCCTTTCACTGACTGGCTCCGTGCTCAGAGAGCCTCACCCAGGGACTGTTTGATGACCCAGAGCAGCTGTGTATGCTGTCTTTAGGGGGTCTTGGGGGGGTCACTGCCAGCTGGGGGGGCATATGCCTCTGCCTTGGGGGGGGACCAGAAGGCCAAGGTCTGTGTGTCTGCTTCCTCCCTGCCCTGCTCTCCTCTCCCCCCGTGTGGGGGGGCACCACCCCCTCCCTGTGCCGAGACCCCATGGCTCTCCTCACCGACAGCTGTCCAGCCACACGTCCCCGCCGCGCAGCCAGGCCCCGTGGTCCTGGTTCTTGTAGGCGGTGAAATGTCTGATGATGGCGGGCTCCCGGGGCTTCAGCGGGTCGGCATCCTGGTGCGGGCTGTACCTGGAAGGCACGGTGGGGAGGGCACAGGGGGCAGTGCTGGGGGACTCCTGGACGGACCCCCTCTGGCCGTGAGCCCCTCCCCACGCAGCAGCCGGCTCACGTTGCCCGGGCGCCGGCACGGAAGCGAGGGTCTCTCCTCCAGGGCCCACCCCCTGCAGGCCCAGGAGCCCCCACCCCGCGGGCCGCGGCAGGTCATGGCGCAGAGGGAAGTCCAGCCAGCCAGGCCCAGTCCCGGCGTGCCGTGCGGCCCCTGGGGCTGGGAAGGAGGCTCTGAGATGCCCAGCCCCCCGCTGACTTGGGGGACCCTGGGCCTCACGCCTGCTCTGGGCTCCAGCTCACGCCCTCCATCCGTGGTTTCACGCCTCTTTCAAGGGCACTGGGCTGTCTAATAACCTTGAGGTTTTGACAGCACCTTTGGAAAGTGGCCCCCGGCCTCCGGCTGAGCTCTGTCCCTTCCCACGAACCCGACGGTGCAGTTCTCCCTGACTTCTCTCTTCCCCTTTAGATCCCGGCCCAGCCTGCCGACTTGCCAGGTACTGGCTTTTGCTGAGGGATCCAGGAACCTCTAGAGATTTCTATTTCCCTGCAGCTGCTGCAGCCTAAGCCCTAATTCAGACTTTGCCCTGCTCAGATTTTCACCACGTTACCCCAGCACCTAGCTCCCTGTCCAGGACGTGGAAAGTGCTCCCTACATATTTGATGAATGAATGAATGAATGAGTGAAGAAGAGAATGGAGGTGGGTCAGGAGCTCAGCAGGGAGCGTGTGCGTTCCCAGGGGGTGACTACCTGGCAGAGATGATAGAGAGGAAGGGCCGCTTGTCCTTGGCGGAGGCCTCGGTAGTCTTGACCCCGTTGTCTATGATCATGCCAGCCTGTGGGGAGGGAACAGTCAGGGACACGGTCCCTTCCACTCCCAGGCTGCAGGCACCTCCTCATGCCCAGCCTCACCGCACACTCTTACACGCTCCAGTAAAATCAGCTGTGCTGTTAGGACGCATTAACGGAGGTAAGGGGTCTGCAGTGAGGGAGGTGAGGAGCCTGTATTGCTCTGCATTGTTCAGAGTGAATCTGGAATAAGGTGTCCCCCCGGAGGTGTGTATCAGGAAGCTGACGTCTGGAGGGTTACGTGTCTTGTCTAGGGCCACGCAGCTAAGTCTGTGCCCAGAGCTCGCCTTGCTCTGGGCAGTTACAAGCCCAGGCCCCACGACAAGGGCGAGGGAAATGTGTCTGCGGTGACTTGGAGGAACTGCTGAACTTATATCTCGTCTCCACCCTGGGGCGGGGGTCTGGGATCCTCCCACAGTCCTGCCTGGGCTCCTCTGACTCGAGGGCAGAACCTCACATTCCTGTTTGGCTCTGAAGGTGTTTACGTGGTCAGCCCTGGGCGCCCGTGCGGAAGTCAGGGCCTCCCAGTGAGGGGACTCTTGGCCTCCTGGGAAGGCCCAGACCCAGGCTCCCTTCTCCAGGAACCAGAGGCCACTCTGGCTAGTGCGTTCTTAAGTCGGGGTGACGTGGGTCGGAAGATGAGGGGCTAGATCCCCAGCTGCTTGCTCACGGGCCATGACCTTCAGTCCCCAAGCCCCAGCTGTGGCCTCCGTTAAGACGGGCTAAGAACACTGATTTCAGAGGACTCGGGAGGCTCCGTGCTGGCCCCAGACGACTGCCCCAGACCAGGACCCTCACCCCAGACAGGACCTTCACCCACTGGTTGCAGGGGCGGGGCTCATGGGGGGCGGGGGGGAGGGCACCAAGCCCAGGGCTCCATCCAATCAGTGCAGCTCAGGGTTCCTGCTCACTCCCTCCTCACCCTGCCCGTCCCTCCACCTGTGCCCGTCCTGCCTACATTCTGTCCCGTGCACAGCCCCCCTCTTTTAAGGTCTCTGATCCAGGCACTACCTAGCCCAGCTCCCAGCTCAGGAGAAGGCTTCTCAAGGAAGGGGTCCCGACAAGCAGCCAACACAGCCTGTCCACTGCTCGGCTGCCGCCCCATCCACCCCCCACCCTGCACCTCTGTGCTGCTCTTATATGGTCCACAACAGCCTCAGAAACCCCGCTCTGCCAAGGGGACACCGCTCCTCCTTGTCTCTACCCTCTGCCCCCAGAGACCCTTCCTGCTCGGCCTCTGGGACATAGTGCTGCCTGGTGTCCCGCCCGCCACGCTGCCCCGCACTCCCTGCAGGCCCCCCTCCCGCCCCACCTCAGGTATAAGCAGGGCTGGGTCAGAGAGGATCTCTCTTCTTCACAGACTTCCCCCTGCTTGAGCTTTTTTCTTTTAATCCTCATGTATCCGTTCCCCTCCAGCTTCCTCATCTGTCCCAGCAGGGACTGGACCAGAAGATCAGCCTGGACACACTGGGCCCTGGGCACTGGGCCAGCGCCCCCAAGGCCACCTCTGCCCCCCAGGCGGCACCTCTGGTCTCTGCCTGGCTCCTCAGCTCCGCGTCCCATGGCCCTGGCCTAGCTGCAGTCCTGGGTGGGCGTCCTCGGCTCACCTGGAGTCCCCAGCACCTAGTGTGGTACTGGACTGAGGGGCTTCTGTTTTCCACCTGCCCTCTTGGCTCTGCATGGATGGAGCACCCCACTTCCCAGGAACGAAGCAAAGGGATCGGAGGGGAGGATGCTCAGGTTGCCTCCACCCTCCTTCAGAACGGCCTCCTGATTTTCTCTAGCTTACAGGCCAGGCTGAGCCCTCACGGTCAACACTGCGCCCACCCCACCAAGGGAACTGTCAGATGACACTCCCGTGCCCAGCTCAGCGGCCGCCGGGAGGTGCCGCCCTGCTACCAGCCTGAGCGAAGGCGCACCTTACTTCTGGCTCCGACCAGATGCCAAGGCAGGAACAGCCACGGGACGTTCTTGCTAAGAACGGCCAGGAGCCGAGGAGGAAGGCTGCTTGGTTTTCTCGCAGACAGGCGCTAGGAACGCGGTGGCGCTGCCGGTAGCCAGGAGGCCGTCCCGGCTCAAATGATCTGCAGGTCCGGGAGGGAGGACTAACAGGCTGGCCCAGGGGGACAGAGTCTGGAAAGACTTACCCGGTAGTTGGAATGTGCTCGGTTATGGAGGAATTTTCCCAGTGGAATGTGCTCTGAATAACCTGGGGAGTACATTCCCACTGAGGGGCCTGTCGGCACGTGGTGGAAGATGAACCAGAACCCGGTCTCCTGTTGGGGGGGGCACAAGGGGAGAGCCACAGAGATCAGCCCCGCAGACTCCTCCTTGCTGGGGTCCTACTCGGGCTGGACCTAGCACTCGCCCCGAAAGGGCCCCACCGCCCATCCCTGGACGCGCCTGCGGGAGGCAGTAAAAAGCCCTGGCAAATGCACTTTGTGGGGTCTACCCTGACTGGGGCAGCCCTTCATCGGGTCCTACTCTCCTGGCCATGGGTTCCAAACGGCTGGCTTTGAGTCCCGGATGTTCTCGGCTTTTCCCTTTCCTTTAGCAGCTATGGAAACTGAAGCCCAGAGACAGCACCTGACCTGCTCGGGGTCCCACGGACGCTAAGTGGCAGGGACGGGTGGGTGAGAGCAAGGCTGTGTAGACAGGGTGCCGTGTCTGAATCCTGTGCGTGCCCCTGGGCACGGTCACCCTCCCCGCCCAGCGGATGGAAGGTATGGGTACCTGCCTCGCAGGGTTGGTGCGAGAATTAAACTATCTTAGCTGACAGAGCTGGTGGGGAGGCACAGCGCCAGGCCATGCCCGTCTCTGTCTAATAATCAGTCATTTCAGTAAAGCGCCCTGATCACCCACATGATGAAGGGACAGGGCCATTACTGAAAGCCAAGTCCATGTGACCCCTTCGCCCCAGCGGAGCCTGACCTGGCGGGTCCCAGGCCCAGCCCCGGCCCCCACCTTTACTTCCAGCCAAAGAAGGGACGGTTCTGCTCACCTCGGATCCCGCGGCTGCACAGTTAATGAGGTTGTTGTTGGGGTTGGCCATCCAGAAGGTGGACACTGCACTGTGGCGGGGGGGCGGGGGACAGAGATCGCAGGCGTCACCCGACGGGCCGCTGGTTCCCTTGCCTCTTACCAGAAGCTTGAGAAACCCTCAGTTTGCTGTGAAACCCAGTTTGCTCGTGCGAGCGCAGAGCATTTCAACACCTGAAGTGCTGGGGCTTAAAAGGGGCATGTGGGTGCGTGAGGCGGAGGCAGCTGATGGGTGAAGTCTGAGCCGGGCTCTACAATAGAGAGAAGGCACCGGGGCCCGGAAGGGGGCCGTTCCTCAGGGAGAGGCCCGGCGTGGGAACACTGATCACACGGGCAGTCCCGTCTCTGTCTCTGTCTCCAAGTGGGGGAGTACGCCTCGTGCCCGCGGGTAACCACTGGGGCACCCGGGTGGCAGCCCGCGCCTTCTCAGAGGAGCACCGTGATGATGGCCATGGGCAAGCGGAGAAGCAGGCCCTCCGTGGCCTCCGTGGCCTCCGGCTGAGAGGCTGAGGGCTGTGGGTGGTTGAGGGCTGGGAGGCAGCCCTCAGAAGCTGCTCAGAAGCCCCAGGGTGCGGAGGTCAGAGGCCCGGCTGGGCGGGTGAGTGAGCAACTGCTCGCAGGACCCTGTGGGGCGCAGGCCTGCTGTGGCTCATGGCACGGGGCTCGGGGTGGCAGTGGTGGGGGGGAGGCACTTACTTGCAATCCTGCCTGGGCTTGGGGATGTACCCCGGGTAGGAGTCTTCCGTGATGGTCTTGCACATCTTGCTATCACGGTCGGAGGGGAGGAGCGTTCCGGACTTGACGAGGAGGCCGAGACAGTGGTCGAAGGTGTTCCGTTCCTCTGGCCCATCTTCCGTGAAGAAGCAGTGGCCCAGGGAGTTATAGCCCACCACGTCCTTGACCTGCAGGGATCACGACCGGGGGACCTCTCACCCAGCGTCCAGGTGTTCCTGAGCTTATGCATTCATTCAGCAAACGTGACACGGCATCAGCGGCGCCCCGGGTCCCACGAGGAACCCCACAGGCTTGGGGAGGGCCCTGGCACAGCAGTCTGAGAACTAAAAGGTCCTTACAGTGTCTCTGGCCGGAGCCCTGCCTCCCTGCCCGAGGCCACACGGCCCACAAGCGTCCCTGACAAATGGGATGGCGCTTCCACTTGAATGCCCCAGAGATGGGATGCTCACCACCTCAAAGTTAGCCTGTCCACATCAGAACACCGACGATGGTGCTCTTAACTGAGGTCTTCCGTCCACACCCCTACTCTGGGGCCCGACTGCCCAGTGCCGTCCCCCCGAGGAGAGGCTCCCGATCCCCTACGACAGTTCGACCCGCACCGATTACCCACCTACCAGCAGGCCAGGCCCCAGAGCATCCAGACCCCATCCCGAAACAACTCCCCCTTCAGTACCATTAACACTTCGAGGGGCCGCCCGGCCCGTCCCTTGTGGGGTGTTTAGCGGCGTCCCGGCTTCTGCCCTCCCCACATGTCAGCACGCCTCCTCAGTGGGACAACAAAAATGTCTCAGACACTCGCTGCCAAATATCCCCCCGGCTTGGGGGTGATACCGTGCCCTCTGGTTGGGGTGCACACGTCCAGGGTGAACGCCCCAACTCCCCCGGCTCTTTCCTAGGACAGAGCCTGCCTACTCCAGCATCCGGGCAGTCACTCTCTGGAAGCATCCGGAGCCGGGACCCTCCATGTCCTTTTCATCTTGCTGAAGTCTTACACATTTCTAGAACACTTGGTTTTGGTTTTTTGCTTTGTTTTGTTGTAAGAGCTAAGGAAAATGAGACTGAAGGAAGTTAAGTGGTTTGCTCAAGGTCGCACAACCCATGTGTTCAAAGGCAGGCAGGGCTGGGACCCCCGCTTTCTCATTGTGTCCATTCACCCCACAAGGGAGGATCCACACACACTGGCTGCCCTGTTCCGGGCCAGCTCTGTTCCTCTACATCCCTCCCTAATCTTTGGTCATTGGCAAGGGCGTGATCTTGAGTGCTATTCAGTCCCTCACCAAGCAGTGCAGTAAACACCAAGGTCATCCGATGTGGCAGCTTCCTTTCGTCCCAGTGAGCTAGGACAGCTGGTTATAAATAGCCCGGAAAGAGAAGGGAGGAAGCGGGGCTGCTGGGGCCGACAGGGGTGGCTTTGGGCAAGTCCCATGCCGCCACTTACAGAGGAGGACACTGACGCCCAGAGAAGGGGCGTGGGGTGTCCCAGCAAGCTCACAAACCTAGAGGTGGAGCCACATTCAGACCCAGGCCTCCTGCCCAAGGCTCTTTCAAAATCCTAAGCACCACTTACCCCACTGTCCGATCACACCCTGCGTGGCCCTTCTTTGAAGGCAAGTGAATAAAAGATGAATCAGGGACATTCTTATTCTAACCAACACCCCAGGGAGAAATTCCCTCCATCCAAGACCCTTGAGGTGTGCTCTGGAGAGAAAAATCCCCATCGAAAGGAATAATAAGTACTAGTATTTGTTGGGTGTCAGATCTGTTACAGACATTACCTCGTTTAATTCTTAATCATTCCCTTTCGCCTTCTGTTCAGGGACAGAGCCGAAACCCGATTCTCCATCCACCTGATTCTATAACTTTCGTGCTCATCTGTTGTCAACAACCCCAAACAGAAAACCAGCCCTCTCATCTCGTGCTGCATTTCTTCCTTCTCATCGGGGTGGGTGAGGATGGCGTGGGGAGTGGAAGGGAGACAGCACGGTGAGGTAGAGGGAGGGGGAACTGCTGGGTGGGGAGCCGAAGATACAAGTTCAAGTCTCAGCTCAGCCACCAACTTGCTGGGCCTCGCCCAGGTGTCCCTCGGCAGACAGGTGCCTTCTAAAATCTGGCTCTTAGGTTTCTGATCATTCTGCCTTAGAACATTTCCCAGAGTTGAATATTTACACTGTGACACAGCTTGAGACAGAAAGACAGACAGACAGACAGATAAATCACTACATTGTAGTTGCACACCCAGACACATAATACAGGTTTGCAGATGGCTGCCAAGTCCCTGGGCGTGCTAACCTGGAGCTCCCGCCCCGTTCTCATGCACAAATCACATCTTTCCCTTCCTTCTTCTGCACATCACCCCTGCTGATGGTTGTCAGTCCTAAAAGTCATTCCTAAAGGCTGTTCTAAGTCTTCTGCCATTGTTAGCAGGGGTCTAGGCATGAGATTACAAAGGAGGAAATTTCTCAGCCCTCAGGGACTGTTTCATCTAAAACGACCATTTAATTTATTGTCTGAACCAGGACATTTTTTTAGAGCAAAGGAGGGGTGCCGTTAGAAACGAAGCTGCGAAAGCAGGTATAAAGTGGAACATTCCATGCAAATCAACCTGCATCAGCAAGAAGAAGAAACTGCTGCTTAAGACAAGCAAATACGAACAGAAATCGGCCCTGCCCGATTCCGCCTTCTAGGGCGGCTATGATACCATTCCTGCTAGGGAGAAGCATGACCCCAAATACAATCAGATTGAAAGAAAGACTGTAATTTCCAGGCTTCTACCACTTATTTTGTGTTTTTTGAGCCGCTGAAGAAAAGAGCCTATTTTTGCAGAGTCTTAAGGCGTATTTGATGGCGCAGACAGAAGCCGGGAAAGGCGGCAGAGAACCAGGTCGCGCTCCCCCCGTCGGGAAGGACCGAGTCCCGGAGGCAGCCCCGGAGAGGCGCGAGCGGGAAGGGAGCCAGGGAAAGAGGGGCCTGGTGCCCATTTCCAGTTGTTCCCGGAGCTGATGGGTGGTGCGCCCGCCCTCTTCCCCGGCACATCCCTTCCCCGATCCACCAGCAGGAGCCCCGGCCTGGGACACTTTTGGGGAAAGCAAGCACCACCGTCTGGGTTCCTCCCGGGGGCTCAGGCGGGAAGGAGAACTGGGAGCAGTTACAGGAATCAAGAAGCTGGTGAGACTGAATTCCAGAAACCGGGAGAAGGGGCAAACAGATCCTGGCCCCTGGTTCCCAGAGCTGGGGCGGGGACAGAGGGAGCTGGGCTCCCGCCATATGCACCCAGGGGGCGCAGCCAAGGGCAGGAGAAAGCAGCGGGACGGGCATCTTCCTGAGGCTGGATGGTGGGGGGCCGTAGCCAGGTGTGGGGCCCCCGGGAGCCGCACAGAGCGCTGGATGCATTTGCACCAGTGTCCTGGGGGGGAAGAAGGAAAGGACGGGTTTTCTTCTCCCACCCCCTCTCCTTGCCCTGAAAATGGAACGGAGCGGGGGAAACAAACAGAATCCACGTTGGTGTCTTTGTACCTTCCTCGAAAGCTCTGGAACGGATTGTTTCCAGCAGAGAACAGGCAGGTGGTCCCCTGTGTCCTGCCCCAGAGCTCAGAAACACACACTGAGGGGCAGTGGGAGCCCGCCGTAGGCCCCCAGCTGCCCCGCCTGCAGGGGATGGGCGGGAGAGCCTTCCTCTGAGGGCCAGCTTCACCCCGCAACTGCCAGCATCCTGGGGCTCCCGTGCTGGTATCACGACAGACATCGCCCGACTCAGCTCCGGGTCTTGGCATCACCAGGGTCTTGGCATCACCAGGATAACCAGCATTCGGTGTGGTTTTACCGCAGGCCTTGACCTTGTCAGCATGCACGGGGAGTGTGCGGGACAGGAGGGAGGACACGTACGCAGCGTTTGCCGAGCTCCCGAGGCTGCTCTGTGTGTGTGTCGGGGGGGTGGGGGACCCATTACCGTGTCGTGGAAGCAGGGAGGCTTACCCAGGGCGCAGTACACAGAGGCCCCATGACCGTATACGGCCTGCTGATGCTGAGTTGGCCACATGCGTCCCTGGCTTCATCCTCCCCCAAAGCCTTGGCAATGGGCTGTGTCCTCACCCTCACTTTGTGCGGTGGGGAAACCGAGGCTCCGTAAGTTTGGATCGTTAGAACGCAGGTTTGCTCTGACTCTGTCCTCCCAAGCTGGCGGCTCTGCGGATGCCTGCAGGCCCGGTTTGAGCGAGCAAGGAGTCCGGGGAGGAGGGGGCGGTGGGTTTGTTGAGCAGGAGCTCATGGTGTGTGCGGCGATTCCTAAGAGCATCCTCTGGGCTCAGGGAGCAGATGTGGAGAGGCCCGTGTGCTCATCGGTTAGGAGGGGAATGAGAAGCAGGTGTTGGCGGGAACATCAAGTCCACACTGCCCTTTCCAGAAGCAGGTGGCCAAGAATGGGGAGGAGCCCGGGGTCGGGGGGGGCGCGGGCAGAAGCTGTCTTCTGAGGACGAGGGCACCAGAGTCTGTCTGCAGGCGGTGGGCGGGGAAGCCCACGTGTGGACGGATGTCCAGGGTCTCGGGCGTGTCCAGATCTGGGACGGCCTGAGGGTAAAGGCCTCCACGATGCTACCGAGTGGCCTCTGCAGCCTAAGTGAGAATCCAGTGTCTGTCTGTATTTGGCCTCCTTTCATCCCGTCAGCTAAAAACATCTTTCCAAACACGTTAGAGCCCCGGCCACTGGTAGGTCCTTCAAGCCAGAATGAAGGGAGCAAATACCAACTAGCGATGCGGAGCCCAGCTCCCGGGGTGGCCCTGCTGCCCCCCATGGTGCAGGGCCTACGGGGGCGGCGCCCATCCGAACCCCCAGCGCCCCACGGCCTGTGGCGCTCGGGGGAGGACGCGGAATGCACTCCGTTGTCCTGCTGCCTCTTCGGCTCGGGGAATCCGAGGCCTGCGCTTCATCCAGATGCTAAGTCATGCCAGTTTGGTGTCTCACAGGTCTCTGGGCTCCAGACCCTCACCCACCAGCCTGGCCGTCCAGCAGGGACGCGAGCCGAGTGCGGCTGGAGCCCTCCGTGGCCACCGGGATGAGGCTGCTGCCGGCCCCTCGGCCAGGCCTGTGCGAGGCTGCCTGGCGTCTGGATGGCGCCCAGGGAGCTGACGTGTGTTCCCTCCCAGTCTGGTGGCCGCCATCCCTTGGGGCCGGACAGAACAACGGCCTTGGCACATGCAGGACTGCCAGGGCCCCCTGGTTGCGAGAGCTTGTCCAAGTCTCTGGCTCCAAGTCTGTCTGGTGTGGGTGCGACTGGCCCGTCTAGCGGCTCCGAATGAGCGGGTTCCGAGGGCCGCTCCTGGGCCGTGCTCGCTCAAGCCCCCGCCTGCCTGCATCGCGCTGGGCCGCTCGCTCCTGTGGGAGCCCCTTCCTCCGGCCGAGGCCCGGGCTCGCGGCTCAGGCGCACTGTGACCAGCGTGGCCAAGCCCTTCTCATTCTTGGATTCTAACTGAACAACCGTGAGATCTGCTTGTCATGCCGGGCACCACACATGACGAAACCGAATGCACGAACAGCCGTGTGTCCACGGTATGCACGCGCGCGTGTGCACGTGTGTGCATGCGTGTGCATGTGCGTGTGCACGCGTGTGTGTTATGTGCACAACTGCCCTGAGATGCAGAACGGCCTCCGCTCACACCGACCCGGCTGCTGGGAGTCAACATCTTTCTCTTCGGTGGCGCGAAGCGTAGGGGAATTGAAGCTAAATTAAGCCCAGAACTTTAGAACGAATGCTTAAAGCGAGTAGAGCTCCTCGGACTCAGGCTTGTCATCTTTCCTAATTCTACACTGTTCTTTTTACCCCACGTTCCGAGCTCAGGCGCCCCAGAGTCCCTGCGTTGCGTTCGTTCGGCAAGCCGCGTGGACAAGCAGAAGAGACCACACCTGCCCCCGGGGCCACACGTGTGCCACACTTTCCACATCCTGTGCTCACGTCTTGTAACAACCACGTGGCAGACATACTGCTGTCCTCCCTGTTTTACAGAAGAGGAAACAGAGGCGTGAGAGGGAAAGTGACCGGCCCACGTCCCACGACGGGTCCGTGGCAGAAGCCAGACGGAAGCCCAGACCCGAGCCACGCTGTGTCTGCTACCGCGTTCCTGACATTTCCCACTTATCGTGACTCTTACTGTCTTTCTGCTTCCGGGACAGCACGTTCTCCTTTCTTCTTCCCTGAGCCAGAAAACAGGCCCACGTTCAGCAACCGTTCCAGCCACAGCCCTCCTGCCGCCTGCCACGGAGAACCGGCCCTGGTTCCTGGGCAGCGCTGCCACGTGAGCTGGCAAGTCGGGCGCCGGGTCCGGGGCTCCCTCAGGGCACCTGCACCTCACAGCCCCCCGTGTTTGCTGCGATTTCCCCACTCGGCCGCGGAGGACGACGGAGGTTTGCGGATGGCAAACAATTTGCACGAAGCCCACAGCTCACAGGCTGTGGGCCAAGCTCTTGAACCCATGTGCTTCCAGACGAGGCCGCAGGGCCCATACTCTCCCGTCCCCTCGGTGGGTCTGTGAAGAAGTAGAGGACACCCCCCACCCCAGCGCCCTGGGCCACGCAGCAGTGTGGGTCTGACCCGCCACCTCGGACCACGTTCCCAGAGAAGCCAAGAACCCAGATTTCTGTGTGAAATCACTTAATTTTTAAATGACGGAACCTAATTCAGATGTTTCTTTAAACACCATTTAAGCCAAACAAAACACATCCCGTCACTGGGTTCCACATGCAGGGGGCCCATCTGTGACATCCGGCTTTAAAGTTCATGTAGGATGTAAGTTCAGTCTGTTTAAAGAAAGGTTGGTTTAGTGTAAAATTATCAGTTTAGTGTAAAGATGATCGAATGTTTCTATAAACACTTCCTAAGCCAAACAAAACACAATCTGGATTCTTCAGCTTATAATATCCGGTTTTTAAAGTTTCTAGAGGATATAAGTTTAGTACATTTATCTATTTTCTTTTCAGAGAGTGGGAGAGCGTGAGCGAGAGAGTGCCAGGGAGGGAGGTGAGGGGAGAGGGTTGGGGGGCGGAGAGGGGGAGAGAATCTCCAGCAGTCTCCCTGCTAAGCACCCGACACGGGGCTCGATCCCAGGACCCTGAGATCATGACCTGAGCCGAAACTGAGAGTCCGACACTCAACTGACTGAGCCACCTGGGCGCCATAGGTTAGTTCATTTAAATAAGAATCAGTTTAGTGTCAAAACCAGCTGGGCAAACCCAGACCAGCCTCTGGCACGTATGCCTCCTTGGAACGAAGCCATTCCTCCCGGCAGTGTCCGCTCTGGAGGATGCTTGGTGCAGGAAGAGCAAAGGCCCCCTGCGGCCACCACAGGTCTGTGGGACGGAGGCAACGGTGCAGAGTCTGGCAAGAGCCCTTGTCTGCGCTAGCGGATCTGTCTTGCCACACAGCCACGGAAAGATCCTCGGCCTGCCCATCTCTCCAAAGAGGCACCGCACACGCCTGCCCTCTCTTCTCTTTCCTGCTCACGACTGACAGCATTCTAAACTCGAGGCCAAGGATGGTTCAACCCCCGATGGCCCCGGACTAAATGTCCAGATCCAGACACCCGCCCAGCACTGACAGTTTGGAGGCAGGGGACTGGAGGACGGGACAGTGACGGTCCCTCTGCTTCCCCGGGGAGGAGGCACTCACCAACAAGCCATTGGAGCCATGCACGGTGACACAGCGAGAAAACGTGTGGTGGATGGAGAGCTCGCGGACGTACGTGGGCGGGTCGTAGCCTCCCTTCTCGTCCACATCGCCCGCCAGGTGGAAGTGAATGGGGTACTGGCCCACCAGCTGTTGTCCCATGTGCTTCAGCTCCACACCCTCCAGGTGCACAGCCTTAAAGCCCAGTGCAAACTGCAAGAGGGGAGGCGAGGGTCAGAAGGGTGGGCGAGGTGCCCCCGGCCCCCTTGCCGGGGCCGGGTCCCAAACATGCGAAGTGCCTCACTGATCCCTGCCTCGGCCACACAGTGAATCCAACATATGCCCTGCAGACGGGTTAAAGCCCCGGCCCTCTCACCGCCCAGGCGCCGAGGCGCTTTGGATAACACACGGATGTTACAAGATGGTGAACGGCTTGGAACAGCGGGGCTGGCCTCCACTCCCGCCCTCCCTCCTAAGTTGCTAAGTGTCACAAGGAAGGGGGAACCCCGAGATATGCGGTGGCGAGGCTGGCCCGAGGCCGGCCCCAGGATGATGGGAATCCAGGGGCAGAAGAAGCCTGTGCTCTGCCCATGGTCTGCAGGCCCTCCTGGTGGAAGGACGGGGACACTGAGCCAGGACTCTCCATCAGCCCCTGACCCCGGTAGTGTGGGCGAGCTGTGGGACGCTCTGTGTGCACCACCGTGGATGTCTACACTCCAGGAACCCACTGTAAAAGCACACTGTGGAAATGACTCTTGTCAGAAGCGGGGCTCAGCCGGCTGCTCCTGGAGTAGACAGATCTTAAGGACATGCTAACAGTCCTCCCAGAGCAGGTCTGTCAAGTGGAATGCCACTCAGGAAGGGGCATCCTGAGGCCTCGTTTGGGCAAAGCGGGAAGGGGACACTGATGGCTCGGGGATTGCTCTCAGAATTGGAAACGGGCTCTGGTCTCTCTGATGAGTCTCTGCACAAGCCCTGGCCCCCCTCACCCCCAGAGCCTGACCGGAAACACGAGCGAGCGCTTCTGGAGCCTACAGTGAATGGGGAGCCCTGCTGAGCGAGCAGGGGCTGTGGATGCTGGGAGCCCACGTGTGATACGGGGCCACCCAGCGCCAGTCATTGAAAGCGACAGCCGCACGAACAGCTTTGGGGCGTTGTGATGTTCAGTATGCCGGGTAACGGCTCTTTAGATGGGATGCAGACAGAGTTCCCCCGTAAGCCCCATGCTAGGAAGCCGGGAGCTCTCGCGGACCGCTGACCGCACACCGCTGACCGCCGCTCTTCCCTGGGCAGCAGAACTCCGCTGCGAGCCAGGTCCCTCTTTGCCTCCATCTTTTGGTAGACGCTCCGATGTCCAGCTTGTCTCCCCTGCCTGCTCGCGTGTCTGGGTTTTCATGGGTCTATTGTAAGCGTGACTTGTGTGGGTGAAATGTCAGCTCTTCTGGGAAACGACCGGGGTGAGGCGTTGGAGAAAGGGAGTGAGAGCAGGGACGGGGGCTGGAAGCCGTGCAGGCAGGGAGCCCAGGGTGGCATGTGACCGGGGAGTGGACAGCCGTCCCCAAGGTGGCCCCCTCCTGTCTTCTGGCCAGGGGTCGGCAGCCAGAACAGCACGCTGGACAGCAGGGGTCCGCCTTCCAGGAAGTCCCTGCCCTTGGTCCTACTTCCTGCTCCCGTGCCCTCCCCAGCCAGGGTCCCTGCCAGGCTGGCAGCGCGGGAATGCTCCCGGTCGGGCAGACCCATACCTTGATGTGGCCCCCGAAGGTGTCGAAGTCGAAGAAGTTGCAGACGTGGTTGTTGTAAGGGTAACATCTGTCCTCCATCTCCCCCATCACCACGATGTTCCGGCTCAGGAGCCCGACCTCGGCCCGCATGTCCACACCGTCTATCTCCTCCCCGATGTGCAGGTACAGAGGCTTCCCTAGGGCAGAAAGGGGTGGGTGGGAAATCCACTGCTGCTTACATATCACTGCACCTGTGTGCACGGTGGTCCCCGGGGCTCCCCCGGTCCCATGTTACAGAAGAAGGAAGCCCATGCAGGCTCTTCTTTCCTGGCCTGAAAGAAGAGCTAGGATTCACAGCCATGCGGACTCACATCTGAAGCCCATGCAGAAATGACTATTTGTCCCCCAGTATCAGTCCCCCCTTTTGCTTGCTGGTTTGAGCTCGACGTATGCTCCCCAGGAGAACCACGCTTCTCAGACTCCCTGTTGGTGTGGACACAGGATGAGCAGAAGCCGTGGGCGGCCCCTGCTCTCACTCCTTCCCCAGGACCGGAATGTGGCTGTGCCCTGGTGGGCCAGCCCCGAGGACAGGGTGTTCTCTCCCTTGTACTCCTGACGCCATCCCTTCCTACAGTCTTAGCTTCCTGGACTCCCGTAACTTCTCTTCTTCCTTCGTGTGGGTTCCTTATGTTCTGCTTCCAAACTCATCCAGACCTCCTATCCTTAAAAAAATTCTTAGAAGACCTTTCTGCCCAACTCAGCTACCCTCGTAGCTAATGTCAGTCCCCTTCGTGCCACTCGAGTCCCTGAACCAGTGACCCATACCTGCCCCGCTCCCTCGGTCTGCTCAAATCCACTTACTTCCCCTCCAGCCTCATCCTCCTCCCGGACGGCAGGTGCACCCCAGGGAAGGTGCGGGGGGCAGGGGCTTGGAACTTGGGGACTGCCTCGTGGTCCCCAATCCGCCCGCCCCCACTCCAACCCCAGATTCTTCCGTGGAATAGAGAGATCTCGGCCTGCCTCTGCACCCAGCTCGTCACTGGGACAGCTGACCTGGCTAGCAGGGCTTTCTCCTCCGTTCGAGGACACAGCTCCAGAGCACGGCCTCTCGTGTGGATTTGCAGCCTGCACCACACAGCAGGTGCTGCTTGGCTTTCACTGCGGCCCTGGCTTGAGCGACGGGGCTCGGGTGTCAGCCCACGGCACAGCTGGCCGGGCCTGTGATGGGCCTGAGCCGCGCCCTGACGGGGACCGCCCCTGCCCGCTCCTTCACGAGGCACAGCTCGCATCCTGTGGGGGCTGTGGGACCTCGGGGGCTGCGGTTTGCGATTCTGCAGGCTCGGGGAGATGGCAGTTTCTGGAAGCTCGTTAGTTCAGGACGTGAAACTGGTGTGGGGCAAAGCTGACAAGACACCCCTTTGGCATCACCATGAGCTCCCAGGGCCACTGCAACAAACTGCCACCCACTGACTGGCTTAACTCAGCAGAAACGTCTTGCCTCACATCTCAGAGGCCAGAGTGCACGGTCAGGGCCCCAGGTTGGCGGTCAGGGCCCCAGGTCGGCGGTTGGGGCCCCGGGGTCGGCGGTCAGGGCCCCGGGTCGGCAGTTGGGTGGGGCAGGGCTGGTTCCCTCGGGAGGCGCCAGGCGGAACCGTCCTGGCCGTTTGCAGATTCCAGCAGCGCCCTGTGCTCCTTGGCTGGAGGCCCCTTCCTCCTCCCTCAACGGGCGGACTTCACTCTGACGCCGGCTGTGTCGTATGTCACCTTCTCCTCGGACTCTGACCTCCTGCGTCCCCTCTGAGGACCTGTGATGACACTAGGCCACCCCGGGGACCCAGAATAATCCCCCATCTCCTGAGCCTTAACTCAATCGCACCCACCAAGTCCCTTCTGCCGCGCGAGCGGACATTCTCACGTGCAGAGGACTAGCCCGTGGGCGTCTGTGGGGCCGTTCCTCTGTGTACCCCAGAGCCCTGCTTTAAAAGTATTAGGAAATCTCGCTTTACAGAGAGTCTATTCACTATGCTTTACTATCAGGCCCAGAGATCTCCAAAGCCAGAGGGGCCAGGCACGGACGCCAGGCTGGGGGTGGGGCAGGGCTGTGAAGACTCGGGTTCCGTCCACAGTCTGACATTGCCCGGAGGAGCGTTTGAAACAAGTTCGCTCTGCAGACTGCTGGCTCCCTTACCCCCTGTGGCTTGTGGCTCAGGTCACAGAGCCTCGTGGCTTCACGGTTTTAGGGTCCAGATGCAGGGTCCCCTCTGGCTGCCCATGTGGAAGCCTCCCCCTCAGTCCCTGGCTGGCCTCCGGCCCATCAGCTCTGTGGCCGTCACTGTCACAGATGCGTGGCCTTGCAGGTGGGGGCGGGGAGTAGAGTCTCTTGCACAAAGAGCTTTGCGTGGGGTTCTGAGCAACACAGCGCAGGGCGGGGAGGGGAGACAGAAAGCTGCACCCAGAGCAGCATGTGATCGCTGGTGAGGAAGGAGACTCCCCTGCTCACCGGCTTTAAACGCCCTCCTTCCAGCAACGGATACATGGAGAATTGATGACAAAGCCCCTGGTCTGCCCGGCCTCGTGCTGCTACGTGCGCTGGATGCAGACCTTCCTTTCCTTACGAGCGGACACCCCGATGGACAGCGGGCAGCAGCCAGTAAAGCTTCAAAGGCTTCCTCAACTAAGCAAGGCCACCTCCCACTGTTCGTGGGGTGCAGAAGGAAGACCGGGCGACTGGTGCCCCAGAGGCAGCTCAGCGGTGCCCAGGAACCAGCCAACGCAAGGGACACGTGCCCGAGGAGCTGGGTCCCCGGAGGCCCAGCATGGAGCACGCTTCCCGAAGGGATGGCCCCCCGAGGCTTGAGCACGTGATGGAAGAGTTTATGCAGAGAGCGCGGGCTCAGTGCTGCCGGCCCAAGACACAGGAGAGGAGCTCCCGTGCAGCTTTGAGGGGCTCAGCTGCCGTCTCCCAGCCTGCAGGACCGACAGGGCAAAACCCCAGGCTCTGTGGGCTTATGCGTCATCGCCCCACACCCTCTTCTGCTGCAGCTCGAGCAGAGCACCAGCCCTCCCTGAACGAGCCTTGCTTCTGCCTAGCTGCCCCTCCGGCCGGGCCGCCTCGTCTGGGCAGCAGACGGCTTTGTGCTTCCAGATCCTGCTCCAGGGGCTCCTTCCCGGTGCGGTCTTCCCCACCGCCCTCCACCTCCCCCTTTGCTTCTTGGGGTGTCCACGGCGCCGGCAGGGCCAGGACACCAGGCCTCCCCATCCGGGCACACGTCCCCTGACGCCCAGCCGCCCCTCGTAGCTTGTGCATTTTGGGGGTCGGTGCCCCCTAAAACTATGGGGAATAGGCAGAACGCTGACCAGAGGGCCTTCCCCAGGGACCCACGGTCCCCTCGAACACGGCGGGAGAGGTCGGGGAGAGGCGGCAGAGGACCGTGGCTCTTGATCCCGACTCAGATGATGGCTGTGAGTCCCTGCGCACGTCAGTCACGCCCCCTGGATCTCAGGCTCTCCTTCCGTAAAATCGAGCTCTTGCTAGCAAGTGTCTCGAAGGTAGCCACGCTTGCTGACCACGCCAATCCAGGGAATGAGCTTCGCACAGCCCCTGGCACGTGGCAGGGACTGGTGTGGCCCGAGTGGCCGATGCAGGTGCCCCCCACGCTGTCCCCGGGGAAGACAGGAGCCCGGGCTCCCGCCACTGCCTCACACCTCCAGGCTGCCCCTGGGGGGGGCGCGGGGAGTGGGAGACGGAGGGACTGATCCACCCTCCGGAGTGCGCGGGGCCGACTGAGAGCTGAATTCCCACCGCCTCTTCCCCGCACTGTGGAGCCCGTAGCAGGACCTTCATGAAACCCCACAGCCAGCGGATCTGTCCTGTTGCCGTGTTCACAGGCCACCGTCCCCCAGCCGGCTGCCCCGGGGGAGCCGCGTGCCCTGCTTTCCGGCACCCCATCCTGTCCGCAGATTCTCCCTCCCTCCCTTGCTTCTTGCAGCTCTGGTGCACGAGGGCCAACCGGGGAAGAGCAGATGTGGCCCAGCCAGATGGTCCCAAATTATCCAGGAGGGCCACTGGCCGGGGGTGTGGGGGGTTGGCGGGCTCGGGCTGGAGGGTCCCAGAGAGGCCGTCTCAGCCACACAGCTCCCAGGTTCCTGGTATGGGCCAATCGTCTAGAGTGGAGGCCCTGGGGACGGGACGGAGGAGGACAGGTGGCCGGGAGCTAGAGAGCTCGGAGTTTGAATCCTGGCTCCGGTCGACCCCGCAGACTTGCTTGGTCTACACCAGCCCGCCCGCCTAGGACCCCTGGGCTGCGTGCCGTCCAGTACGCCGGCTACCGGGTCCCCGGAAGCGGGCTAGGAGGGCTTGAACAGCACGACCATACTGGAGGGCAGACTCTGCACATTTAACTCCCCTGCACCTGAGTGTCCTCCTGTGTGTCCCGCAGGAGCGGCGGCTGCCACCTGTTAGGGGACCACGAGGAGCGAGAGAGACGGTTTTGTAAAGCGCTTGGGAGTCACAGGAAACGAAGAACGGTCATCCTAAGGAGCCGATTAACCGTGGTATTATGGAGGGGTGTGTGCTGGGGGGCAGGGAAAGTGGGAGTGGGGGAGTGCAAATGCAGAAGGTCTGGGAGGGTTCCGACTGCGGGCCAGGAGGTGTGGAGATCCACCCTGCGGAGAGCAACACTCTGGAATATTCTCTGAGATGATTCACACACTTCATGACTTGGTGATCCCCATCTGTTTCCTGTCAGAAAACCCTTACTAGGCACGAAGGCCTGTTTCCTGGAATTTGGGGGCAGTGAGGAGGGAGGATCTGGGAAGGCCGTGCCCCGCTCTGCAACCAGCCTTGGGGGGAACCCTAAGACGTCGCTGCTGGGGGGCACAGCTTTGGAAAAGATGCGGCAGGTGGGAGCCCTTGCTTCATGTCAGTGGGAGATGGAGAGCCAGGCTTGGGGCTGAAAAGCAGACACATGAGCCTCCCCAAGACAGACAGACAGACAGCCCCCCCACCTCGGGCTTTTCTGATGCTGTCCACCAGGGGGCGCTGTTTTCAGGCAAGCCTCAAAGCCTCTGGGCACAGGGGACGGTCCACTCTGAGCCCAACCGGCAGGGGGTGGGGGCCAGGGAGGGGTGCCCCGAGGGAGTGTGGAGGGGCCCGAAGGGGGCCCCACATCTTCACTTCTCCTTTCCTCCCCCTGCACCAGGGCCTGGAGCAACCCCATCCCACTGTCCGTCCAGCCTTCAGCAGGCTCGGAGGCAGCTGGGCCTGTGGGTCCGCCACTGCCAAGCGGGGCCACTCTCCAGCCTCCCGCCACAGCCACACCGACCGCTGGGTGGGGCCAGCAGCCCTAACAGCGCCTGGCCCCTCGCCCTCGGGGCCCCTCGGCGCTCGGGAGCTGCTTGAAGTGAAACCTGGCCCCTCCCAGGCCTCGGGGTGCCCAGCACAGGGGTGCAGACCGGGGGGCCTCTGCAGGTGCTCCTGCGTCCACCTCCAAGCGGGCAAGCTTTTCACCCTCCTAGAAGCCACGCGTGCTGCCCCAGAACCCGGGCACTGAGCAGTGAGCATCAGCTCACACCGTCTGAATGCCACTCCCATCAGAGTCCGGGAGGACGCCTGACGTCCCAGGAGGGCTGTGCACACATACCGGCCTGGGGGACACAGGAGTCACGCGGCGAAGGCCATGGGCCTAACGCTCAGGGCACGAGCTTCACTCGGCACTCTCCTGTAAGCGGGGGGCCCGGGGAACCTTTCCCCACCAGGGGAAAGGCAGCAGGCCGACGGACTCGGAGGGAAGCCGGTCGCCACGGCGCCCCCTGCCCCCCAGCCCCACGCAGCCCCTCTACCCCTCACCCCGCTGCTCTGGTCCTCTTCTGCGGCGTGCTGTCCCCAGCACTGTGCCGTCCCCCTCCGACTGTCCAGGACACCCGATCCCTGGTCAGCCCCCTAGGGCGCCCTCTGGGTGTTGATGCGCTCTCTCCCACCTCCCTGTGCGTCCTCGTGAAGGGGACGGGGGTGCCCAGCCTGGGGGAGGAGGGACGCGGGGGGGGCATCTGTGCTCACAGAGCCTCCCGCCTCCACGCCCAGGACACCAGGACACTCGGAACAGAACCTGCGACGGACCTCAGCTGGGGGCTGCTGAGAACGATACACATCGCTTGCTTTTCTCCCTCTACAAGTACGTCTTTACCTACAGAACGGACACACAGGCACCCTTCCTGTCCGTCCTCACGCGTAGGTGCTACATGATTGCACGAATCCTGCCGATAATAGCAGCTGATGTTCACAGAGCCCTTACTGCCTGCCAGACACTGAAGGATTCAATCGGCCGATCCTCACAGCCCCGGGAAGCAGTTATGATCTACGATCGCTGTGTCTGTGTTGCAGACGAGGAAACTGAGGCACAGGGAAGTTAAGAATTTGTCTAAGGTCCCTCGGCTGGGAACCACATTCCTGCGTTCCTGCAATTCCAATCCCGTGCTCTACCAAAGAGAGAAAGAACTGGAAGAGAGGGAAGGAGAAAAGGAAGGAGGGAGGGAGGGAGGGTAGGGAAAGAAGAGAAAGAAAGAAGGAAGGAGCCTTCCCCAAAATGTCTTCAGGAAATGAGACCAACAGCATGCCCCGATCTAATATGAGGAGTCCAACCACACAGCTACGTACTGAGTATCTTTGTGTAAAATGCTTGTGGAGGGCTGTTCGCACTGCTGAGACCCTGAGCTGAACAGCCCCCCCCACCCCCTGTAGCTCAGGGCCTCAGGGAAGCGGTCACTCTGGGCCTCTGGTCTCCTCCTTTTTGTTGGACAATAGTAAGTAATCTGTGACGTTTCTTTCTCTGCTCTCACAGCCAAGAAGCTCAGAGACAAATTTATGGTCTATTTCAGTAGCTTTTGCTAACTTCAATCCCTCCCTTTTTGTTGAATTTATTCTCCTCGCGCCAGAATCTATTACTTCGACATGTATCTTTCCCTTTTTTTTCCCTCTCCTGGATGAAGATTTAATTGGACTTGTGTTTATTCCCCAAACCTTTTTTCAAAGACTGTAGGGGTTTGAACAAATGATTATTTAAAAAGGCAGATCCGTTAACTTGTCAAGCACAGACATGTGTCCAGCCACACTCAGCAAACCCCCGTCTGCCCCGGGACACCCACGGCCTTCCACTCGAAGGCTCTGCCCCGCTCCCCGGGACCACGGCTGCAGACTTCGGGGGAGGCCTCCAGGGCCCACGGCCCCCGAGAGTGGGACAAGGGGATTGGGTTGTACCACCATGGCTCTGGCGTTTAAACCTTTGTCCCCCCAGATTCCATCCCAAGCACATTCCCACCAGCCAAAAAGATTGTTTAACTTTCTATAGTCTTATTTCTAAAGCAATAGGTAATTTGAACATATGGGCTACGTTTTCTCCATCTGTCTTCCTCCACTTTCCCTCAATCCTAGACCTTCTCCAGGTGCCGTGGTCCTGTAGCACCTGGTAGTTATGACGCCCAGGATCGACTCTCCTTTCTTCTGGCCATTTTCTTCCCCAGTTTGCCCAAGGGGAGGGACCCTTTCTCCATTCAGTAGGCCCAGAGGGATGCTGGTGAAGGTGCACTGCAGGAGGGGGGAGCACCTGAGCCCCCAGCCCAATAGGACGCGGTCTCCCTGGAAGGTGGCATGAGCACTATGTCCCAGGGACCTCGCATGGTGCTTTGGGACAGCAGTGCCCCGAGAACACTGCACACTCACTCCCACTACCCAGACCCCCGAAGTCCTTGTGCACCTGGGTATATCACTTCCCGAAGCTCAGTGGCCTCCCGACAAATTCCTCTTTTGCTTACGATAGTCAAGCTGGATTCCATTGCTTATAACCAAAGAACCCCCATGGGTATATAACTCTCTCCACTAATAAACATGGACCTGGATTATACTTTTAATCCCAACAATCTGAGATTCCAGGAACCTCGCATAATATAAATTGCAGTACCACTAAGTTAACACTTAGGAGAAGAAAAAGGAAGACTCCAAAGCTGTAGAAAGAAGAGATTTAAAATTTCCTGGTAGATTGCATTATTGCCTAACAAATATTCACTCCCTTCCCTCAACCTTGATGGGACAAGTAGGCTGACCCACCCCATGCGTGCTAAGCCTAACCACATTATTTGCTTTGTCTAGCGGAATGTGGGTGTGAGAGCGCACTAGTCCTGAGCCCAGAGGACCCGAGTCCTCTGTGTTTCTGTTCCTGGGAACTTTCTACCTCCCCCACAGGAAGAATAGGTCCTGGGAAGAACGAGAGTCCCATGGAGCTGACCTGAACCCAGCAGTCATCTTGGGGCCAAGCTCAGTCTAGAGAAGCTGCACCCTAGACCCACTGCAGGTGCACGAGGGAGAAGTGCTTGCCACGAGAGTTTGAGGTCTGTTTCATTACGCAGCATTATTGCAACAGCTGACCGATACAGACTTGTTGTGATTTCAGACAACAGATTCGTGCAGCCTAGGGCGGGCTTAGTGGAAGTCTTACCTGCCACTCTGACCTGGTTGGGGGCACAGGCTTTGCAGGGAAGCACCCGGAACTCTTCTGCCTGGTACATGGAGTAATCAGTGCTGGCAACGACCAGTGTGTCTCCGGGCTTCCATGACCGAGCATCGTCCCCCAGGGTCAGGATGGTGCTGTTCACGTTGGTGTCGATGGTGACGGTGAGTTTGGGCCTCACTGCAACCCCAGACAGGAGGGACTGAGATATAACCCTGCGCCCTTGGCCAACTTTTGACCGCCCGCCTCTTCCCTTTCCCTCCCTAGATAAATGCCAGGTTTGCCTATCCAAACCCAAATCACCAGGCTCAGCCCATCCCAGTCTTGGTGCAGGTTTTTGAAGTCAACAAAACCCCACCAAAAAAGAGCCATTCATTAGCTCTGGGCAGGGGAATTTTCCACCAACTCCTTCCCTAGAGTTAAATGTGGCTGCCTCACCACACCCACTTTGCTCAAGATGTAAAACAAATATAGTCCCTCTCAACTATTATTTACAGTAGCTGTAAGCCCTTCCCCCAAAGAGCTCTCATCACGAATGACCGCCTTCTGGAGAAGGCCAAGTGCCTCCACGAAGAACCCGACCATTTCCCATCCCTTCTAACAAGCACCTCGGGACCCGGGTTTAAAATAATAGCACCCAGAAGTCACGAGCTCACGTCTCTGCAGGGGAGGCCTGCAAGAAAGTCAGCTCTGGCCACGGCACCCTCGTTTTCTTGGGCCGGACCTTTCCCTTCCTCAAAGGCATATGGGCAGGGTGGGGCTCGGCCGGCTCCTGCCAACTCCGAGGACCGTCCCACGGCTCCTGGGTCCCAGAAGGGCTCTCCACTGCGAGCTTGGCAGAAGCACCGGGTCACTGCTGTTGGGGGCAGCTGACCCAGCCACATCCAAACTCACAGTGCATATCTGCCAGCTCAAGGAACGAGCCATGGCTGCGTTGGCGTCCCCGACAAGCAGCTGCTTACCAGGCTTCCCACAAAGGAACCGCACACGGTAGGTCTGGCAAGGCCGGCCCCTCTCGTAGCACACAAACCTATAATCCTGGCCTTTTTTGTAGACAACCTCGGTGGTGAGGTTAACTCCATCCACTGTCGTGGCCTGGAAACGACACGGAAATTATAGAGCAAAATCATTTTGGTGTGCGTGAAGAAAGAAGGTGATGATTAATGGTATCAACATCCACTCACAAGTCTAAACTTGTCCCTGCTGCAAAAACGATTTCCTCGGGCCCAAGATGATCATTAAACGATCGAGCATCACTTTTGTTCTAGGAAAACAGTTTCCCTCTAAGGAAAACAATGCAAAGCCACAGGATGGAGAAATGCCTCGCCGGGGTCCCTGGGTGGTCCCCCATACCCGAACCACTGATGGGCGGCAACTCCTACCACCACCCCTGCCACTGGGAGCGGAGGCCGGTATTTACGGAGGACCCGCTATGTTCGATCAACTGGTGTCCCGGCGCGGGTCCACGCCACGTGGGGAGCCCTTAAAAATACTCATGCCCAGGCCCCATTCTCCGGGGCTCATATTTGGCATGTCTGGATGTGGCTTGGGCATCAGAACTTTTAGAAGCGGCCCGAGGGGTTCTAGAGGGCGGTCCAGTTTGAGAACCGTCCTTGTCCTAGCAGTCACAGGGCGAAGTGCTGTGGATATGATCTCATCCCAGCTTCACAGCAACAATGAGATGGCAGGCTTGACAGATAAGGAAACTGACCCTCAGGGGATGAGTCACTTGCCCGGGGTCAACCAAGCCCTAAGCGGAAGAGCCAAAATTCGAATCCCAGACTTAGCCAACTGCAGAGCTGGTGCTGCTCAGCACCTCCCCCGCGGCCCTCAGGCATGAAGCCTACAGTCCTCTGTTCAACGTCTGTCTCCTCCCCCAGGATCCCGGGCTCCGGGGAGGGCAAGGACCCGGTTCCTGCCTGTCTCCCTGATCCGAGCTTCCAGCCCAGGGCTTGGCACGGAGTGGGCTCTCAGTGATGGGGGCCGATGGGTGAGCAGCCTCAGGCCAGGTAGAGAATTTAGGGAGCAGGCTCCGAGGAGGTGGCGACCGCTGCCCGCTGGGGCTCATCCCAGGGCTCGGGTGTGTCTGCAGCAAGCCCTTGGCTGTCGTCAGAGACAAGCAATTTAGATCCAGGCTGTAGCTGTTGTCCTCTTGGGCACAGAGACCACAGGGACCAGGGCGGGGGAAATAGGGGGGCAAAGTATAGCAAACCTATTAAAAAAAGAGGGCGGCGCGGTGGGGGGCTTTTCAGGAAACATTATTTTGAACACAGCAGGTATCTGTTGTCTTTGGCTTCAAAGGAGAGCTGTATGGCAGTGAGCTCAGTCATCATGAAAATCCAGCCCCTTCCTGCAAGAGTCACGCTCACGCCCATTATCTTGGTGGCCTCCAGAGCCCTGGGAGAAGCAGGAGTTGCAGGCCTGCTCTTGGGAAAAAGCTAAGGCTCAGAGGGTTTTAAGAAGCAAGGTCAAGGTCGCTGGAATGGCAAGCTCAGCTCCTCCGAGCTCCCATTGTTTTCCGTGGAGGACAGCGCGTTCTTCTGCAGGAGACCCCGTGACATTGAGAACTGAGCCTGAAAACATCAGTGATTAGAACTGCACATTTTCCAAGGCACAGTGTCCCACAATACTTTCGGTGGGGGGGCATCTATTCAACTCTGCTCTTTCCTCCGCCCCCTTTTTCTAAAGCTGAAGAACGACCTCAGTTTGGGATAAGAACAAGAAAGGGCTCTATCACTGTTCAGGGAAACTGGTCTCCACCTTAAGTAGACACAATTCTATTACTATTTTTGATAATTAATAATTACAAAATAACAGTATGATTAGGATAATGATTGTAAAACAAAAAATGTGTGGGCCCTTCATATATTGTTACATGACATCCACAAAATAATCCCACAGGGAAACCCTGAGGATCCTCGTTGTTGCCTAAGAGGAGCTTGGGACCCCGAGTCACTTGACTGAGGTCTCCAGCCAGTCCTGGAGTGTGGGCTGCTAGATTTAAGGTGGCGCTCTCCCCAGGGGCATGGGAGCGCAGGGCCAGCCGCTGGGAGAAGGGGCCACCTTAACTATTGCACCTTAACCCTCAACTGCTTCTGTGGGCCTTTGTTTTGCCAAGAAAAAGCCAACATCCTATTCTGGAACTGAGAGTTTTGAATCAATAAGGGGCTACCATGCTCAGCAAAATATTATCGAGGAGTGCATTTTTGTGAGAAGGCCGGTCCCAGCCTTCCGGGAGGTGGAGGTGGGGGGTGGCAGGGAGGGGCTGTGGTTGGCTCTTTTATTCTTTGCCAGACCTCCAATAGTTGAGAACTGGAACTCCAGGAATTCATTGTCAAGGATACTCCTTTTGTTGGAAGCAAGCTGGGCCTTGGAATGCGGTGACCGCCTAGGGGTTATAGAGTGCGGGCTTGGGTCCCTTGGAGGGTCTTGGATAATGGGGCTGGGGAGAGGCCGTGCCCTACGCTATTTTATATTTTGTATATATTTGTATGCTTGTCCTGCTTTGCTGCCTCCAAGCCTTCGGTACAGTGTTATTTAATCCTTTAGCCTGGGATTAGCTGCGCTTGGACATAGGCAGGAGCCTGTGTCCCTGCCGGGGAGAGAGGTACGGGGAGAATGGGCAATGCCGGAGGGAAACTGCCACAGAGACATGGCCTCCTAGACGCCGCAGCGTGGAGCCCGACGGCTGGCAGAGCTGACACCGGGAGGCATCCGTGGACCACGTAAGCATTCCTGCAGGGTTTCCAGAAATACTCGGCAGGGGACCCTGGCAAAGGGCTGGACTTGCCACCACCAAGTGAACTGAAGGAATAAGATGATGGCTATTTCAGAACTGAGGCTGGAATCCTCAGGGTTGCAAGAGAAAGTTAGAATTAAGCCTGGGGAGGGTGCTCTTCAGGGGCGTCAGTGCCTTTGGATTCTGCTGGACCCAAGGAGAGCCTACAGCCTGCGACCTGCGACTCACTCGGGGGAGATCCTTCTCGAGGACGGGCCTTAGCCACGTGAGAACGGTCTGCCCGCGAAGCTGGCGGGATGTGAGTGCCGCGTCTGTACTTGGCACTATCCTGGCTGAGCCAACGGGGGAAGTCGGGGTCCGCTTCTGGAGGAGCAACTGCAAGCGAAGATCCTGAGCCAACATGGTCCATTCTCCACCAGTGCTGGTGTTTGTTTCGCTCAGTGGAGAACCATGCTGTGGGGGCGTGGGCTGAGCTCAGCCGGCACCCCAAATCCCATCTGGATCCTGCGCACTCAAGGGCCCAAAGGAAATCGACTGAGAAGGGAGGCTGAAGGAGACAACCCGTCCCCACGCCAGGGCACCATCAGCCACGGCTGCGGAAGCCGCTTTAGGAGGAGGCAAGGGGGGTGGGGAGTAGAATCCAAGAGACAATGCTGGGTCCTCGCTGGGGAACTCACTGCCCAGGAGGCCTGGAGCAGAGAAGAGCCCCTAAAACAGGAACGGCTCTTCCTGGCTTACCCGTGTCCTGGGAGTGCCGTGAGAGTCGCACCATCCCAACGGCAAGAAAATTTGCCATCTACAGACTCCACTTCAAAATAAAGTTCTTATAACTCTTCGACTGCTTTGAGTTTGGTACCTGTATATCAATGGGGCGGTTGCAGATTTTTCCTGGGTGAGTTACCCGGAGGTCTGAAATTTTCTCGCCACCTTTCGTGTGCGACACTTTGTCATGGTTGAACCACTCTGTCCACTCCACATCTAGACAGAAAGCAAAGAGCAGGGTGAGGCGGGAAGGGCGCGGGAGGGCAGGTGCCCCCGCAGCGTGGCCCCCGGCACGCTCGGCGCAACAGGAACCGAACACCGTCCGTCCAATTGTGCACCAAAGCACTCTGCCACGTCTCCCACCTTTTCGTTAAAAGCACCTCTTACTGACTTTCTCACTTGCCGAGAACAATAGAATATATATTCTTCATTCCTGCAGAAAGGATGATGATGAAAGCTATGGTCAGCCTGTTTCTCAAGGCCTGCAGGGAGGGCACGCTGTCTGCACCCCAGCCCCCCGTGTGGCTACGTGAAGGCCGGTCCTGCTCCCTCCTGTTTCCTGTCCACAGCACCATCCCTCGGCACAGAGAGGATTCCGAGAGGGGAGGACAACAGCCTCTGGGCTATTGACTGCCGGGGACTGATTAATTAGAGAGAGCTTTCCCTTGCAAATTTAGTTCACTCTGCAATAACCAAGTGGTCTTATTGGTGCCAGAGAAAAATCCTTGTTTTGCAAAGACAGAACGTCCTGCCCTTCTCTCCCACTGTTCGGGTTTTCCTGGCTGTTGCGGACTCCTCACCTTGAACCCACTCGCTGGAGGAAGAGACGTTGAAATGCTCGCCATGCTCCGTCTGGAACACTTTGAACACCCGGGCAGCCGCGGAGCCACGGTGTCCTGCAGAGAGAGCGGGGGCGTCAGCGACCGCACCCCCCCGCCCAACGCATTCCGAAGAATGCAATTCTGAGACGGAGCAAACCCCCTCCACACATAGATCTTGAACTCTTTCTTTAAAAAACAACAACGAAAAAAAACCTTTCAGGCCAATCTCTCTACTCGGGAAGTAGATTACCTATTGTCCCTTCTTTCGCTTCAGTTTTTTTTTTTTCTTTCTTTTTTTTTTTCTTTCTTTCGCTTCAGTTTTAAAAATTTAACTAAAATCTATACTTTCGAGCCCTAATTTCTCCCGCGAATTCCTGTCTAGGAATAGAACCGGCAGGGCCTTCCGCTAGGTGGTAAGGACCCATCCAAAGTATCTCTTTAGCTCAAAATATTCCCCCTGCTGGATCTGTCCCGGTTCTCGCCTGTCCTAGGTCCCTTGTTTCGAATCAAGTCAGTGGTGATCTCTTTGCAAACGTAAATATTATCTCAGTGATAGGCTTTTGCGACTTGCGCGGAACACGGCCAATGAACATGGGTGTTGGGAGGTGGTTCCACCGGGGTCTCAGGGAAGACGGTGGTTCAGAAAGACCCGGGCCTCTTGGTCGAGAGACACGGAGGGGATTCAGCCTCTCTCCCTCCATTCATTACCGTGATATTCAATATGGTCCTCCACCGAAGAAGAGGGATTTCCTTTCACAGTTAGGAAGCTCCAAGGGTGTCTGGTAAAAGCAACAACAAGGAGTGAAGTTCTTCACACGTCTGAGCCTGTCCCCGAGGCAGGGCTGAGGGAGAGCCGGCCCAGCGAGCAGCCCTCCCCGCTGCTCCCGGCAGACCAGCTCGCTGGCTGGGCTTCCCTTGTCCCGGACAACAGGAGCCTGTCTTTGCAAGTGCTGTGCTTCCTACCCGCCTGGCTCACCGGATGTTTGCTCCCCGGGAGCCTCTTCAACCCCACTCTGGCAGGAGACGGGGCACGAACCACAAACAAGCCCACAGCCCTACAAACCCCCCGCCCGCCCCAGTGAGGTCCTGGAGCGAGTGCCCCGGGGGCTTTGGGGAAACCAGGCCGCAGGATCCAGGAGAGAAAGGCTCTTTCCCTGATGCCCTGGCCTTGGAAAGTTAGGAGAGGCCTCTCGCTCACAATGGGGGACGGAGGGGGGAAAGCCGGCGGAAGACGTCCCCCACTGAAGCGGCTCTCAGGCCCGAAGGGTTCCCTCCCCGTTCCTGTCTTCCCCCTGAGGCCCGCCTCCCGCCTCCGGCTCTCACCACGAGATGGCAATCGACTAGGGTACTCAAGAGCTTTTGTTATTTTTGTTTTGACCTTTCATTTTGGAAAGCAAATCTCTACTGAAGTTAGGGATTTGATCGGGTGACTCTCTTGCTTAAGACCCATCAATGGCTCCCCAGTACCCTTTGCATGAAAGCCAAGCTCCTGGGCACAGAGCAAAATGTCTTCCTGTGCCCACCTCCTCAGCCTCGTCTCTGCCTCTCCCACCCTCGTGCCCCCTTCCGCTGCCTGTACTCCTCCCCGCTTCAGGAGAGGCTCAAGCTTAGCCCGGGCCTCGGCACCTGCGGTCTCTCGTGGGGAACCTGCTTGCCTTCATCCTCACCTGCAGCTCTGCGCCTCGAGCCCTTCGCCCACCCTCTTGCTCACGCCTCCTCCTCACTTCTCTTTCTGTTCCTGCCTGCCCACGGGAGCTCAGCACGCCTCGTCTGGCCCAGAGTCTCGTGCCAACACCCCCCGGACCGCCACACACCTCAGTTCTTCTACTGATTTTAGGTGCTTTGAGTTTGTCCCTCAACGTGTATCTGTACGAATGAGGGCTCAGAATGTAATTCCTGCCTGCCCGGGTCCTGCCCTCGGGGGAGTGGTTGTGACAGCGCGCGGCAAGCATCCATCCTCCCCGTGGCCATTGCTTCTCGGGAGAAAACAGTTGCTAGCGTGTATTGACTCCTGATTCTGTGCCAGATAGGAGGGCAGGTATTTTGCTACTTATTATCGCATCTAATCCCCTCCCACTGCTCCTGATGTACTTTACAGACGCAGGAGCTGTGCAGAGAGAATGAGCCCCCTCCCTGCAGGCTCACCTACAGGAGGTGCAAATTCGGGCCGCATCGCCAGCCCTTAGCCGTTACCTCCTTCTGCCGAGGCCCTAAGCAGCCAGGCCCCTGGTGGTTCTCGCTGCCATTGTAAATCGATAAACTGGCCTTTCGGTTTATAAAACCAGGAAACAGAAGCCCCCTCAGCTTTTGCTAACAAAGGAGCCTAGAGATACCACGGTGTCCTTGTCATCTTCGACTCCTTGAGCTCCCTGTCCAGACCCTTCCAAAATGAGCAGCCCCTGGGCTGTCAGAGGACACACTCTGGAACCCGGAGCAACCCCCGGCCGCCCTCCTCCCTTGCCCAGGGGAGGCTCTTCTGGCCCCCAACCCTGCCTGGGCTTCTGCGGAGCTGAAGGGAGGGGCCCCACTATCTTCCAACAGCCACAGGCCGGCGGATCTCGACCCTCCCCTGAGCTGAGATCTGGTTCAACATGATAAAAAGGTGTGGCCACTGGGGGGCAAACAGTTTTCCTGTTGGTGCCAAGGTGTGTGCATGCCAAAGTCAGGAACGAAGCTCTAATCCGAGACAAACCAAACACAGCGGGCACATCAAAGGCCCTACTCCCTGGGTGCTGGGCTGGGCAGACACCTTGTAGGATCTCTAAATCAATGTCTGCCCGTCCCCCAGGCACACGATGACCCCTTTTGCCAAAGAATGGGCAAACGAAGCCAGTTGTGAATCTGAGGCATGGCTTACACACAGCAGATGTCCAACTGACATTTTGTAAGCGGCTGAATGAATGAATGAGTTCATGCAAACAGAGAGCTTTTGTGTTTTCAGAGTGGAATACGCTTTGTAAGAAAATCCGGGCTCCCAGATACACCCGGTGCAGACGGGCGTTTGCCCGCCACTCCCCAGGCCGGCACTGAGCGGGACGTGCCACGGGCAAGGAACAGACACTAAGGTAACCTGCGTGGCCCAGGGGGGCTCCGGGGTCCTGGAGCCTGGTGGGGGTGGGAGTGACGGGGGTACCTGAATCCAAGGTGTAGGAAGTGCTTGCTGCCCAGTTTGGTCATGGCCTTTCTGGCCGCGTCGTCCAGGTTCCGAGACCCCTCATCGTTCACTGCCACAGAAAGGATCCTGCCCGCGGGCACCGCGTTCAAGTACTGGACCAGACGTTCGCTCTCTTTCTTGGATCTATAGGTGTCAAACCTAAAAAGGGCAGGGGGGTGGGCTTTAACAGTCCTGACAGCAGCCCCCCAAAAAAGGAGGTCTAAGCACATGTGTGCATTGCAACAACAATCGTGCCATCCAAAGCCCCCAAGGGCTGTGATTTTTAAAGAACGGAGCTTTCATGACAGCAAAAACCGACCTTCCCAAACTCGACAAAGGTAACCCGCTCTCACACATAGAGAATACCCACGACGCATGATTTCAAACAAAAATCTACACCACCCGGGACGAGCATTTACAAAGAAAAGACACAATTTTGTAATGACCCCCAACTATCCCCCATGTGACTCTAAAGATTTGGTACAATTATAATGGAAATTCCAAAAGAATTTGTCTGGGGGCTTAACAAGGAAAATCGTTCTAAAACAGACCTAGAAGAATAAAACAGCGTGAATGGCCAAGATTTGGGGAAAGAAAAACAGTGGTGGCATGGGGGGTGGGGATGGGATGGGAGTGGCGGGATAGGCGCTCCTGAATCCTCAGACTGGTTTGCAGGTGTTTGTGCAAGCTGGCGTGTCCCGGCCAAGGCCCCTCATCCTCCCTGCCGCCCGTCCCCCAGGAGCTACCCACCGCGAGACCCGCGTGTCTCCATCTCCGTGCTATGACCACACCACACAGCACATGTCTTCACACATCCTTCTTTGCCTTTCCCCGCCTGATCACATGCTTACTACCTTCTAAGGGCCGGCCGACAGTCTCGTTCCTCCAGGTAACCTTCTCAGGAGATTGCAGCCTGCACCTGAGTGCGTGCGTGTGTAGTGTTTATTAACTCTACTCACACGCATTCCCCTAGCAGGTTCTCGAGGCCCCAGACACACGCTTTCACCAAAGGAGAGTTGGAAGGAGCAACTGTCCCGCCTTTGGAACCTGCACACCAGCTGTTGGGATGACTTCTCTTCCCGCAGCTCAATCAGGTGTGAGGCTGGAGGCTGGCTCGCCGCGTCGGACCGAACTGTACTGATTCCAGAGGCAGTGAGAGGGCCGGCACGCCACGTGTAAAGGGAAGGCTCTCGGACAGACGGACTTTGTGTCTATCAGGCTCATCCTGGCTTCCCACGTTACCTACGCGCTGAGCATCGCTCAGCCCCAGGCCAAGGCAGGTGCCCAGAAGGAATACGGGTTAAGGGTCTGTCTGGGCAGATCTGGGTGTGAGTTGCAGCTCCGACCCACTTTCTGGCCTCGTGACTCAGAGCAAATGGATTCCCCTGAACCTCAGTGTTTTCCTCTGTATGACGTAGATAATCACAGAACCTACTCACAGGGGGTCATGAAGGTAAATTACAGATGGCCAGTGAAGTGGTTAACAGGACGTTTTGCCCATAGTCTAATGATAGTGCACCTGCCCCTGCCAAAAACCTGGACATCACTGCGCCATGTTGCCATTGCTCTGTGTCCCCACCCCTCTGCAGGCCCTTCTGTGCTTCAGACCATCACGCCCCCCTCACCACTGGCCCTTTGCTCTTGCTGCTTGCCGTCTGGAACACTCTCTCCCTGACTCATCTTCGCCCTGCAGTTCTCAGCTCAAATGTTGCTTCTTTACACCGGCCTTCCCTGACCCGTTGATGCAAAACGGGCTTCCCTAGTTACCCTCCACCATTTCATTATGTCGTTTCCCCTTAATTAGCACGATCTGAAACGATGTTGTGCATACATGTGTGCCTGTCTGCTCATTCCTGTTAATTCAGTTTCGATGCAAATGCCCGGGGAGGGAGAGACAGAACTCCTCCCGGTGGGGGCCTTCTGTCTGTTTGGATCCCTGCTGCATCCTAGCTCCCAGAGCCGCATCTGGCCAGGGCTGTCTCTGGAGCGAAGGGCTATGTGTTTAAGTGAAGGCAGACCTTACCGATCCGAATGAATGACTGTCGCTGATTTGGGGTCGATGACGTGAACAATGACTCCACGGTGACCCCAGCTCCTTTCAAAAAAATAGCCTCCCTCCTCCATGCCGCCTGGGTGAAGGGTCTTGTTCAGAAATGTCCAAGAGAGCTTTTTCTGTCCGTGTAACTCAAGCGTGCCTCCTGGGCCAACCCCGATGTACTTCAGGCCAAAGTAAGGGTCTGGCTGAATACCTTCATCAGCCCTACGAGAGAAAACAGCTCCCCAGAGTCAGTCAACCCATCTCTGTACCGTATGCTGAGCCCAGAGGGGACCATGCTGCTCCCACGGTGGCCGCCACAGAACCAGGCACACGTGGCAGCTGCCCGAGCCCAGCAGAGACAGCGTCACCCACCAGATCGCCCTAAGCCAGACCAAAATGGGGCCAAAAGGCCTAGAAAAAACACTCATCACTAGTTTACATGTTGGTGCTCAGCACTAAGAGGTTTACATTCTGGTCCCACCAGAGGTGGAACCATGGAGCCATGTACTACAGACCCTCGAATATTCTTGGCTACGACTCCTGAGAACCTCAACTCTTCGAAGAGAGAGCACAGCCCGAAGCCAATATCACAGGGAGGTTTTCTTTACTTTGTCCCTCATGACCGACTGAATCAACACTCCCAGAAGCTCCCTGAGCCGTGACAGGATCGAAAGACAGAGCAACCTCTGGTGGGGACTCTCATAACTCACGCGTGGACCCGGGCCACAAGAATCAAGCCGCCTAGTAGGCTGCCCGGCTCGCCCCAACCACTGACATCTGTCCTGCTCATGGTTGCCCAGTGGCCGTCTACAAGGGTAATTCCCACCTCGCACGAAAGCCTTGCCATCCTGTCTCGCTCTCCCCCGTGGAAAGCCTCCTTCCCATCAGATCCCAGCATACCCCAGAGCACATGCGCCCACCTTCCATACAGAACGATGCTGAAATTGCCCTGGTATGGGCAGAGGGCACTCCCAGCATGCAGCTCTCCGCCGTCGTCAATCAGGATGTGCCGGGCGCGCAGAACAATGGTCTCCTCGTGGTCTTTGATGACTAGCTTTCCTGAGGACATGGGAACACACGTGGTCGTGGTGAGGTCACAGCCGGGGCAAGGGCAGACCCGCTAAGCCCCCCACCTCATCCAGACGGGCAAGAAGGCCCATCTCCCCAGCTCTCCCACGCCTGCCGTGCTCCCAGGTGGCTCCCACCCCCGCCCCCCGTCTCCTCCCGGCCCGGCCACGTGTGAACACTGCCTGCCAGTTTGCACGGCCTTCAGAGAGCAAGCATCTGAAGGCGTGATGCGCAGGAATGCTCCCCACACCAGCAAGACTCTCCCTCTATAAACGCTTCTTTCACTGAGCCTGGACCTGGGACAAGCCGCTCCCAGGTGCCCAGAGCTAAAGGCATCACCATGGACCGATGCTCCGACCTGAACCCAGAGCACATGACCTTCGTTCTGCCCGTCTGGAGCTATGGCAGCCTGCACCCACCTGCTGGGCTCCGAGGCGGTGGAGGGAGGGGAGAGGGGTTGGGCGGGGGGACCGGCTTACCTCCCTCTGAGACGTGGATGGAGTTCACCGTGGCAGACGAGGTGAGCAGCAGGGTCCTGCCCCGGCCGATGTACACATAGTGGTCCGGGTCGTGGCCAGGGTCCCAGGGCTGCAGCTCGGGGCTCTGGTCAGGGCACTGGGCTGCCACTGCCAAGGACAGAGAGATGTCACTGCCTCTGCCCCCACCTCAGCATGTAGGGACTGCCCCACGGTGCCAGGGGGCCTCCTGCACCTTCATGGCTCCTGTCCTCTCCCTACTAGCACGAGGCCTTGGAGAACAAGGTCTCCCCTGATGTAGGCGCCAGGAGCCCTGGGGTCCAGTCCCGCGACTGTCTCAGTTCCTCACACGTCTATGAACCAGCCACGTCCTTCCTCTGGGGTCAGTTTCTCCATTTATAAAAGGGAGGGTAGACCAGATGATTCCTGAAGACGTTCCAGGACCCAGCGTTAGGGGATGATTTGCCCAGAGTGCTTGTCATCCAAGACATTCTTTCCCCTGGGAAGCGGTGCTCTGAGAGTGAACACGGCCCCCTCCCCTTCCACATGAGAATCTGACTCTCAGTTCATGTTCTAGCTCTGTTCCCCCGGAAACCTGAGAAGGAGGGTATTATATAATACACCATGTTACCAAGAACATCGCTTCGAATGAAGGTGACCCCTTATTAGCAAATGGCATCTATAAGGGGAGGAACTATACCTAATTTGTGTCTCTCCCTGGGGGAGAGGTCGTGCCGTAGGATCCCCTGAGGGCAGTGACCCTCGTAACCGGGCACGTTTCCCATGGGAACCTGGCAAATCCCGTCTATGGAGTTGCCCAAAGAGACTGCCATCATCTCTTTTAAAAGGACGTAATTTGGAAATAAAGTTGTCGATATTTAACAATATGTTGTTTATAGACTACTAAGTTTTGCAAAACAAATGTTACTGTCGGATTGAAAAGGAAGAGAGAGACCGGGCGAGGCTCCCCGGCCAGGGCACCTCCCACACCTGTCCAACCACGGCCTTGGTTCCTCTCCCCTGAGCTGTCACCTGGGGAACCACGCAGGGTGGCTTCTGGAAAGCTCTGTGGAGTGCGGCCAGGACTCGGGCTGCAAGTGCGGCTCGGCCACAGCTGGTGTTTCAGCCCTAAAACCTCCAAAGGGAACCCGATGCCTCGTGGCCTGTGGTGGCCTCGTGAGTCAGAATGTTCAGCTGAACTTAAAGGCCCCCGTGGTGGGTGTAAGGGAGGCGCTTCTCCCTGGCTCCAGTGGAAGCACCAGGAGGAGCCTCCTCTCCATCTGGCTGGCTGGGCTCGACTCCAGCAGCGTACTGTGGATGCCGGAGGGAAGAGAACTGCCTCAGACACGGGAAGACTCTCCCTGCAGCAAGGAACAATCCAGAGGAAAAGTGGTGGGAAGAAGAGGTGGGCGAGACAAAACGAGAAGGGCTTGCCTCAGAGAACAAGCCCGGATGCCTTCCTCCCCTCTGTCCCTCGAAAGCTGTAAAGCACGGGAACCGCTAGATTTAAAGGCCCCTGGAGTGGGGGTGGAGGGGGGGCAGGCAGACCCGCCACAGTGGCAAGGTTGCAGGTGAAGGTGAAGACCCCAGCGTAGGTTGGAAGGATGGACGCAACCTCCAGCTCAGGCTCCAAGGAAGGGCGCCCAACGCCTTGTGTCTCTTGAGCCACGTGGGTGCAGAGAACAACGTCCACAACGGGGGGGCCGTGACCCCGGGAGGGACTCCATGCGATTACCGGCACGTCAGTTCAAAATGTCGCTTTACTTTCGTTCCATTGACTCTGGGATGGGAGTATCTGCCCTGTATTTACTTATCTCAAGAGAACTGGAAGGGAGGCGCCCTTTATCTTCACTCAACGGCCCCAGATACGGACCCCAAACCCGTATCACCTCGTCTTCTTTGTCCCTCTGAAGGCAGCGACTGGCTTCTCCCCTCTGCCGGGCATGGGGTGGGCCCTCGGCGCAGGCTGGCTGAGGTGTGGTCCCCCCGGCCCTCCCCAGCCCCACAGCACCCGCCTTATGCCCACCAGCTCGTTCCCTGTCAGCACCCACTCAGGCTCCGGATCTCTTTCAAGGAGGACAGAATTTCACGTTCTTTGGAAAGCAGCTCTTCCAGCTACTGGGAGCCCCAAGGGGCTCGAGTCACTGCAACACACTGAGAAATACGGCCCTCGCTCATCAGTGGACCTCCCGGCGCCCGCAGGCTGGGCTGGGGGTGGGCCTCTGCTTCAGCGCCCGGAAACCCCGGGTCACGGGGGCTGGGGCTGGAGCCTCCACCACACCGAGAGGCGTCTGACGGTCCTGCCCGTCCCCGGGTTTGTCTTCAGGTGGGTCAAGGGCTTGGTGGCTTCCAGCCAAGGAGGCTGCCATCCACCTAGTTCTGGACCCGAGTGTCCGTTTCCGAGGAGGGGATGCTGCAGGGGACACATGAGGCCCACTGGCGAGCCGAGTGGCCCAGACATGGAGCCACAAGCGTCCCAACTTCCCGGGACAAAGCCCTAGGGTCTTGCCACCCGCGTCTCCCAGGACCAGCTCGACCGTCCCTCTACTCTCCAGGCACATGCACTGAGTCCGACATCACATCTGGGTTTGGAAGTGGTCAGGCTGACCCCACAGGCTCTCCTGTCATCAGGAGACCGTGTCCCAGAGTGCCAGCAGCTCCGACCCCACGGCAGAGGCTGAGCGGGCACAAGCCGGGTTCTTTCATTAGAGCTGGATATTCACACGCGGCGAAGGTCAGTTTCAGCGGGTTTTCATTTGTGGGAACCCGCCAGGGGTTGGCAATGGTCAGAGCCTTGGCTGGAATATCTCCAGGGCAGCCAGCTTCCCCAGGAGGGGCTGCAGAAGCAGGGAGCAGGGTGGAGAGTGAATGCAAGCCTGGCGCACTCGGGTCACGGAGGGAGAGACTGCAGAGAGGAGCAGGGACCGGGAAACCAGAGACACGGCCTCCTATCCAGTGGTCTCCACCCAGACAGAAGAGAGACACCCAGGAGGTGGCAGGAAAGTACCTGATGAGACCTCCCCAAGGCCCTGAGGGGGGTCATCCAGAAACAGACACCTGAGCCCCGCTCCTGGCCTAGCGCCGATGCCCCTTGGCATTCACTAGGTGAATCCATGACGGAAGAATGAATGAATGAATTCAGGCCATGCTGCCCACGATCTCACTGAGAGTTAAAACACTGCCCACCTGCCCCGTCCCCTCCGGGCCTGCAAGATTCCACGGGAATCACGCTGAAGGAATTCTACTCGTGATGATTAGAGATTACTTCCTGCCCTCCGCGGGTCAAGAAGAACAAAACAGAGTAAAGTTCCTTTATTCTTACTGCAGAAAAGCAGCCAGCTCGATTAATGATAAGAGCATGAGCCGCGATGGTGATCGTGTCATTGCTAACCCTCTGCCCAAAACGGACACATGGTGCCCCATCTCTCACCTGCCCCCCAAGTCTGTCTCCCTGGTGGCTGCCTCCTGTTGTCCCCACAAACCTGCCCTGAGCTTCTGCTTGTTCATTCAAAATCGTCCCAGGAAAAAGTTGACACTGAGATCAGAAAAACAGACCGTGCGTAGAGCATCACAGCCGACAAGGCGCTTAACGGTTCCCAGATTTTATGACAGCAAAGTGAAGAGGGAACGGTGGGCTCAGGTGGAGGTGGCAGGCTGGCTCCCAGACATGTGATTTTTCTCTGGACTCCCCCCGCAACCAAAGCAGTCTATAACATTTGAATATGTTGTCAACATTTAACAAGAAGGGAATTTTACATAAAAATCTAGATTTCTGCCTTCTCTTAATAATTCATGAGATCCCACAACGGGGCCCCACTTCCACACATGACAGCAGTTGGCCAGAACTGAGAAGTGGGTGTCCCTCTGGAGGAGCCTGAGCTCCCCAGGTGACCACGGTCCCCGCCTGGCCAGCCCCACTGGTCTGCCTGGCTCCCGTGGATGCTGAGTGTGGAACCCCCGCCTCTAGTCCAGCCCCATCGTTTCGTGGCTTACGACGGAGGCCCGGGACAAGACTCGCCTGGGATGGGAGGGTAGCAGGGACCGGCCAGAGCCCTGCCGCCCTGCCCCTGCCCTGTGGCTCCTTCTCCTGCCCCCAGCAGCCTCGCCCTCCCACTGAGGCACGGAAGTGCCACGGCGCTTTGGTGGCTCACCTGTGGACGCGGCCCCAGCGAAGCAGGCCAGGCTGAGGCAGCTGAGTGTCAGCATCGCCTTGAAGGAGAAGTCCTGCCTGCTGGCAGCTCCCATCCTGGCGGAGTGATCCCTGAAACTGAAGCACGCTGAGTGAGACCCTGAGTGAGTCCACGGACGGGGCGGACACAGGCAGGGCCACCGGCGCACAAAGGGGCAGTGCCAGTGGGCACAGGTCAGCCAGCCGGGGCAGAGTCCTCCGCCGCCACGACTCAGGGCCGGGCAGACCGGGGCGCGCCTGCCCCGTCCCCGGCCCGCCAGGGGCCTGCCGCTCAGAGACCCGGCGGCGGATGGAATTTCATCCTTGGTGCCCGTGCTCCCGCCCCTCCAGAATGAAGCCTTTTTCTTAAGAAACAGAGAAAACCGAAAATACTCCCACGCAACATGAGCTGGAGGAAATTAGATGCCACAAACTTGCTGTGTGAGCTCAGCTTTTCTGACTGACTCTCTGGGCCTCAGTTTCTTAATTTGGAAAACAAGGCTGTGGACGGGCTGAATTTTAATTTTTGCTCCATTTTTATCAGTCTACGCTTCTAAAATAAGTCTTGATAACAGGATATCTGTGTGTTACAAACCCTCTGTGTATCACCTAGCCAAAGGAAGATGAGGCGGAGATAGAGAATTGTCCCCCAGTTGTTCCCTCCTTCCTTGGGAAACGAACTCCTGACTTTTATCTGGGGGTATGGGCACCTAGTATAAAGACTACCTTTCCAGACTCTCTTATATAAGCTGTGGCCTCGGAATTAAGTTCTGGCCAACACATCCCCAGGACGGTGTGTGAATTCCAGGAAATGTCCTTAAGGGAAACGAGGAAGACCTTCCTCCCTCCTTCCTCCTTCCTGCTGGCAGGAATGTGGGTATGATGGCTGGATCTCCAGCAGCTCTCTTTGGCTACGTAGTGGGACCCATGCTGAAGGTGGCAAAGCAAATCTAGAGAAACATCTAGGCCCTGCCCCTGTGGAGAACTGAACAGCCCTAGATTACAGATTTATTTTTATGTGTGAGAGAACTAAGTTTCTTTTTCATTAAACTTCTATTTTATAAAGCTGCTTATCTTTTTTGTTTTAGACTCTTGTCTAGATAAACCTCAAGACAGGAACATTAAAAAGAAGATGCCAAGTTCCCCTTTCAGAATAGAATGCACCCAGGAAACATGTTTGTCCCCCTGTGGCCACACAGATGGCTCAGACTGGGCTTGGGGTGCTGGTGACCAGCTCTGGTTTCCCTGCTGGGGTCCCCGGGTCCTATCCCTGGCGTGATGGTGGCTATGCCCAGGCACAAACAGTCTCCCTCACGAAGGAAGGGGTCTACATCTCTCTCGCCCGACCAGGCTCCTCCCCTTGAACTAGCTCAGGGACAAATCTGACCATCCCTGGCCCGTGGGCTCCTGGTAAAGTGTTGGGGGCGCCCCGGGGGAGTCGGGGCAGACAGGAAGGCCTGAGCAGAGCCCCTCGCCCTGGGCCTGCATCCTTCTGCACAGGTGTGCCGGGAGGCGGGGAGGGAGAAACCGATACTCTCAGATTCAGTGCCCGCGGTGTCCTCCCTGCCTGGCCCAGGCCTGGCCTGCGAGAACAACAGGCCCATTCTAGTCGCCTCGGCCGGCCGCTGAAGGCACGCATCGCGGCATCTGGGAACAGCGCCTTTCCCATGGCCCCCAGAACAGGAGAGTCTGCGTTCCTGCTCAGGGAAAGGAGGGACTCCAGGGACAGGAGAGCAGCACGGCCCCGCTCCGAAGTCCCGATCGGGAAAACCAGGGGCAGCTTGCTGTCTGCTGCAGAGAAGCCCATCACCATGGGGCTCCTCTGAAGGGCGCCCATACTTCCGGACCACAGGCTGGCACCTCCGCTCGCTCACGGAATGTCCCCAGCTCCCAGCGTGGAGCGGATGGGAACGGGAGGCAGTCTGGATGTGGGCACCTCTTCTGCCCCAGCTCCCAGGGTCCCCTGGGAAAGCACCGCTTCTATGGGCCCCAGAGTCCCATGCGGAGTGGACGTCGGGCATGCAGGGGCCCGGCAGCTCTGACATCTTCTGATTATATCACAGGTCATTTCAAAGATCTCACACTCACACACACACACACACACAATCACTTTCTGGGTGGATATACACACAATTCCACTTGGAGGGATAATGCTCAAAACCTCCTTGTCCCAACGTTAAAGAGACCTCTGCCGTGTCTCTGTCCGAGCCACGGGAGGCAGAGAGGCCTCCTGCCTAGAGAGGTGAACCCCACATTGCCAGGGTGGGGGTCAGGCTTCTGTGTTTTCTGTCCCCGGAGTGGCTTCCAGCGCCCGAGTACAGAAACCCCGAGGAACATTCTGTTGAAGCGAATCCCCAAAGTTTCTCAAATTTCACTTGGAAGTTCTTCACCAAGGGAGCACGGCTTTGTCCGCCGGCCACTCAAAGCTTTCTGGCAACGGGAGTTGAGATTCTGCTGGCAAGATACGGTCCTGACCCGGTTCCCAGCTGCCGAAGGCCCGGGAAGAGCACCCACTGGCCAACAGTGCTAGAAGTTTCTGCAGGAAGCCACGGGCCGGAGGCTGGCTGACCGCTGCCTGATGGCCCTGAGCTGACCCGCTCCTTGAAGGGTGCGGCGACCCCTCTTCTGCAGAGCCCGCAAGGAGGAAGAAGGCAGACGTATTGTTTGCAGCTCCTCAGGACTCGCTGTAACCAGCTCAGGGTTCCAGAACAGCAGTATTTCTGCATTTCCGCGGCGGCTCGGGCCGCGTGTTCGCCGGGCCTCACGGGGACCAGAAACGCTGCCTTCACACGCCAGCACCAGGGTCTTGGTTCTCTCAGCAGGTGGTCCGTCCTGGGGTCTGGGGCTTGGCACCTGCAGAGAGAGAGGAGCAGAGTGTTGTTCGAGCCTCCAGAGAGCCCCTGGATCCTTGCTCAGAACGCCCAGAACAGTAGCACGCTGGCCCCAGGGCACGAGAGACCCTGCTGCCGGCGAGGCCGTGGAAGCCGGACCCCTCCGAGAGAGTCCAGAGGTGGGGGGGTCCGCTTCTGCTCTGAGGCGGGGGGTGACATGGGACCCGCAGGGTGAGCCGGCAGCCCGTCTCGGGGGGTGAGAGCACAGGGACAGCTGTCTGCCCCATCAGACCTGCACTAGGCAAATCCTGACAAGCCTGGGCCCAGCCACTGGCAGGACGGTGTGGTCCGGAGTCCTCAATCCTGGCCACACAGCTGACATTGGGAAAACCATCTGACCACCTGGGGCTCCCTTTCTTGGTCTGTATAATCTGAGAGAATGCATCCTAAATTCCAAGGTCACTGTGGGATCAAGCGAGATGCCTGACCCGTGGCCAGCCCCCCAGTTGTGCTCTCCGGAAGGCCAGCCCCTGCCACCATTCGCGGAGGGCCCCGTGGGGCTGGTGCAGGCCAGACCACCTGCGCAGGCTCATCTTAGGAACTTTTCTGGACAAGAACCCACAGGCCCACCCCAGTGGTCCCCAGAAACCATGCAAACAGGAAGGCAGAGCCCAGAGCTCTCGTTCCCTCCAGGCAGAAATCTCCTCTGACAAGGCGTGGTGCCCACCCTGCCTTCCTCTCCCGAATCAGGCAATGGGCAGCCAACTCCCTGGTCTGCCTCTCGTCCCAGCCTCGTCCCGTGGGCAGAAGAAGGAACTCCTTTGGTCACCAGGTCCTGCCGCAGAGTCCCCGGGGAGAAGGAAGGACCAGGAGACAGGGCAGCCTGCGCACCTTCCAGATTACAGGCACACACAGGAGGACCCCCAGCTCTGGGGGCCCCGGCAGCTCTGGGCCCTTTCTCAGGACGTTTGGGGTTGCTGTGCTGGGGACCGCGGACACAGGGAGCCCCACCTGGCCTCCTCAGACAGAAGTGCACAGAAGATCCTTTGCTGCTACACACCAGAGCGTCTCCCGGGTTCCCCGTGAAGCAGCCCCTCCAGCGTGAGCTGCCCCCGCCTCTGCAGACACACCTGCCCAGACCTTTCTGGAACGAGCGGGAACACTCCACAAAGAGCAGTCAGTGACATTACAAAGTCCCTGTCCGCTTCGTGTCAGGCTCACAGAACGCAGGAGCCCATAGGGTACGAGGCCCCTTCCGGCGCCTGGATCCCCTGGGGGACTCGTTAAAATGCAGCTTCTGACCCAGCAGGTCTGGGGTGTGATTCTGCATTTATTTTGTTTTTTTTAAGATTTTATTTATTTTTGACAGAGAGAGAGAGAGCAAAAGCAGGGGGAACAGCAGAGAAAGAGGGAGAAGCAGACTCCCTGCTGAGCAAGGAGCCCGATGCGGGGCTTGAGACCAGGACCCTGAGATCATGACCCGAGCCGAAGGCAGACGCTTAACCAACTGAGCCACCCAGGCGCCCCTGATTCTGCATTTCTTTTTTTTTTTTTAAAGATTTTATTTATTTATTTGAGAGAGAGAGAATGAGAGAGAGCGAGTACATGAGGGGGGGAGGGTCAGAGGGAGAAGCAGACTCCCCGCCGAGCAGGGAGCCCGATGTGGGACTCGATCCAGGGACTCCAGGATCATGACCTGAGCCGAAGGCAGTCGCTCAACCGACTGAGCCACCCAGGCGCCCCATGATTTTATTTATTTGAGAGAGAGAGAATGAGAGAGAGCACATGAGAGAGGGGAGGGCCAGAGGCAGAAGCAGGCTCCCCGCCGAGCAGGGAGCCCGATGCGGGACTCGATCCCGGGACCCAGGATCATGACCTGAGCGAAGGCAGTCGCTCAACCAACTGAGCCCCCCAGGCGCCCTGACTCTGCATGTCTAACCAGCTCCCAGGTGAGCTCCTGCTGCTGGGCTGTGGGCCGTGCTCTGAGCAGCAAGGATCCCCTCATTTTACAGATGGGCAAACTGAGGCTCACGGAGCAGAAGACCGTCGTCTGTGTGGGTCAGGAGCAGTAAATGGAAATCCAAACCGGCATCTGAGAGGACAATTTCTGCCCGACTCGAACTTGGGGGACCCGTGTCACCTCCCCGCCTCCCTGCTTGTTTGGGGAGGAGGGAGGCAGGGCGGGGCGGGGGGAGACGGAGCCCATCCGTTCCTGCCCCCGTTTCAACAGAGGCATGACTTCAAGTCATCATTTGGAGAGTAAACAGGCCTCAGACGCCTTCGATGCACCCACAGAGGCCAAAAATTCCTTCCCCAGACGAAACCCCTCCTTCCATACGGGGGGTTCCCTGTGCCTACCGAACCCAAGCCCCTCATCACACACTGAACCGCCTCCCCGGCCCGACGGCGTCCACGTCTTTGCCGCTTGTCTCCACACCCCCTGAGCGGGCACCATGTTGGTGCTGGCGGACCAGGAAGGGAAGACCTCCGCCCTCACAATGGTCCCCGGTCCCATCACCCTACGCCATGGGCACCGAAATCTACACCACGAGCGTGGCCCTCCCCGCACACCAGCTCCTAAGGACCCTGCTGGAGCTTCAGCCCTGGAGCAGGTAATTCAGCCACAAGCACGAGCGTCAGCCCCCCTCCCCGCAGCCCCGTGGGATCACCGCAGCCTCAGCCGCCCGCGGAGCGCCTGGCTCCCCGCGTCAGAAGCCCCGGGGTGGGCCGGGCCGTGCTCCCGTGCGCTCACAGCTGAGGACAGCGTTCTGCGGCTCAGGAGAGACGCTTGCCCGCCGTGAGCTCCGCGTCACCGTGGGAGTGTTGCAGTTTGCTGGCTAAATGCTCTCACCGTCAGGCTGTCACCAGACCCACCCGAGCTGCGGTGCCGGCTGCGTGGAAGAGCGGTGCGATCGCGGCCCTTCTCTGAATGCTCGCAGCCCCGTCCCCTCGGCTGCCGGCGGGGAGCAGGGCAGCCGCCCCGGGGGGCCGCTGGACGGGATGGAACGAGCCATGCAGGTGTGAAGCGCGGGGACGGAGCCACGGCGCTCCACGAATGATGCCCATCGTCCTCATCCGGGCCCGGCCCCCGCTCGCTGCTCATTCTGACTTCCTGGGTGGGATTTTTCGGGAGCCTCTTTCACTGATAAGTGGCGAGTATTGGGTCGTCAGTTATGAGGCACCGCTAAACCAGAGATGCTTTCTCGAAAGCTTGACATGGAGGATGACATAGGAACCTCACCCCCTCAGGGCCAGGTTTATGGAGGTGGGGGGCACGCAGCTATGACACATTGGGGGCCGCACGCTGGGCCCCGGGCAGAGGATGTGCCTGGATACGGTTTGCCCACTGGGGAGGGTACGCAGGGGCTGGGGGGACCCCTTCGGCCCCAGGGGCCCCGGGGGCAGGTGGAGGAAGTCCTCTGACAACAGCTCGGTTCATTGCTTTGTTCCAGGGGGGCCTGGCTGGCCGCTCACAGCGGGTCGGCAGAGCTCCAGAGAGGAGGGGAGGGAGACAAAAGGTAAGAGATGACTTATTTACCCCTCCCGGTACTAAGTTATCGCTCGTCTGGGGGTGCCATGCTGAGACACGAGCCACGCCGGGCCTGGTGAGGGGGGCGGCGGGGGGCTGGGGGAGGGACAGGAAGCACCCAGCGCAGGGAGCAGGTCCCATCTCCGTCGCCAGCCGGCTTCCCGCGAACGTCTCCCGGCCCCCCGGCGGGTTTGCACGCGGTCTGCGCCTCCTGGACTTAAATGCTCTCTCTTCCCTGTCCACCTCCCACCTTCAGTAACTTGCCTTTGCTCTGAGTCCGTCTCGACCTCCCCCGAGTCTCCGGGGACCTAACATCTTTATCAGTGGCGTCTTCCTCTGCATCCACAGTTTACTGGTCAAACCTTTCTTCAAGCTTCTCCCTTTCTGTCCTTGGGATTTACCGAATGACTCTCCCTGGACACTCGGGCTGCCGGCTCCTTGGGGGTAAGCCCGCTTTGCTTCTCCTGCAGACCACAGCTGGCAGCCTGGCCCCCAGCGGCCGTCCAGCGACACCGGACAGTGAGTGCATGTGTTCGCCAGGGGGCTGCTGAATGAACAAGCAACTTGGCTATTTGCCCGCACTGCATCTTCAGACTCTCTGTCCAGTGCTCTCTAAAACACTAGGTGGGAGTATGAAAGCAGGAACTGGAGACATTTAAACAAGCTGATAATTTTTATAATTGTAACTCTTCTTAAAAGTCTTTTAAGTCATTCCCTCAATGGAGAGGGAAAGGATCCCACCACAGGATCAGAAAGGAAGAGGGGATATCTTCTCCCCAGACTCACAGAGTCCAAGGTCGGTGTGAGCGGACTGCAGGCTACAGCGAGCAAGTGTCCTGGCCTCTCCTTCCCTGCTAAGCCCAGCACTCTCTGGGGGTGGAGGGGGGCAGTGCATACTCTAAAAGGTGACCCAGGCGTCCCTGTGTCCCTACCCCTAGTCCCCAGGTGTCAGATGCCCGGCACCTCCAGGCTCACCTATTCACGCAGAAAGTCTGGCCCCTTGTAGGGTTCCTCCTTCCCTCCACCCGCACACATCCATGCATCAGCCCTGTCACTGTCCATGCGGCCACTGCCCGGTCACCCCCGCAGAGCTTCACCTCGGCCTTCACCGGCCGAGCCTTTCCCCCCAGGAGGAGAGCCTGCCCCCCGGTACCTGGCCCACAGGAGCTCCCCACCTCGCCTCCCGCCTCACTGTGAAAGCTGCCCAGAGCCGGAGGGGCCAGCCTCTGTCACATGGCCCCCAGCCACAGCACACGGGGGCTTCTCCAGGATGCCATTCCTCTCCCAGAGCCTCCCTGCCCTTCCCCGCATCTGGGCTTCAGTCTGGTCTGCCCAGTTCATCACATGGCTCTCTACGTAAGCGAGCCTCATGTGGAGGGAGGGCTCACGTGCCACCCCCCCACCCGGCCTTCTCAGCTTCCTTATACATGGGTGGGGGCAAGCTGGTGTGCCCTTCCGACTCCGACCACCAGGCCGCACACCCTCCAACTGGC